CGGAAGACACGACGGTTTCGAAGAAGAGAAAGACTGGTTGAGCCAGTCGTTGACACCGCTTCGCTACTTTCGATGTCGTTTTGCTATTTAACATTTGTCTCGGGCGTTCTGGGTTAGGACACCAATATTCATCAAACATGGGGGATACCATTTCTGTTATTAGAAGGGCGTTTATAGGGGAAACCTTTTTCTAGCTTTCAGGTTGAGAGCTCAAGACGTTAGATATCAAGCAATCCTTCCAGCAAGCCAGGCGCTACAAAATGACGACATTTATCTTTTCGCCCGGTGTCTACAGACAAAGCTCAGATGCCCGTTGGTTCAGTACATATGTCCATTCATCATGATTGACATGCCGGTAAGAAAAGCCGGCTTCGTAATCATCAAGTCTACACTATATCATCGGAGCAAATAAGGCCGATCTGCTCCCGTCATAAAAGGGTCTCAAACCCTTGCTCTTCCCATTTTGCACAGCTCCATTTTTTCCATCGCTCTGAACAAAGCCAGATTGACTCCCATACGCCATGCTCTTTCTGGTTCATTTTTTCTTTTGCTTTCGTTCGTCGATTCGTTTTCGCACTGCCCCAACAATCGCGGATGTAATGTCATAAATGGCATAACAGAGAGAAAAAGATGGGAGCAGAACTGAGAACAAGCTTTTTCCACAAGAAAAGATAACCCTAGACACATATCAAGGAAAAAAGGGATAAACAGAGTAACGGGATAGTAGATGCGAGAGGTAAAAAAACGGATGGGACAAGAGATGTAGAGAGAAAAGAAAATGTGTCTTCATGGATAGCCTTGGTTTTACGTTCCCTCTTTACGCGCGAGCCTCCTCTCCACTCCGGTCTTGATTCCTCTGCTGTCCTCCGCGGCCGCCCTTGCCGCCCCTCTGACCTCCGCGCTGGCCGGACTCTGCACTGCCGGACTCGCCGCCAAGGGTGAGCTGAGCGGTAGCTAGGCGGGTGGACAGTTCCATCTGTGTACGGATGGTGTTGGCCAGGTAAGACACAACCAGAACGTCCTGGATGTGGTTGTTGCTGTAGACACGGTTAGCATTAGGACGTAAGATGTAAACCAGTATAATAACGAATGAGAGTCGTTAGGGGTGGGGGGAACATACAAATCCCGCTCGATATCGGCAGGCTCAACCTTGGGCGCCAAAGCGAGAGCGTTGAGAAGGAACTGGCCCAGTGCTGTCGATGCAGGAGCCTCCTCATCGATGACAGATTCGACATACTTGGAAACGCGGTCGATCATACCAAGAACTTCCTCAACCGCACGCTCAAGAGCCTCAATATCGGTGAAGATGTTCGCGGCACGGCTCTCAGCATCGCGAGCGGCAGCAATAGACTCCAGACCGCTCTTTTCGGTCTCACCGTAGCGAATCTCGTAGGGGACGGGGATAAAGGCAGCGCTGTCGGCGGCTCTCTCTGCCGTCACACCAACGGGAGCGGAAATGTAGGCGCGGGTTTCAACATCCTTGCCAGGTTCGGTAGAGACAGTCAAGTGGACAGCAGGGTGAGGGAAGGTCCCATCACCTTGGCCGCTGTAGAAGTTCTGGATCAAAGCGGAGAAGGTGTTCAGCTCCGACGAAGTGGCGTACCAACCGACCAGCACTTCCTTTGGGTTTGCCTTGAGATGCAACGCAAGCATTTGCTTCTGGTATTCCATGTCGACCTCAACCTGATCCGTCGTTTCGGTGTGTCCAACAGCAAAAGTAGTGCGAATTTCCACCTCAGTTCCATCCTCTGACCTGGTTCCTAGCAGGGTTCCGATGACACGCTCCTGGTCGGCATTGCGACGGAGGGAATGATCAAGGATCGAGAAGAGAGCCTGTCATGGGGGCATCAGGGCTTCCATCCTTCACTCATCATTCCGATACAGCAAACATACCTGAGGATGAATGACAACATTCAGAGGGGCGGTTGTCGGTGCAGACCCCACTGCCATCGGGCCCAGAGGGCGAGCAAGGTGAAGGAAAGAATCAGTTTCAGCCATGATGGGTAAGAAGTGTTAGAAGCGCGAATGGCCGTTCTCTCTAGCTCTCGACTCTTTCACTTGGTATCTTCCTCGGCGTGGTGGAGAGTAGCTCTCTTTTTTTTATCAATTCTTCCGCCCGCTAGACTCTGCGCCGACGGAGGTTCTGCGAGGCTCAAATTGTGTGTGCGCAGCGGGAATTTCGCGCTAAGATAAGATAAGCATCCCCGACCCAAAGAGAGGGAAAAAAAATAATTCGGAAAAAAAAGACAAAAAAAAGTCTGGTGCTTTCAGAGCTGCAATACCAATCCTTTAGGGGCATATTCTCTTTCGCAAATGGCTCCCCCTCGGAATAGAGGTCCCAAGGGCCGTGGAACTCGTGCCAGAGCTCCTGTCAAGAGGAAAAATGGCTTCACAACATCCCGAGTAGACGAGATAGAGTGAGCTTCTCCCGCTGGGGTTCACTTACTCAAGCTAACCAGCCCACTCAGGTCAGAAGGATCCTCAAGCGGAGAGGAGGGTCAGTTCGAAGACAACCTTGGAGATGGAATGGATGAAGATGATGGTCTCATGGACGATGCATCGTCAGGCAGCGACGAAGACGAAGAAGACGACAAGTCGGCCCGTCCATATAACGAATTGCTTCAGCTACTCAATACAACCGCTGACTCGAAAGGGCCGGCACGCAAAAAGAGAAAGACCGAACACAAGAACAACAAAGAAGAGGCAGCTCGGAATGACACGGTCGTCGCCGCCAGCGAAGAGGAGTTACTGGAAGATGACGACTTGCAGCTGCAGGAACCTTCTGATGAAGAGGACGAAGATAACTTGGATGAGGCAGATGGCGATGATCAAGCCGACAGTGACAATGAAGACGGTACAGCTTTTCAGTATACCTGGTTGAAGATAATCCACTTGCTGATATTGAGCAGATAATGATCCCTTCGAAACACATTTCTCAGGGAAAAAAGAAGACGAACTGGCTAAGCAAATCAAGGCTGTAGAGGATAATAAATGGAAAACTCTGAAGAAAGAGCTCCCCGGGGATGTGAGATTGGTGCGCACTGCACCCGATACGGGAAACGATTTGTCTTGCCTACCTGCCCTGAAGGGTATCGCGAATTTAAAGGTAAGCAATAAATACCCTACGAGATGGCATGTGGAAGACAGCGTCAGTTGCTTATTACGCCACAGCTCAAGAAAAAGTTGAAGGCGCCTGCTCTGGAGCATATCTCTCAGATCAGCGGCCATGCCCAACAACTCGCCCCGTACATCTTTGATTATCAAGACGTCTTGTATGGCGCCAGAAAATCATCCAATTCGGCCCAGTTACGAAATCTCCTGGCAGTCCATGCCGTTAATCATGTATTGAAGACCCGGGACCGTGTGCTCAAGAACAACGCTCGTGTCGCAAAGGAACAAGATGCCGACCTCGATCTGCGGGATCAAGGCTTCACCAGGCCCAAGGTGCTGTATCTTCTCCCGACCAAACAAGCTTGCGTGCGTGTCGTAGAGTCAATCACCCAGCTCTTTCAACCTGAGCAGCAAGAAAACAAGAAGCGTTTCATGGACACTTTCTCTGCAACGGACGACAAGTCCTGGGAGAGCAAACCGGACGACTTTCGCGAGTTATTCGGTGGAAACGACGATGACATGTTCCGACTAGGCCTCAAATTCACGAGAAAGACTGTCAAATTTTTTGCACAATTCTACGCTTCAGATATGATCCTTGCCAGCCCACTTGGTTTGCGCACGATCATGGACCAGGCTGAGTAGGTTTTCCGAGGGCGTCCACGCTACATGAAAGCCTAGAACGCATGCTAACGTACTGTAGTGCGAAGAAACGTGACCATGACTTTTTGTCTTCTATTGAAGTCGTTATAGTAGATCAGGCCGATGCCCTTCTTATGCAGAATTGGGATCACGTCGACTATATCTTCAAACATCTCAACCTGCAGCCGAGGGAGGCGCACGGCTGTGATTTCAGCCGCGTGCGGACATGGTATCTCGACAACAACGCACGATATGTCCGTCAAATGATCATGCTAGCTTCCTTTATTACCCCAGAGATCAACTCGGTCTTCTCCACCCATATGCTGAACGTCTCTGGCAAGATTAAAATGACGCCAGTATATGCTGGGGCCATCTCTGAGATCCCACTCCCAGTATCCGTGAAGCAGACCTTCTCCCGATTCGACAGTCTCTCGCCGGCGAAAGACCCCGACGCGCGATTCAAGCACTTCACCACGACCGTGCTCTCCTCTTTAGTCCGCAATATCACATCTGGTCGGGGGAACAATAGCGGTGGAACCTTGATCTTTATCCCGTCGTACCTGGATTTCGTCCGTGTACGCAATTACTTTGCTACTTCCGCGCAGACGACGAACGTCTCCTTCGGCGCGATTTCTGAATACTCGGACACTCGGGACATCATGCGAGCTCGTACACACTTTATGAATGGCCGACACTCCGTATTGCTATACACCGAAAGATTCCATCATTTCCGGCGGTACCAGGTCCGTGGCGTCAAACGTGTCATCATGTATGGAGTGCCAGAAAACCCAACATTCTGGGGGGAGATTGTGGGATTCTTGGGCCTGGATCCGGCAGCGATCGATGAGGCGGCCGAGGGAGGCGTCCGCGCACTGTTTTCCAAGTGGGATGCCCTGAAACTGGAGAGGATCGTTGGAACCAAACGAGTTGGGAATATGCTGCGGGAGAAGGGAGGTGACACATTTACATTTGTATAGATCCGAGTTAGTCCCGAGTGCTAACTCTCTTGTCATGTACGTATTATACCAATATTCGTTAAGACCTGACAGGTACTGTTGTTATTATAGCGTGTGCTTCTGCTTTCTTTTTTTTTTTTTTTTTTTTTTTTTTTTTTTTTTTTTCCCCTAATTCTTACGAGACTCGAGCGATTTTGTTGGATGGGATCAAGACCGGAGTATATCTGGGTTGGATCAAGAATTCTGCTCCAGCTGAACTGGATAAATTGTAAGAGTTCTTGTAGATGTAGAAAAGTGGGTCAAGCCGCCGATCCACCCGCAATTTCAGTCCCTCCGTCAACCATCATTTGACGCCGATAGCGCTCCAAAGTCACCGCGCATTGGAGGAAAAGTTCGCGGTTCTCTTTCTCTTTTCTTTTCTTTTCTTTTTTTTTTCGCTCAGCTTTGGAGATCTTTCACCTGACTTGTATTTATATATTATTATTCCCTTCAAATATAAGTAATTAAATCAATATTGCCTACGTATCGGAGGAGATCCATTAGTCCTTGAGCTGAATCTTCCTTATGATCAACCCCAGTTTTCTTTGCCTAAAACTGTCTACTTAATACCTATCTCTTTTGATTCCTCCGTTTCTCCAGTCCTTTAAGTCCCGGAAGGGAAACAGAAAAGAAGTTATATTTCAGCCCACATCGATCTAATATGATGCCTCCATCGGCGTCCAGTCAGGATGAGAACCAGCATCCTGTCGAGGATGTCAGATCCGACCCTCGCGGCGTGTTTTCCGCGGTATTTGGTTGGGGCAGAAAGCGCCACACCACCCATGAAGATGATGATGAACGGAGACCCTTACTGGGATCGAGTTCGCCCATGCCATCGTCACCATCGGCATCATCATGGTGGGAAACGACGTGGGATTCGGCGCAGGAACTCTGGCTTCAGGGTAGGGGAATGATCCTGGTCCTGTTGGCCCAGTTCTTCGGGGCTTCCATGAATGTCATGACTCAAATATTGGAGAGAAAGGGGAGGAATGGGGAAGGGTTTCATCCGTTTCAGGTATGATCATCTAGCTGCTTCTAAATATCCCCCCGGACTAAAATGTACCAGATCCTGTTCGCCCGCATGTCCATCACGGTTCTGGTCAGTTATCTGTACATGTGGTACACCAAAGTCCCTCACCCGTTTGGGACCCGCCCTGTACTTCACCTTCTACTGCTTCGTGCAGCCGGCGGCTTTGTTGGCGTTTATGGGCTTTACTACTCCGTTCAATACCTACCACTGTCGGAAGCCACAGTGTTAACTTTCCTAGCACCTATCCTTACCTGCTACGCCTGCTCTCTGTTCATTCCCAATGAGACCTTCACACGCAAGCAACAGCTCGCTGGCGTGGTGTCGCTAGTTGGTGTGGTTCTGATCGCACGGCCTTTCTCACTCTTTTCGAAAACAAATCCGCCCGACCCCCGAGAGCTCGGCAGCGAGGAGCAGCCTGATTCCGAGGATGAGTACCACCGTATTCTAGCGACCGCCATGGCACTCATGGGAGTGATGGGGGCATCTTGCGCGTACTCGACCATCCGAATGATCGGTCAGCGCTGTCATCCGCTGGTGTCTGTCACATATTTTTCCTTCTTCACGACTGTTGTGTCGACCGTGGCCATCCTGGTGTTGCCTTCCATCGCGCTGGAGCTGCCGGGCACCCCGTTGGAATGGACTTTACTCTTGGGTCTGGGTGTATGTGGGTTCCTGCTGCAGTTCCTCTTGACGGCTGGTCTGTCGTATGTGCCTCCACCGAGGAAATCGTCCACGTCGGGACAGCATCGTCAATATGGAAGCGATGGGAATGGGGAGCCGAAGGAGGCGTCGCGCAGCTCGTCCGGATCGCGGGCGACGTCTATGATCTATATGCAGATGGTCTTTGCGTTGTTTTATGACCGCGTTGTCTGGGGAAGTACTCTGTCTCTCATGAGTTGGATGGGATCTGGTTTGATCTTAGGAAGCGCCATCTACGTGGCCGTCGTCCGGGAGGCGCCCGCAGCTGCCGCTAGGGAAGATGAGGATGAGACGAACTGAGTACTACGAGGAAAACGGAAACGGAAATAATGAAAAATTGGCCGCGTACGACGTCACGACTTGCATGAGCGGAGAGGAATGAAGGCCTGGAGAAAGGGCGGGTGGGGGAGGTGGGAGGAAGGATAACTAATGCATGCCGGAGCCGGCGAGGTAAGAGCTACGACGATCTGAGGGATTTGACAGCCAGCGATCATTCCCTTTAGATGGGGAGGAGGAGGGAGGGTGATGATGGTGATGATGTGGTGCTGCTGGCGGCAACAGCGCAAAGTCTGTTATTGATTTGATTGTCGGCTATATACCATAGCGAAGTGTTGTATAGACTTGAGTACTCGTACATGGATAATGGATGATGATTCTAATTCGTCGTCGCTTCTGAAGCTCCTCACCTAGGACGCTCAGGACAGGTTGCAGGCCGTGCGTCGCATGCAGAAAGTGGCGCTCGACCTGTGGATCCACGATGTTGGTATGATTGGTGGTGGACGACAGTGCTCCGTCTGTGTTTTGTTGAATGGCGAGGATACTGCGCCGTATGGACTTATGTCTACTCGTAACCACGGGTCAAACATGCACAGATGCCGACAGTTCTGAATCTCGCCATGTTAGCCACAGCGTCATAGGGTTACAGTTGACACCGAAAAGTCCCGACGGCTCTTCCCGAGACTCACCGAACCGACTGATTGGTGCCTGCGGTGCCTGAGTTTTTCAATGTAAAATGATTTACCCCGGATTCGGGTGGCGTTTGATAGGATAAACACTTTTGTAGTTATACAGTTGTACATCCACTTCCATCGACCCATATATATAGGCTTCAATCTATCGATCTCTTCCATTGATCGCCCCCAGCTCCACCTTTGATTCTCTTTTCCCCTCCCCGCAGTTTCCTGTACAAATATATACATACCACATTACCTTGTCTTCCCCATACTTTCCCCACATCTCTCGAAAATATTCTTATATAGGTACTCTTCTGTCGTGGAGGCCAAAAATCAAGGACAAAAGAGAAAAAAAAAAAAAAAAAAGGGAGGCACTAGTAGTTTGGAAAAGAGAACATCAAAAAACTCACAATGCGTCACTTCGATGCCTGGTTACTGCGAGATCCTTACTCCATCTTCCACTACTACTCCACAGGACGAAGATGGCAAGAGACTGTGCGTGATTTGATTCAAGAGCGCAAGATCTGTGCGCCCTCCGTGGATATCTCTTCACAGGCCTCCTCCACATCATCTAAACCAGTTGATCCATATGCCCGGCCCATGGCATCCCAATCCGAGAGCCTATTCTTCCGCAAGCTGCCTGCCGAAATCCGTCTCATAATCTACAACTATGCCTTCGGCGATGAAGCAATCCACTTAGTCCAGCTGAAGGGCAAGATCCGCCACGTCCGGTGCAAACACGCCTCGTCGTCGCTCGACCGCAACCGCCGCTGCTGCCCGGTTACCCCAGCCCGCTGGCGGGTCCAGGATAACCGGACTGCAGGCCACTCCGACAGCGTGCTCTACCCGCACACGCACGCCTCCCTCCCAGCGGCCCTGAGCAACTCATCGGTGGCATTGCTGCGCACCTGTCGCGCCATCTACACCGAAGCAGCCGACATCCTGTACGCCAACGCCGTCTTCGACGTAGACGACCTCCACACCTTCATCGCCTTCTCTCTCATCGTCTGTCCGGAGCGGCTCCGCTCCATCAAGCGCCTCACCGTCCAATGGATGCCCATCTGGCAGCCCATGGCCGGACAGGAGCACAAAGCCTCCATCTATTCCCATACCCACAACGACCGCCTCTGGGCGCTTTTCTGGACCCGGATCGCCGCCCTCCGCGGCCTCGAGCAGCTCCATCTGAGCCTGGATCTGGGCCGCTTCAGCGGGAACGCCCTGGGCGGGGTGATCGGCGGGAAACGCTTGCGCCTGGCTATCGACGAGCCCTGGGTTTCCCCGATGTTCTGTGTCCGCGGCCTCAAGTCGTTCGAGTTGGGCATCACGGCCCGCTGCGACGCTTACGCCAAGAGAGTGATGGAGCAAGACCTGTGCCGGGATGCAATGGCTCTGCGAGATGCTCTCCGTGAGCGTATGTGCTCCCCGCGTGGCCAGATACCCATCGTAGCTGGTCTTCAGATGAAGAGGGCGTGTGGCATGGAGGCGGAGGTGCGCGACGTTCCGGAGAGGAAAATGCGGCCGCGCCTTGCGATCACGGCTGCTTGAGCATTTGGCATCGCCCCCTCAAACACTTTTGCTTATATCAAGAAGTAAAAGAATACGCATATCAAACTTACTAATGGAGGCCAAGGCTCGCGGTAGAATATGACGCGTTATAGTCACCGACCAAGAACAGCAAAAAGAGAACAGCGCAGCAATTTACAATTTAAGAATGAGATACCCTTGATGCTTGCATTTGTGATTAGTTTTCATTTTCCTATTCTTGCTTCCTGGTTGTCCACATCTTGTTATGATTGTACAAGTTAGAGAGATGGCCTAAATTAGATTTTGGTTACATTTGCCCAAGCCAATATGTCAGTTAACCCAACCAATTCACCACCCAAGCCTGTGTGTGCAACGGACCTTCGCCAGGTCAGGATATGGATAAAACCCACATGAAACGCCATACTTGATTCCTTCAGATATCTATCTAAATCTATCTACAGCCAAGGCAACCTATTAAAGATAGTATCCTGCAATCACTAAACGGGGAAAAGAAGAGAAAGAAAATCCTCAGCCGACATAAATACAGATCAGAAGAAAAGCAACAATAGTAGAACAAGTGAAAAACAACGATGAATGAAATGAACCTTTGGCCTTTCCCTAGATTTCCATACAATTTAACCCAAACTCGGAGACATGCGATTTCTTTCTTCGACCCGACAGGAGCAATGATTATGTGGGCAAATGTCATCATAATAATAATAATAACAACAACAACAACAACAACAACAACAACAACAACAACAACAACAACAACAACAACAACAACAACAACAACAACAACGGTAATATCAACCAGAAGGTTAAAAAAGTAGAAAAGAAGTCGCAAGTATCAATAAGGAAACATTATCTCGTATCAACCCATCTGATATAAGATCATATGATAATGGTCATGGAACTCTGTGGAAGGAAAAAAGAAAGAGGAGATATTGATGTTTTCTTTTCTTTTCTTTTTATTTTTTTTTTTACCGATTTCTTTCTTTTCCTTTCCAAGTCGCCATGAGATAAATGCCAACCCGTCATTTTTCTTCTTCTTTCTTTCTTTCCCTGACCGAACTTGCATGTGCTCGGCGAGACATAATAAGCGGCCGTTTGAAAGAGAAGACGATCACAACTTGCTAAGGCTGAACCATGCATGACCCTCTGCTCTAATTTGTCACGGCATTGGAGGACGCTTTCGATGGTTCAATGTGGCCGTTGCTGCGTTCCTGCTCGGACTCATGCTCCTCCTCACTTGTCGGGGAAGGGGCGCGGCTTTCCAAGAGTGACCGACGGCTGCGCATCTGTGCATATGTCAGTCAATAATAGCTCAATTGTAATTGGGGGACGGAATACCCTTACCCAGGCTCTTACACCGCCAATCAATCCCAAGCTGTACCCGGTTGCAAAGTCTTCATTCCGTCCGTTTCCAATGGGACTGTCAGATCGACCCACTGATTCCACCCGGGACAGATGGGTTTTCATGGTGCCAGTAGTAGGGCTGACCACGTTTCCCCGTGTACTGCCCATGTCTATACTGTTCCTCGCGCTCGGTGCCGGGCTGCCAGGCCGGCTATTCTGCCAGAGCTGCCGTAATTCTCGGCCCAGCTCCTGGCCCGTGCTTGTCCAGTTGTGCCGGATATTATCCCGAATCTCCGCAACGTGTCGCTTGATTTCCAGTTCGTTCTTTTTCAGCCATGACACGTTCAGCTCCTGTCTCGAGGCACCACGCTTGAACTGGCGGGAAATGTACTGGTCGTAGTCGCGGACAATTCTGCATTACCAGTCAGCCTCCAGCACAACGCCACAATAAGAGACGGGTCTACTCACCTGGTGATGATTCCGGTGGTGCTAACACCTTCCGTCCTCTGAGTAACCAAGAACTTGCCCTGGGACTTAATCGGAGCGTAGATATCATCCCCTTCGGCCGCACCATAGGGCAAGTCATCATGCGCAACGTAGTCGATTTGGTGCTCGTCAAGAAACTCCGGAGTCAACAGCCAAGGGCAGTTAGGAATCACTTCGTCCACCCATTTACAGTGACGAACGCTCTCTGCGCGCTCCGCGCCACTCAGGACAGTAAGACCCTTCCGGTTGTGAGTCTCCTCGTCTCCAGTCACACCGACCATCAGATGCACATCCGGGAAGGCCTTCTTCGCCTGCTCAAGCTGACGCATGTGGCTGTTACGCAAGAAGCTCCATTAGCACCATTGTAAGTTTCCAGAATAGACACGTTAACATACCCCACGTGAAACAAATCGAAGACACCATCCGCATACACGCGTACTGGGCGCCCCACGGGCGGGGGATTGGTATGGTATCCAACCGGATCCTGCAACCCGGCCTGCTGAGGTGGCTGCATCATGTCCTCGGTATCCTCAACATCTGCCGTTTTGATCTGTAATCCCGACCGGCCCTTGCTTCGGCTTTCGATATCGCTGCTGGCAACCGTCGTTTCTGACGGCTCGCCCGGATCTTCTTTGCTGAGTGCCGAAGGTTCATCGGTGGCAGGACCATTGGTTTGCTCGCCAGCCGTTGAGCTCTTCCGAGCCCGTTTTGATGGCGGGATATTGCCCGCTGAAGTTACATCAATTGGCGCCTGCTTCTTGTACTTGACCGACAGGGGAGTATTCGGGCCGGTGGAATCATCGCCATCTTCACCCGACGCATCGCGTGATGAAGGTTGCAGAAGGTCAGCGGAGATTACATTGGACGGAAGGTGTTGGGAAGCACTGCGCTTGCGCTTTCCTGCCGACGACGGAGAGGACATTATGATGGAATGGGGAGGTAATGACCGAGTGAGCCCTGCTCTACTTCTGTCGAAAAGGGGTAGGGGGGGTGGTATGCTTTTGAAAATCTAAAGATCAAATTAATCTCAGGAGAGAGAGAGAAAGAGAGAAGAGAGAGAGCTATCAAGGGCAGGAAATAGAGACGCGTGGGGAGCGCGAAGAAGACAGAGTAGAAATGAGTGATGGGGGAAGGAAAGAAGAAAGCGGGAAGAGTAGGTCAAAAACACGGGACCCGATTTAATGATTTTAGGGGTCTTGCTCTTTAGTTTCCCCTTCTAGCCCCTAAAACCAATTGATTCATGGGGGTGGAGAGAGACGGGGGAAGAGTGTGTGAGTTGAGTGAAAGAGGAGAAGAAAATCAAAAGGAATAGATCCTGTACTCTATTTCTTTATTGTTTCTTTTTTTTTTTAAAAAAAAAAAATTTAATATATATAGATATATACATATATATATTATTTACTATTCTCCTTCAGGTTTTCATTGTAAGAATTTTTAGACCAGTCTCTCAAAATCATCTCTGATATACATATACATACATGAAAGAATTAAAATACAAAAGCGAAAATACCTTTTGAGACAGCGCGTGGGCGGAACCCTTAATATGACTCGGTAAGCGTTAGTTAGTTAATTTCCAACAGACTTACTAAGTATACTATACTAGTATAGTACCTCCATAGGATCCATAGTATCATACATACAGTGAACTGTCAGAACCATTCATTACATGTATTTCGACTTCCTTCTACAATTGCCCCAACAATTCGCGGTTGATTCCTTCAAGTCCCTGCCAATGCAATGTTTCTTCCAATTCCTCTCGACCTTCTCTTTATGAGATACTCTTTTCTTCCCCGGCCTGGAAACCATACACTTCGGTTTACACTAAATCTCTCTCTCGCTTTCACTCTTTCCCACCCCATTTCATCATACGTCACTCCGGTATGTGGGCTTGGACGCATTCACTCGGCCAACGATTCTATATTCCGTACGAGTAAAAAATAACAGAACATGAGAAAGATCGCTTGTATCCATCACATTTCCAGAACTCCACTGCTGAAGCATTCGACTAGATGCCATTCCAGTTCTGACTAAAAAGGTCTTCATGCCATTGATTGCTTTCCGGATACGCCGTCACATGTGCAATAGAGCATCTTCGTTCCCATACTCCCCCGCCGACTTTACTCTCCCCGGCTCTGCCTTTTCCCCCAAGAGCCCCGTTTGGTCCATTATGCGACCTGGTGCGAATGATAGAAGAGAGCGGCAGATCCCCGGGAAGTGGTGAGGGAGAATGAAACCAGACGAAAGTTAATGAATAGGTAGATAGATGGAGCAAAAAGGGCGGGAGAAAGCCACGGATGAAAAAAGAGAGAAGGGAAAAAAAAAATAAAGGCGGGGGGAATAAATCATAATTATCAAAGTTCATCAATAGTGGGTCATTTGGCACGATATCTTGTGGCAAGGCATGAATCAAGACGTACTCTCGTAAGAACTGCCGCTCGCGGCTTGAAATGGAAAACGAAGTAAAACCTCCTATCCTAAGAGGAGCCCTTATAACCCATCCTGCAAGACATGAAAGATACCTGGCCATCTAGGGACACAGAAGGTTTTCCGCCACTTGTTCCGCCCCGTTCAATGCCACGGGGTGTCAACTGCAGGGAAAGGGAAGAGGTGACTATTGTGATAAACCGGGAAAACAAGGTGAAAGTGGGAGGACATTGGTGCAAGGCGGAACAATCATAAAATCACAAGATTCGTTTCAAAAACCAAAATATCGGAAAGGGGGATACAGATGCAAAGAGTCCATCACAACTACGACGTAGATTTTTCAGGGGCTCCAGAGGTAGAGCTCTCCGCGGCAGCAGAGGTTGACTCGGATGTACTAGCAGATGATCCTTCTGCAGACTTGGAGGCAGCGTCAGTTTTAGATTGAGGTCCCGGAGTTCCTTCACGCTCATTCCTGGCAGAATCAGGCGATTCGCGTTGTACCTGACTAGGCAGATCCTGGTCCTCCTCAGTTTGGTCAAAGAGCTCCTCGTCGTTTTGATCAGGGACCAGTTCAGTGCCGTCACCTAGGAGAATAATGCGGCCCGAGCGAACACTGAAGCCACGCGCGCGATCATTTTCCATATCGTAGTCATCCGGATTTTCTTCAAACTGATTACGGATACCAGGGCCGCGGAATTCAGCTGCATCCCCGCTCAGTCAGTAGGGGTTGGAGGCCGTAGAATCCTCAAGAGACTTGCCGTATTCGGGAGGAGCGCAAGGGCCGTCGCCTTTGGCCACCCGCTCAGCTATCTGATTATACCATTCCTCTTTAGTCCTGCCGTTCAGGAGGCCAATGATTATCATAGTCATGTTGTCACATCCAACCCCACCAGTTTCGCTGTTTGAAGCCAAGCAGTTGTCCATCATGTTCTCACAAATCCGGTAGAGTTCTTGCTTCGCAGCGATACCGCGGCGAACAAACTCAACCACAGCCTGGGAAGACTGGCAGTCCCAGATACCTAAAGCTCGGTATGAGTGTGCAGTTGACAAAAGAGGTGATCGTGGAACACGTACCGTCACAGGCTATGACAAGAAATTCATCGTCATCACTAAGCTCATGGACTGTCACATCCGGATAGGCGGTCACGATCTGCTGTTCGGGCGCAAGCTCCGGGCTCTTCTTGAACTCAAAATCACCAATGGCTCGCGACAGGGCCAGGTTTCCGTTCACACGGCCGAAATCGACAAAGCCACCTGCGGCACTGATACGAGCTTTCTCGCCTAAAGTAGTTCATCAATAAAAGATCACGACGAAGAGGCAGATTCAACTAGGACTGAGCCACGGACCTTCATTTTGTGGTTTATGATCAAAAGAAAGAGGCTTTGCCCGGCCCTTGACTCCAAGCACGGAGCGAGAATCACCCGCATTGGCCTATGTCCAGTTAACGGTTGACCAAGCTGACTATAGCTGACCGCTGCATCGATCACAAAACTTGCTTCACGTACCACCCAGATCTTATGCTTTGAAATTACACTGACAGCTGCCGTACAGCCGGAGACTTCTTCTTCATATTTCGGGTCTAACCGGGTCAGTCTCTCAAGGCCTCGGCGATAAGAGAAACGGGAGAGGAGGGAAACCCGGAAGCCTTATGGACAACGCTCACGAACCTTCTAAGATAGCCCGATCGGTGGCTAAGAAGCCATCTTTCAAGGCCTGTTCAATATCACCCTTTGCGAATGAATCCTGTTTTGCGACGATCCTGTGCACGTTTTCTCCGGCAAACAGAGCGACTTTGTCTCCACCATGTCCATCGTATACTCCAAAGAAAGCTAAGCGTTTGGCGGGATCCGTTGGTGTCTCTTCTGGACTCGTATACTTCGCGTGGAGGTCTAGGACGGCAGCATGGGCATCCTCCATGCTGATTCTCCAGCCCTGCATGGCTGAAACGCCGTAAATGCAGCAATCATCCTCACCCTCGGCCGAAGTCTAGAGACAGTTAGACGATATTAGCACTGATGAGGACGATTTATCGCGCAATGTTGGGTGAGCATCGGTTCGTGGACCGTCCGCGGGAAATTTTCTTTCCTCATGTGGAGGACCCCGCAAGTGAGGTGCATCACGATGTGGTGCCTCGAGACCGAATCAACACAGGAGTAATTACAGAAGAAGAACCCCCGGGAAAGCGAATCAGGCATTGAACAGAAGAAAAAGAGAAATGTATATATATAATTGAAGTAGGGAGATCGTCCCTTGGGAAGCTTGTGGCAGGCCGACCGAGTGCCCCTGCGGCCTCAGGACGGAAGGGAAGGAATTATTGCGTAAGGACATTGTAGTGTGGGGGGATCAAAAAGGAAGACCAAAGCAGCAACACTCGGTTTCACGTACCTTATCGACTACTGGTTCTGACAAAGTCTGACCCATTATTTCGAATGATCGCAATTTAGAAGTTCTGGGAAGACTGTAGGCCGGAAATGCACATGCACAACTCAAGAGTAAAGAGGGAAAGGGCAAAAAAATTCGGGGGAGGGATGTTCTGTCAGAGAGGGGAAGAAGGAAGAGAGCAGAGAATCAGGTGGGCGAGAAAGGGTAAGGGCAGAATCGATAGGCGGCGGGCGGGAATGGCCCCAGTGGTCAATCCTCTCTATCACTGGAGCGGGCGCAGAAAAATGAGAACAATTGGGGGTGGGGACCCGGTCCGAATCTGATGATGAAATATAAAGACGGGAGGTACTAAGTAGGAACCACCCGATCACGAAGAACAAGATCGTTGAATTTTTTGAATTTTTTTTTTTTGGTATTGGAGGGGCGGGGATAGATAGGTATCAAAGAAAATATAATAAATCAAGAACAACAGGGTGGGAAGAAAACAAAAAGGCAGAAATTTGGGCAGGGAGGAAGAGAATGGAAGGAAAGAAGGGAAGGAAAATCTCTGGAGTGTCACGGGTTGGTACGTATGTATGTATCTCGGTGCAAACAGAGATTTTTTCTCATTTTGGATTCGAATTTTATTTTCCTTGTGTTTAGATACTCTCTCAACAGGCAATCCTCGTCATTTAAACCGAAAAAGACCCAACACCAGGCAGACAAGCAAGTACATCGTTAAGAGGTACATGTACATACATACAGAGTCCAGGCAGAACAGTACTCCGTACTGTCAGCACTGGATGATTCCGTACCTGTCAGGCCTGAGTAATGACGTACATCTTACCATCGCAATAGATCCCCTTCTATTAGTAGAGTCATACTATGAGATCACCCCTGGTGGAACCTCAGGAATAAGTTCGATGAACTCGATGGAGTAAGACTGGCGCATGGAATCCAACAGAATTTGACCCTTTACGGTTCAAAAGGGGGTGCCTTGCTTTTCCCCTTCGTATTAAAGTACCATCCTCCGTACATACATAGTACGCCGAGGCATTTCCTACCGTTTAATACCGTCGCCAGATGCAGCAGGAGGTCAGGTGTCTCCCGGCACCCATTTAATTGCGGTAAGGCAAACATTAGGCCTTGCTTCATATGACTGTTTGTTTGTCTATCTATACTGAACATCAGTACTGACAAAGTTCACTACGAGAGAGGTAAGGCAAGGTGTACGCAGATATTGGTTGATCTCCAAGTTGCTCTCCTTGCTCGTGTTTCAATTCTCCGAATTTCCAACCCTATCGGAAATGAGGCCCTGTGCACCTCGATGGCAGATCAAAATAGGCCCACGAATTGAATTATTACAAAAATAAATGCAATAATTTACGCCTATGTAAGAGAACAAAGGCAGGGGGGGGTATAGAAATCCTAGAGAACGCTATGGCGTTTACTCGTGCATATCAATACATATATATATATTTGGGGTAATAAGGTGAATTTATTGAGGTGTCCGTACGCTAGACGCAGCCAGTCCTGCCAACACAAACAGCATAGCACCCACCATGTATGGCAAGCCCATCCAGGTACCACCCAGCGTCATACCTTTTCGAAATGCATTGGCGAGCAACGGTCCAGCAATCATGCTCCCAATCCCCTGGACAAGAGCGATTGTGGTATTGAGTGTCCCGATTTGAGACTCCGCAACCAATGTTGTGGCCACATTGCGGAGGGTGGAATAGAAACCCCAGCCTAAGGCCAGAATGGATACACCAACGGCGAACAGCACTGGTTGATCAGCCACTGCCATGATGCCGAACCCAACTGCTAGAATAGCTGCACTTCCCTGCGTTATTCGAAGATCTCTGACAGCCGGGGAAAGGTACCGGTTCAGATAGTGGGAGATAGTTGGTAGCAATAGAAGCAAGACGACGAGATCAATCATTCCTTTTAGAGAGATGAGAAAGCTTGCCTAGACATGATGTGTCAGTGACTATATTCGGCCCTTCGTCCGCAGCATCGCACCTTTGCCATTGTCCATGAGTAGCGCTTGGAAGCATATTGGATGATCAACTGGAGGGCCTGCCCTCCAACACTAGCCGCCAGGAATGCAATTGAAATAGCCACCGTGTTGAAATTTCCCCAGACAAATGCAGTTAAGCTCATGATATGGGACCCGGCACTATAGAGGGACCCTTTCCATTTAGGCGAGGTGGGTGGATGGTCAAGCCGATCACACCCCTCATCTGCCGATTCAGATTCCAATTCGTTTGGCGACTTGGGCAGAGTCTCCGGGATAAGTATGGCCGCCAGTAAGCCGCAACCTTCACAGAGCCAGCCGAGCAGGAATGGAAGCCACGGCGACCAGGACATAAGCCAAGCACTCAGAGGTGTTGCAAGGATCTCGGCAAGTAGGACAGCCGCAAAGAGCACGAAGAATATGTTTGCACTGGACAATGCATAGAAATTAGTATATCCATTACAAATAAGGAGGGGGAGGGGGATCTCTATACCGCTGTTCTGCGGGAAAGATATCTGTGACAACGGTGAAGGCCACAGAGCTGGCTATTTGAGAACCACCACCACATAATTGAAATAAAGGCGTGAGCCAGATGGCTCGAAGGGGAATTGCTTCACTGTACAAGCCTTGGATAGTTAGTCAGAGGACACATATGCTATGCCAAGTGTCGTCACGACATACAGATGATGCGGATCGCGATCTCCTCCATGAGGAGTCCGCTCATACTTAGCATCGCAACAGGCTTGCGGCCAATGCGATCCAACAGGAAGCCCAATGGCAGGGCAAGGATGATTCCCGGGATCTGGTCCAATGTATCTTTCCATCCACTGATCAATGCCAGCTCCCCCTGTACATCTACAGATTTGCAGGGTGTATCATCTGACAAGAACTGCCCATGTGGGAGGTCGATAAACAGTCCTGGATGAAACCTGCGACAGATGATTGATTCCATAATCTGAGTCTGTGGAGCAAGGGAGAGGAAAGTGCCAAAGTCAAGTGTGACAATTACCGTGCATAAGAGAAATAGGATCCATCGCTTGTGCTGGTGCTTGTACTCGACATGCGCTCTGGTTGGATGGGTTCCTAAGAGTGGCGTTGAGATCTCGGGATCTTGATCGGATACCATCCTCTCTTTTTTCGATGTTTATTCTTGTCCAGGGTGGAGGCTAATAGTTACTATTCGAGAGAGATCACGCCCGGGCTTTAGTAGGCCCTAAACAATGGACGTGGGGAGGGAAGAGGAGGAGAGGTAGAAAGGCGGATGCGAAAAATAAGCACTAAGACAGGGTTCAAGAATAAATGACATAAGGAAAACTCATTTCCCAAATGTCAGCCCCCAACAGATTGACACGTCAAGTCACTAATGAATGGTATCACTGCTGTAAACTTTTGTATGAATTAGTTGATTTGGCTGACCCTTGGGGCATTTTGGCTACCTTATAAGTTGGGGGAGTCAAGTGATTTAGGGTTGGTTCTTTGAACGGGGCTTCTCATTGTACACTTTCAAAGGAACAATACTAAGGGCAAATCTATCACTATAAGCGATAGTTTTACGGTCCTTTAGTATCTATTGCCTTTTTTTTTTTTAAAAAAAAAAAAAAAAAAATTTGCTACTAACCCAAACTAAAGCGCAGTGTCAGCTACATCGAAGACACGCAAAGTGAGATGAATGGATCAGGCCGATTGGGCGTGCGAGGTACCACTAATCAAAAAGGTCTTGACTGATCTGCGATAGTATGTAAAGTTGGCTTTCTTGAATACTCAACCTCTCCTTCCAGTCAATCCTATGTATATGGCCCATAAATAGAATAACATGCAAGCTTGACGTTAGTCCTATCAAGTACTCAAGCAATGTAACTGCTATACACAATGGCCAGCATACAGGAGACCCTCCATATCCTGTCAGACTAGTCGACATCCTAGACGGATTTGACTTGGATACAATTAGTATGTTTCCCTAGAGGTCAAAAGAGCCTCGTTCTAATATTCTCCCTCCGGCCATAGGGAGATATCATCATTTTAACCTCAAGATGTCTTCGTGATTGATTTATTCCACCCTTAGACGGAATAATAAACGAGATATCTATAAACCCTCTAGCCCCATAGAGTTACATTTAGCCTCTTGCTTATTGCGGACCAGTTAACGACACTTTCAGCTGGGTAAGTGAAGGTGGTGTCTGTAGGTTTGGGGGGCAGATTGATGTCAGAAGTGAGCCCCAACCATCACAGAACCAAATCAGACTTGGATCGCTACATTGCTGCCAGCTAAGTCCTATGGTTTTACCTCTTTAAACGCACCCGTACAATTCGAAGGAGACTGATTCGTGCAGTCACAGTGGGCTATTTTTCTCCAAGTGAAGGTGCTGTCATGAAAATCTCACAATTTTCCGTAGATGTAAACTATTATGGGGACATTCCACAGGATCGGGATGCTACGTGTCGTAGCTATAGGACTAGTAGCCCAGTCTATTATTATAAAGACATTCGATATCTATCGCACTATGGTCGCTCAAACGATACCATCTAAATCACATAAGACATGCAGCCATCATCGCCATCTACACCAACAAAACACAAAGGGCAATCATAGCAGCTACGATTTAGTCATCAGCATCAACCCATACCAAGGGCCCCTTCTTGTCCGACCGCATGTCCTCTGTGGCGAGCACCCGAAGGGTTTTGTTGAAGTATGTGTCCACCACGACCAGTTGTGGTTGTATCCATAGCCCCCGTCTAGATGCCAGTAGGTTGTACCGAACCGTGTGTCGGCTCAAAGGCACCAGCTGAACCACCAGTGTTTTTGGGCCACTAAAGGCGAAGTTTTCGCTGGCTTCCATAGTTAAGTTGAAGGTAAGGAAGTGCATCGACGGATTCTCGATGGTGTAGTCTAAGTGAATCAATCCTGAACGTATCTGGGAGGTCATTGCCGAGGCAAGCACACGTGGTTCTCCTCCAGGAACGACAAAGCGAGGAACCGCAAGTGTGGATATAGTCGTACCGTTGCTGCTCAGGGCCGATTCACTCTCATCGGTTGCGCTTCGTCGCCATTGAATCTCGAGAGCGAGATTCAGCGCTGTAGGTCGTCGGTCGCCTAGAATTTCCTTGTGGATATCCACCACAAAATTGGATTCGCGAAGCTCCTCTAATTTGATCTCCGGCCCGCCTGGACTAACGATGGCTTCAGGGCCGATGTGGCAGGTGGCACCTCCACCAACTCCAACTAGCACCAGTGATATTTTCTCAATGACAAGCGGCGTCAGCGCAAAAGAAACGACCTTTGAGTTGAGGCACCACCGCTGCTGCAAGCCCCCAATTTTCGGTGTTGAGTCATTTCCAAGCAATGCATCATCGACAGTAAAAAAATCTGGCCATGGTTGAGGATGGAGACGTGGCATGAATTCGTAGTTGGCCTCGAATGGTCGTATTATTGGTATTTTCACTCTCAAGGTTGCGATGATGGGAGTCTGGGTATCAGATATGAGATTGTATACAGATGAAATTTCAAGCTCGTAATCAGAAGCATCGTGTGTATCCGTGAGGACGATTTCCAGTTCCCGGTGGGAGGAAGTCTCCAATACCCCAAGAGGCCGCTTGATGAAATGAGAAATGCCTTCCACTGGGGTGCTCCTCTCGGAGCCCTGTATCCCTGGCGAGCCCTCCTCGTCAAGCCATAAGACCTTAGCTGCCGATTCTGGTCGACCAAAAAGCCTAGCCTCGGCTGTAACTTCCACAGCCTCATCCTCCTCATTGTGGATTCCAACCTTGAGGACAATGCGTTCATTCGTGTAGTAAGTATCCATCAGGTTGGGAGTTGTGATTCGTATCTTGGGCGGCTTAGGCTTTATCCTACATCTGCCAGTGTCTCGACTCTTGCCTACCCTCCTTCGAGCCACACAGTTGTTGGTTTGTTTCCACCAGAAAGATTCACGTTGGGTCAGGTCTGTCATGGCACAAGTCAGGTCGAATTTATTTTCTTCAATCAAAAGTGTGATCGAAGCCACTCGAGACTCCCCGGCTTCTCGAGGGATACAGGCCACGTTGAAGACTTTTGTTTGAGAAGGGCCAATGGTCAGATCGGCAGTTCCAATGAGTGGTGTTAAGAAACTAGTCGGTGACTGGAGGGATGCCGTATCACTTGATGTGCTTGGCTCTCGTAGTAACGGCGACGATATTGTGCAAGGAGTCGTTGCGTCCGTTTCAGCTACCTGGCTTGACTGTAACTTTATTGGACGCAGGCAGCCTTCGAAAGCGATTTTGATCTCAGAAAGTCTTATAGGGCTTGATGATCGTTGCGCGCATGATGTTATGACGAGCTGGCCATGCAATGGCTCGCCAACATTTCCCTCGGGTCTCTCGAAAATAAAAGACGCCGTGACTAGTGCGAAAGAAAAACCATGCCATCGTAAGTCATTATCGTGAACTATTACTCTGGGCACACTCACCACTCGATATAATATCCTCCGCTCTGAGAACAACAGAGGGTTTGGGTGTAACTGGTGTAATATCCTCAAGGCTTCCGTGGATATCGTAACACCAGTCGGATTTTGGTTGAAATGCTGGCAACAAGCAAGTGTTAGAAAACAAGGTTCCGGTTATGAAAGGTACGGCAGGAGATATATTGCAAAGCAACTAGAGTCGAAAAACACGCCTTACCGCTGTTGAGTAGCTCCCAATCCACTCGTAAAATTGTTTCGCTATCTTGTACTCGTACAGCACACTCCCTCAAAGCCCATCCGAATCTTTCCATAAGCTGCCACCAGCCCGAATGCCGCCAAGTGATGTTAGACCAAAGTGGCTGAAGTATATTGTAGGCTTCGGTCCAGGAACCTGCCCGCATGTGTTCCTCCGCTATCTCCAACCTCAGGCACTCGGTCTTTCGCACCTGGTCACGCTTGGAAAATTCATCTAGTGCGGCATTCAATGCTGTCAGAATTAGGGCGGAATGATTGAATCCCTCCACCCCTGATTGGGGTGCTTCAACATGAGTCTCCGGTGCCAAGTATGTGTCATATAGGTAGGACTTGCTCGCTATCTGCGAAGCAGGAGACTGCCCAGGCGGTATTCTGTCCTCGTCCGGAATCTGCTCTGCTAGATCCCGTCGGTACATTGTATGCTTTGCTGATCGATACAGCCAATAGCCTTCGTGGTGTAGTTGTTCCCACGGACAGGACACATCTCCGGGAGGGACCGTCTTTTCACGGGGGATGAAGATTGAATATTGTTCGTTAAACTGATTCTGTGTGATGCCTACTGAGGTGAAGTATGGAATCTCGGCTTGACGAATCAGTTGTGCCATTACCATTGACCATCTGGCTTCCCAAGCCTCCCAACCATAGTTCCTTGTGCCTTTACCTCTCCGGTTGATGATATCTTGTGACCGACTTCGATGTTCCACCCAAGACCGTACGGCTGCAGCGGTTTGTCCCGTCCAGAGCAAACAACGAATAATCCGTATGGCTAAGGTATCTGCCAGAAGGCGTGCATCATTGAACCTCGGGCTCCAGCCAGCAATATTCTCGAAGACTTCCTGCCCAAACAAAGTCTCGTATGCACTTTCGTAATTCCGAAGAGCTGCATCTATCTCCTGCCTGAATTCTGCAAAGATCCCCATTTTGAATTCGTACCGGACATTCCATCCTTGAAGAGATAAGGTTTGCGATGTCCCCGTTGTCGGTGGAGCCGTCGGGGGAGGAATACTACTCCGGTTTCGTTTCCGTCTTGCGTGTTTAGATAAATCCCGATAGTATTCCATCAGTGACGGTTGAAGTAGTGTTAGAAGGGACTTCCCAAACTCTTTTAGTTCGTCGGGTGTTGCGTCAGGTGGGAGAAGAAAGATAGACTTCTGGTCCAGATTTGTCGCTCTGCGAATGCCGGTCACCCGGTCATCGACATCCCCAGTGAAAGCACCATTACTTTCCTCCGAAAGGAGAACAACGATAAATCGCGTCTTATATCCCGATGAGGACCAGTCCTTCTTCAGTCCATTGATTTCTATCTTTAGTTGATTGTCGCGCAATGAACTCATATTTGGGTCTAGGCAAAAGGGAAAGAAGTTGATCACAGCGGCAGGGACAAGGTTTTGGTGTTTTGTAACCCATAGGGGTGTGAGTAAGCCATCTGAAAACGTCGGCGAACTAGGCGTCAGTGGAGATATTGGAGAGTGAAGTACAAAGTATGGCGCATGCGATATGTCATTGTCCTGGCTGGTGGGGCTCATGGGAGGAGATACAGGTGGGGGATCAGCTTTGCGCGGGGGAAGTCTATAAGACTGCGACACGTTAGCAAAACGCTCCTTAAGCTTCAAGCAAAGTGATGAATCAAAAACTAGAAGAAGGAAAGAAACGAGTGTTATGAATCTTGGAGTAGATTCTCCGCTGGGCAACTAGACTCTAGAATAGTCCGATATGTAGCGAGAGGTCGGTTTCCTGGAATAGTGTACAACGACATACCCGTCCAACGCTCTTGATTTTATACTCAATTCCGGCAGATTCCACTAGAGCATTCTCCCTAGCTTCCCATGGAGTTCGCGACGCATCTTCCGCCAGAAGTATCTCCCGCAATTCTTCCGCCGTCGAACCGCCCAATGGCGGAAGATCCGAGTATATATGGACGCCCTTCTCGTGGAGGAGGGGATAATCAGTGCAGCTTGATCCCAGACCATCTTCGGATTCTGGTTCAAGGCCAGAGAGTAGGACGAAAGGAAGGTTGTGGGCGACATAATCCTCAGGGTAGGCGTCCATCTCGGACAGGTAGTTTCTCAGTGGGACGTGCGGTCACCGCATATCTAAGTTGGGATGAGACGTTTGAATGGTCACCTGAGGCGACTGACTCAAAAGCAGGCGTCAATTCGGATACTCAAAAACCGTGTATGCTTCTAGGCTTTAGAATGACATAGAACGAAGCTATATTCTTTTGGGAATTGTTGGGCGGCTATGGTGGTGGTGCATTTTCTTGCCAAGCCACAGTTGGGTTGTTCAAGAGTGGTGGCTTCTTGTCTTCGACGGTCCGCCATCATCAAAACATGCCAAGACTAAGTGCTATTAATCAGTGGATCTTTCAGGGCACCAGATGTCACTTCAACTTGTTCCACGACACTGTATAGAAGTACTGGTAACGCCCGGCCTTTTTTTTTTTTTTTTTTTTTTTTTTTTTTTTTTTTTTTTTTTTTTTTTTTATATAGCATTAATATTTTGTACATCTGCCTATTGGTTGGGTTAATGATCAGTCTAGAAGGCAAAAGAAAGAAGAAAGTCATCTACAAGCAGACTGAGATTATTGTTTACAGTCTGCGAGTATAACAGGATATCAGGAACGCGGGTCTGTATATGTAAGACAATCCTTGAAATCAATGCGGAGCAGTGACATAGTAGAGCACGTGCATCCAATTACCTTCAGGTGGCCATCGGAGCCCCGAAAGGTTCAATAGGTAGCTATTCATGGAAATGATTCCAAGACAGAAGCTTGTTGCGAGCTGACGTATACTAACCATGATACACTCGGCGAGGTGAGGAGAAGGAAGGATCAGAGACACTTTTGGTCGACAGTATGTTTCACTTTGAAGCTACGGCTATTATCCTTACTGCTATCCTTCGGCACTTGGTAGTAGTAGGTGTACTCTGTTGTTGGAGGCATATCCACTTAGTTAAACTCCGAACATAGTGGAGAGAAATGAATATATCTTTAAGCTATTCGTGGAACAACGGTAACATGTATATTGATATATCCATAGGTGTATAGAATAAGAAACAGGCCGTTAAAGATATATCTCTCCGCGTGTTTACTTGCATAGACTAGAATTTAGGATGAGCCATCCAAGGCTGCCCCTTGGGAGGAACTAATTCTATCATAATAAGGGGGTGCTTTTATGGCTGGATCAACGAACTGACTCGAAAGCTCACGGAAGTGTATCAATGCGGTCCGGTGGGGACGACTCTTAGACCGGGTCCGGAGCCTCCATTAGCATCATGGATCTTTACGATCGCAGGAACCAACCATAGTTTGATACCCAGGAGGGTTGAATTAATTGCTTCCCGCACCCCCTCCTAAAGCTCCAAAATTGACGATAATAGGTGGGCCATCCGCTTTGGGGACCTGTTCCTTGGTTCCTTGAAACAAGTGATGCCGCAATCAGATTACACAGTTAATTTAATTAGATACTGTAGAATTATTCGAGGCCTTCTCAATCAAGCAATACCTAAGAAGAACTTGAACCTTGAATAACCACCAGACTCAAGGTGGTGTTTCATTTTCTTTCATTCCAATCCTCGATAGCGATTAGTCTTCACTCCATCTACTAACAAAGCATAACGACCACAAATGACAGGGTTGGAGGGGTTCCCTGAAATTTGGATCTGCGAACCGTGCGGAGGAGGTTTTAATTGCAGCTTGACTACTCCGTACTAACTACTACTAGTAGTAGTGGCATTGCAATGCAGAGAAAATTCAACTACCGCCAATCGGGGCATCGGGCAATATCACTTCAAGCAAATAAGAATAGGGTGGGGAAGGGCAACTATCCCGCTTTCGGATAGTGAGAGGGACGCTAAGATTCTTTTTAAGGAGTTTACTCCTGGCACCTAGTAAGGTACTAAAGTATTCTCGACGGTATTATTATGCCGACTAGGAGGTAAAAATAAAAAAGACTCAAGGGAAAGAAAAAAAAAAAAAAAGAAAAAGAAAAAAGCCTGATGATAATAAGATTAATATCTGCTATCGCTAAGCCTATGCTGGATTGAATTCAACAAGGGTGATTGTCCCAAGTCCTTCGTTTCTCCTTCTATCCTGAGCTTGTATTTTTAAAATTGGAAGTCGTCATTTTCTTTTCCCTTTCCTCTCTTCTGCCCCTCAGTCAGTTTTCTTTCTCATCTTCTTCTGATAAATATTTTCCTGGCTCTGGGATACATGCCTTCTTCCCCAGCTGCCATCTCGTTAAAAATCCAATTCCTATGGTAACCCTTAATAATCCTAATTGATCTTCAGAACACTTAATTACTTTTTGATCACCCCCCTTTTTTTCTTTTATTCTTTTTTTTTTTTTATTCTTTTCTTTTTCTTTCTTTTCCCCCCCTTCTCTCTCTCTTGCATTTGGGTGTTATCTTCGATCAGCATTCCCCCTCGTTTCCAGTTAACAGTCCTGCAAGGGGCGTGCATGTCGCAAGGGCGTCGACGGGATTGGTCTGGATCCTAAACTGGGTTTTTGCTTGCCTTTTGGATATTTTATTTTTTTTTTCTGACTGGCAGATCATCTGCCCAGTAATCTAGAGTATAGATTGACGCCGTTGGGTTCACTTGCAGACGCCAATCCCTCCTGCACCCACTGGATCATGCAAGTGCGCGTCAAGGCCGCCCGCATATATCGTTTTTGATTGTCCTGACCCGGTCCCGGGGCCAAGGTTCGTGGGGTCTTATATATATATACCTTGTCGATGGTCACCATGGATCGCCCGGAAGACTCTGCGGCGTCTATCTTCAGTGCCCCCTTTCAGTCCTCATCGTCGCTTTTAGCCCGCCGCCGCAAATCCCACTCACATTCTATTAATCGCCCCCCGGTCGACCCGGCGTCCCCTGAAGTAATAACTTCCTTAATATCATCACTCTCAACGATTTCGGTACCTCTTCAGACACATTTCGACAACGTACCGTGCCTTGATTCCGATACCGACCTTTCGCTATCCGTTTTACCGTTAGAACGACACTCCGCCCCCGGCGCAAGCCATGAACATGGTGTTGCGGTAAGAACAGGGCCGCCTCAAGCCTTCGAAGAGGTTTCGCATAGTTCCTTTCTGCACCCAGATGACGCGGCCGCTGCACCGGTCATTCGCATGGCCCGGGCTCCTCCATCTCCAAAATCAAAAGCGACGACCGGTGACGCTTCTCCTTCTCCAATAAGACCTACTTCTAGGGGCTCATACACGTCCTCCAGAACGGCGTACGAAGATAATACATTCGGCATGATCACAACCGAACCTGGTCCACGAGTTTCGACTGCACCTAGTATTACCTCGACTAGTTCCCGGAAGAGTTTAAAGAGTCAGTTTGGTCTGTTGAAAAAGTCGTCTCGGGAGTTCACATGCAACAAGGATAGACGCGCAGAACGTTTGCGGAAGACGAGTAGCTACAACGACAGCTTGAGACATAATCTTCCTCGAAGTAGAACCAGTGTACGCTCGATGCATTCTATCGCTGATGTGGCCGGAAATGGCCGGTATAGCCACTCCGCTAAGGAGACCTCCCGGGAACACGGGGCTAGCTCTCCGAATGAAGAGTATCTTTCGTTGCAAAGCGCGCGCACGAGCGCCCCCAGTACTCCCGGAGGCATCGGAAGTGGCAGGGCAATTCCTGTTCGCGAGTCTTCTCTACGTCATAGCTTCTCTTCCAATTCTAGACACCATAGATCTACTCGCCATAGTCGATACTCGTCCACGGCGAGCAAAGATACGAAAGTGGACAGTGACACTGGAAACGAAGCCGAGCATGTGACCAAGAGGATACGAGAGCTGAAGGATCAGCAACAGAAGATCAAGAACGAATTGGAGATAGACGACAGCCCCGACAAAGTCACCAGGGGGCCGTCCGCAAAACACAATCAACCACCACAAAAGCCTAGTGAACTCGACAACGGCGGTGAGCCAAGTGATACTGGAAGCAATAAGGTCAATACGTTCGATGAGAGCGCTCCAGCTCCGGCTGTTATGACGGGGAGAAGTAGATCTACGACCCGTAATAACCCGCAACTCGCATCAAAAGCAACCAATTGCCCGACACAGTCGTCTGCGCCGAGACAATCCTTTGACAAGCCTGATCAGAATGAAAAGTTACGTTATCGACGTTCAGTGGAACAGTCAACCGCGCCGCGGCACCATAAACATTCCCCGTCCGGCCCTGTTTCTCCAGGTCGTGCTTCTGTTGTGGATGAGCGCCCATCCAGTGCTGATTCAGTCGACCTTGCAGTTCTAGATTATGTATCCGCTCCTAGGCTTACCCAGAAAGTAATCCATCCTACCACTGGCCGCGAAATAGCTTTTTCGGAGGTCGGAGACCCCAAAGGACACGTCGTATTATGCTGTCTTGGAATGGGCTTAACCAGATATCTAATGGCGTTCTATGATGAGCTAGCGCGATCGCTTCATCTCCGACTCGTCACATTGGACCGTCCTGGGGTTGGCGAAAGCGGGCCTTATGTAAATGAGGCGGGTACTCCTCTCGGTTGGCCAGGTAAGGACACCGTGTTCAGCGCCTATGAGATTAAAACTTGCTGACCTGCCATAGACGATGTTGCGATTGTATGCAATTATATCAAAGTAACAAAATTCTCTATCCTCGCCCACTCGGCCGGTGCTATTTATGCGCTGGCAACTGCCCTAAGGATTCCCCAGCATGTCAGGGGGCGCATACATCTTCTAGCTCCTTGGATCCCTCCATCTCAACTGTCTTCCATCGGCTCACAGAGAGCCCCCGTTCCTACCAATGCCGTCCCGTACTCTCAACGGATCCTTCGTGCCCTACCCACGTCTATCTTGAAGGTTGCTAATTCGAGCTTCATGAGCGCAACAAGTGCGAGCTTGACCGCCAATCTCCCCAAATCCTCCCGGCGCACTAGGAGAAAGGCGACAATGAAAGACTCGTCCAACTCAGCTTTACTTGAAGCCAATGGCTCTCAACGTCATCCATCCAACAGAGTATACCAACAAGGAGCCGACCTCCAAGCGCTACAGATCAAGAAACTGCAGATCCCTAATGGGACCAAAGTCGAAGACACTACAACAAGCCAGGTGGTGGCTGAGTTCGAGAAACGTGAACGCCAGTCTGATTATGACAACCGCCTGACGCACAAGATCTGGGAACTGGCCACCACGAATGCAAACCCGGCGGTGGACCTCGTCGTTTGCTTGGAACGTCGACAGCCGATTGGATTCCGCTATGTTGACATTACCCGCAATGTCGTTATCCACCATGGAAGCAGAGACACGCGTGTTCCTGTTGATAATGTAAGGTGGCTTGGCCAAAGCATGCGACGCTGTGAGGTTCGTATACTCGAAGGCGAAGGGCATGGGCTGATGGCCTCAGCAACAGTTATGGGTAATGTCTTGATGGAAATTTCCAAGGAGTGGGAGGACTGGATGACAGTAGTCCAGGGCAAGCGTCGAGCAACTATAGGAACAAGGTCAGGTATCGCCATCCAAACCTGATCTGGTTGGAAGTTGCTGCATCGAAGTCATGGGAGATTTCGAAGAATCTGGAGAACAAAGGATGGGGAAGAAACCGAAAATAAACAGAAGAAGAAACAGCGGGGATTGGAAGGACGTCGGATAGGCATTCTGAGGACTCTGGCCATGGCCAGGGCCTCCCACCTAACTAAGCCTATGCTGTCATCTTACGTGGTACTGCTGCTGGTTTTGCAGTCTTTGGATTTCACGCGTTGCTTGACAAGATCAACCTCGCCTACTTCTAGGTTGAAGCTTGCATTCACATGCCTATAGATACGCCTTTACTCTGACATGCCCTGTGTTCGATATGATACCATTGGCGCTTTCGATTGTTGTTTTGTTCTCTTAGCCTAATACCCGATCATGCTGTATGTAACTGTTTAATCTATAATCAACGATCGCATATCACGGAGGAAGCCTGAGAAGATGTAATACATATAATCTACTACCTGCCAGGATTGGTGGTCACTTAGTTATTAGTTAACTAGTAACTAGTAGTTAGTATGACGTAAGGGCTAAGCGCGCGGCTCCTGATTTCTTAAATCTAATTACTAAACTACCCCCGTACAAATGCATGAATGTTGACTTCTTCTCGCCCCCACGCCCACGCTTTCTTTACTGACGCTTGAGTCGCACTGTACAGGGAGCGCTCAACACCCGAAGGATCATTACATTACTATCATCACTAAATTCTCTGTGCACCTTTTAACAACAGGTGTTGTCGCCGATTCCCCAGATGTTTACTTACCCTTGGTGTCAGAGCTGCGCCTATGACCCGTCGACGCGGCTAAACTATTGAAAAGAATACCGACTTCAATGCACCCAGAAACCGATTGGTCTTGAACCCCGAAGCTCAAGTTCTAGAGCATCAGAGCAAGCTGTCTAAATCGAACGACTATCGCCGCAATTCCTTCCACTTTCAATCGACTTCATTAACTCAAGATGCTACCTCAACGGCGCATCAAACTCCTAGTTATTGCTGCCCTAACGCTGGTTATCATGGCCATCTACCTTTCGGTAAAATGATGCCCCGTTCCTAGCTTGTCTGTCATGACTAACGAAGCGCACCCCCATTGATTAGAGTGATGCACGGAGGGTACAGAACCAGAAGTTCTACCAGTCTACTGTTGCCGCAATAGAAGCACACAAGCAGACGAAGGAACCTGGGGTGGCTGCAGGCAGCTCCGCGGGCGAGCAGCGGTTTAGCGGGAACCCGACTCATGGGGACGCAGCAAGGCCCGCAGATGACAAGATGGCGCCAGCGATTCCAAGAAACGGTGACGAAGAGACGGAGGAGATATCGATTGCCGGGCGGACAAAGATGACCGTTCCTAAAGACCGCAACAATCCAGAAAGGCAAGACCAGGAATCAGGTACCGATGAGCGTGTGGAAGCGAAGACCGAGCTCAACAGTATACTAAAACGATCGCCGAGTAAGTAGTTGCAAATTTTACCCCTTCCCTATGTACATGTCGCCCGGTTGCTGAAATTTGTGCCCGCTGCGCAGTTATTGTCTTTTCCAAGTCCTATTGCCCCCATAGCGCCCGGGCCAAGTCTATCCTCTTAGACAAATACTCAATTGTCCCAGCACCTTACGTGGTAGAACTTGACCAACATGCATTGGGCCAACCACTGCAAGCTCTGTTAGCAGAGAATACTGGCCGCCGCACCGTGCCGAATGTTCTAGTTAGTGGAAGAAGCATTGGTGGCGGTGATGAAGTGGCTGCTCTCGATGAGAAGGATGAATTGGCATCAACATTGAAGACGATGGGAGGACAGTGGGTCCAGGAGGTCAGTCGTAAGGAGGCAGGGCACTAAGACTGACGATACTCAATCATGGCGATAAAGCAACCACAATGCTTATGATCATGAATAATACATAATATATATACTTTACATCTAGGGTTGGAAGCTCTTTGATCAAGGGAATTTGTTGAGTGAGGCATTGCGTGTTGCATCTACGAGGGCAAGTGAAATGTTACACATAACCAGGTAATCATATGCCATTTGTAGAACTCGGCCTTGAGGTCAGGATGAGTATATCTCCCCTTCTGATGATAGGATCATGTATGTTAGTTGTTGATAGTACAGGTCGTACTTGGACATCCACGTGATTGACACGTGATAATTTTAATAAGAGACCACAAACTGATGAGGATGAGTTGCGCAAGAGAGAAATGACGGCCTCCAAACGTAAAGATCATATAAGATACACTTGTCGGTCCAACTACCTGTAAATATATACATTCATCATAATCGGTCACTATCATTTTAGATAGATAGAGTGTGCCAGTTTGAGCCTTAGGTACTAGGTGAATGGAACGGTTATGGAACTGGTCCTGTATATTACCAAAGTCCGGAACAACCCTAGGCAGAATACGCTAAGCCTGAACGAGTCTTAAGCGACGCACAACCCGTGATTTTCACTCCACCAAAGAAAGCGACCGGCTGCCTTTGAGGAATTTCGATCCTTTCGAACGACCGACCGCACGACGACATCGACAATTCTCCCTCGGACATTCCACAGCCCACGCAGTCAAGATGCGGTACATTCACTCCGAGGAACGGCTGCCCATCCCCGAGAATGGTGAGCATTGGATCGTCCCTGAATATTGTTCTGTTTCGGTTTTTGGAGGAGGAGAACCATGAGAGGCACACATTGCGCAATAAGAGGTCTGCGCCAGGATACGCCAGCGCCGGCAGGATATACATGAGAGGAGGAAATATTCACTCAAATCGCTGTCGCGGGAAATTACGACTGGTCTTGTTCATCGCTTTTGAAAGGCTCTGGAGACTGATTCGAATTTTGTCGTTTAGTGAAGGTTCACATTCGCTCCCGGGTTGTGACCGTTGAGGGCCCTCGAGGTATGCAAAAACCCCATAAGTTGAAGGAGATTTCCCACACCAAGAAGTCGCTCTACAAGGATCGTCAACGTCGTGGGACAACCATGAACGGCCTGCTTGGTTTCCCCGCTCCATTCGGTCACTAACGGGACTTCTTCGAATCTTTCAGGCAAGCTTGTTAAGGACCTCTCCCACATCGCTGTCACCTTCGGCCGCCCTGAGAAGGATGTCATCTCTATTGAGATGCACCACGGTGCCCGCAAGGGTGTTGCTGCCCTGCGTACCGTCCGCACCCTCATCAACAACTTGATCATTGGTGTTACCAAGGGCTTCAAGTACAAGATGCGCTACGTCTATGCTCACTTTCCCATCAACGTCAACATTGAGAAGAACGCCGAGACTGGCCTCTACGAAGTTGAGATCAGGTACGACAAATCCATCCTCTACATGAACCCAATGTCTGCTTTCTGGAGTTGGGAGTGGACCAGGGTTCACTGAGTCACTTGTTCTACGTATCGTGGAAGAAGGAATTCTTGCTGATGGGTTGTCCTACACAGAAACTTCTTGGGTGAGAAGTACGTTCGTCGTATCACTGCCCAGGCCGGTGTTGAGGTCGCCACCTCCGCCAACGTTAAGGATGAGCTTGTGCTCTCCGGCAACTCCCTCGAGGGTGTCTCCCAGAGCGCCGCCGACATCCAGCAGATCTGCAGAGTCCGCAACAAGGATATCCGAAAGGTAGGATTCCCCTTGTAGATTGATGGCGATACTTGCGAAGCGGTTGCTGACCATCCCCTCCCAGTTCCTTGACGGTCTGTACGTGTCGGAGCGGGGTAACATTATTGAGGAATAGATGATGACGGGGATTGTCCGCCTTGATGGGTAGTTAAGGATGCCAGGAGAATCTAATTTTCGCCTATTTGCATAGGGAAGCAAAGCGGAATTAAAGCAAAAATTTATGGACCATGGAATTCAAATGCCCCCCTTTACGTGTCCACGGGTATGGCTTTTCTCGACTTGGGGAAGAGGCGTGTAGAAAAAACGACAAAAAGATGATGGGCTTCTTTAGGAGCAATCCAATTTCCTTTTTCTCTCTTCAACCGCTCCCATGTGATTTGAAAGGAATTGTTCTGAAGATCCCAAAGTAGATCCGGGGCCTTGGTGTTGTAGATGTTGTAGTATCAAACCAGTCATGTGAGCCCGATTCCCCCAATTGGGGAGAAGACAAAGAAATGCGGAGAAGGAGTTGTTCGTTCTCTCACACTTCTACTTACAACTTACACCTACACTTAACTCTTACCCGACATACTCATATCACCGCGACACTTTCCCTTCGCCATTAATCTTCGGTGTTGATGTGACCTTGTGTCTTCCCGGATGACATACGCTCCCCTCGCTTCTCCGAGTAGCGAGCATGTGATAAAAAGGCCACCTGCTCAAGTACTCCCGAACATATGCCATCCCTTCCCATGAAAACTCCCTCAAGTTGCCTGCGGTAGGAATGGAGTCCTGGGTGGCCATTTGCGGGTTATTCGCCGCGGTCGTGAACATGATACTGGACGTGGCACAGTTTTGGAAAGAAGTGCGTTCGAGCCGCATTCTCTGGCTGGGCCAGTGCGAGGAGGCTAATATACTATAACTTGCGACAATTTAGAAGTTATTGTCATGGTGGAGATCAAAATCGCCCCGCAACAGACTACGATACCGTATAGCCAACGCCCAGACGTACGAAGAATGGGAGGAAGCTGCTTTCGAGTTGGATGAGCTTCTGAGTATGGATCTGTGGTGAGCTTATTATCCTCGAGCTTCTTATCATTGGCTGCAGTGTAGCAGACCCTCACCGAAGGCAGGCGCCAAAACCCAACAAGCCGTCATTATGATTATCGACTCATTCTGGGCCGACTGGAGGCCTTGATGAGTGCTCGAGAGGACGAAGATATCCTGACATTGGTCAATCTCCTTCGATCCGGACTTGTTCGCAATCTAGGCAACATCACCTCCCCCAGACTGTCGCTCCACGCTTATGCTGGTACAAAGCTCCTGATAGACGATTATATCACCCAGGTTGCACTTTCCATCCAGCATGTGACAGCTTTGCAGACAGCCACTGTTTCTGAGGGTCGATTTGACTCTCAAGCTAAATTGGAGTTACTACACGACACCCGGCAGGCCTTCGGCAGAACAACGCTCCTTCTGCAAGGCGGGTCGATTTTTGGGCTATGTCACTTGGGCGTGGTGAAAGCTTTACACTTACAAGGCCTCTTGCCTAGGATCATTACAGGGACCGCCACCGGGGCACTCATCGCAGCACTCGTTGGTGTTCACACAGAAGATGAGTTGCTGACTTTTCTCAATGGCGATGGCATTGATTTAACCGCCTTTGATCGCCAACGGAAAATGAGACTTGATACCGGAAACAATCAGTGGCTACCATACACTACGGGTGACAACTGGTTGTGGACTCTGCTTCGACGAGTTCAACGGTACATTCAGAAAGGCTACTTTCTTGATGCCGAGGTACTAGAAGAATGTGTACGAGCAAACCTTGGTGACCTGACATTTGAAGAAGCGTACGCACGGTCGAAACGCATTCTCAATATCACGGTGGCGACGTCAGATAAGGGCGGCACTCCCAATCTCCTTAATTACCTGACCGCACCGAATGTGGTATGTACATGATTGCTCATACGTGGCCTTCTAGAGCCGTCAGTGCTGACAATAATTTTAGTTGATTTGGTCAGCAGCAGTGGCCTCAAATGCTTCGTCCAACTCGCTCTATCAGCCCGTTACAATCTACTGTAAAGATGAAACCGGCTCAATTGTCCCGTGGGGTCTTTCGCGACATGGTTCCTCCCAGTCGGGGCGCCGCACGGAGTACACAGATGGTGAATCGCCGCTATCCCGGATTGCTGAGCTGTTCAATGTGAATCATTTCATTGTTTCTCAAGCCCGACCATATCTCGTCCCTTTTCTCCGGTCCGACGTGAATCTTCTAGACCGCCGTCCTACGGGACAGTGGAGTATCACCCGGTCACTGATGCGCTTGGTCGCTACTGAGATCCGCCACCGACTGAGACAGCTCGACTATGTTGGTCTTCTGCCACATGCGCTCGCACGACTTCTCATCGAGGAGACCATCCCTGGCCCTAATCTCACACTGGTCCCAGATCTCTCATTGAAGGACTTTACTAAGCTATTCCAGAATCCAGACAAGGAGTCATTGGCCCATTGGATCCTAAAGGGTGAGAGAGGGACGTGGCCTGCGATTAGTGCCTTGAAAGTCCGTTGCGTTATCGAAATCGAATTAGACAAGGGCTACCAGGTTGTTCGTCGTCGACGACCAGCCGAGAATCCTTCTTCTTCTGTTCAACATACTATGGGTCAGCGCCGCATGCCAAATGAAGGGGTCCCGAGGAAATGGAGAGGGTATAGTGTCGATCACGACAGAGACATGACAGGTTTGCTGGGAAATTTCGACCGTCAACAGGACGACCTCAATCCGTGAACACTTCTTCATCAAGTTCCCTATTTGCTTCCCTATGTTCTGACTGAGATTGAACTACATAGTTGATTGATCATGTATGCGCTTTTCTAGCTCTGGGGTAAAATCGAGGATACTCATCTCACATCTCAACCCCACTTAGGTGTTAGTTGTGTTAGTTGCCAAGTAAGGCTTGCTGGGTTTAGCAAAAGCAGAAATTTCACAAGTTTGATTCGTAGAAAGAGGCTTTTTCTTGTGCTGCGCCCTTTTCTATCAATTGCTAATACCTTGACAAACATGCTGTGGAGACACCCCCTTCATCGGAGGCCACAAGGTTCCATACCCTACTAGGTCTCTATTGTTCAACAGCACATTATTGATGCCAGGGTAGAACATTCATAAGTGAGTCACACATCCAAACCAAGTTGTCAATCATATTGTATCAAAAGAATACAATAGTATTTTCCCGGCATAGACCAGCAATTTATCAGGACAGATGTATATTACGATGAATACCCTACGTACGGTCTGTCCGAGTAGAGTTTAAATATGCAGTCTGGCACCCATCTCTCGGCATACAGTGATGGTAGAATCCCTTGCTCCCTCGGCTCCTGTTCCTGTGTGCGATATACTGGCCGAGACGGCGATCTAGGAAGTCGACTAAATCTCTTCGCGGGTTTGACGTCCTTCCAAGGGATGTGGAGAAAGCCATCAGGTCTGGAGGTGGCATAGCCCTAAACTGGAAAAAAGAGTCTTGTTACGGTTTGCCAAAGTGGTATAATGAGTTGAAGCTTCAATTCCAACATTACTCGGTCACGTCCGGCTTGGAATTTAACAACCAAGAATAGTGTCACTTTCCTTGACAGTAGATTATGTCACAATATACAAGATTGCCAGATGTATAACAAGAAACAGAAGAGAACCAGTCAGCAAGAGAACATTGCGATCGCCCTATTAGGGGTAGCTGTACATGAGTAGCAAATTTATTACCATCGCAACGAAAGCGTATCATCCTGGGACGTGCGGGTTTTGATGGCACTGACGTCTCACGTACCGAAGGACCCTCAAGACCCTCTAACATGAAAGAAAGGCTCATACAAACAGGGAACACCATTTCAGGACCTAATGATTAATTGACAGCAGTCTGTGGGCGAGCAGACTGGGGAGGCGACTCAGCGCGGTGGGATCCAGAACGTACGGAATGACTCTGCGACGTTGGGCGCGCATTGTCTTTGGTTGGATCATATGCCAAGGGAGGAACTAAAGTATATCTGGTCAATCACAGCCATACCGTGATGCGTTGGACTGGTCAAAATACTCACTGCTAAATCCATATCCTTCGGTGACCCCTTCCCGGTTTTGTGGGTCGATTTCTACGCGAATGGCTACATCCAGACCGCCGTACATGCCGCTGTTGTTGCTGAAACCATCCGCTGCAGAGTGTTTTGAACCAGCATTGGCCTCCCCCGCATGGAGGGGAGAGTGGCCGTCTTTGGGCAGCGGTACCACTGTACTATCATTATGTTGTGTTGAGCCACCCCCATTGGCGAAGGGGGTATCGACTTCGGTGATGCATGCATAGTTGCGTGACGGCATTGTCACCTTGTTCCAGGAAGCGCTCTTCTCCTGACCCCCTGGTTGTTGATCAAACATGTCCATCAGCGTTTCATCGGTATTTGGGTCGAGATGGTGGAGCTTATTTCTTCGGGCTAAAAGATTCGCAACTGCCTTCGGAGGTGGCTTGTTCGTGATCGCACTGCTGACGACGTTGACCATATATCGAGGGTCGTTCACACTTTGAAGACCGAGATTAGGGTTCGAATAAAAACGTCCAATAGCTGCCAAGTGCACATCTCCACCCAGGATCGTAACCCGAACCGAATAAACCTTAGCCATTTCTTGGAGACGTTGAATAAATAGCCTGCGTTCACGCTTGTGCTGACGAGCTGTGTAGTGGTCATCTAGATCGTCAAGCAGGTCTACCTGGCCGTCAAATTGGTTGAACAAGCCGCCTGCAAACCCAAACCGCTTGTTGAGTAAACGAATTGGCGCAATGATTGGGGAGCTGAGAATATTCTCCAACCATGCAAGGCGTGGATAAGCAATAGGGACACCCAAAAGCACAACCAGATGCTTGATGTCACCATTGGCCGCCCTCAATTCGTGCTCAAGTCGAGAAAATATGAGATCGTACGTATCAGGATAATTCACCTGATGGCGGGTGCGTTCCGTGCGTGCATCGACACCGATGAAGGCGATCCGCTTCCCGAGACGCATGTACAGGTTCCTACTCTTCTCTTCTACATAGGGGCCTGGTCGCTTTCCAACTATCCAGCTATCGTCCTCGGCCTGGTTTTCCAAGACAAAGGTGTTCTCCAACTGTCGAGGATCCGCTCCTGCTGTTCCATTGATTGCATGCATGGTCTGCGGGGCATCCGTTGTGTAGGTCGACCTGGGTGGTGCGACGTGATGCTGAAACAGGCAGTAGTATTTGAAAGCAACGCCTCCAATGCCGCGAAAGACGGAACAACGCATGAAGTGATCTGTGTAGGAGCCGAAGCCATCGATTATATCGTGGTCGTCCCAGATATTAATCTGAGGTATGCGTCCATTTGCCGCTTTGAACGGTTCAGTAGAGTACCATCGTACGTAGTTTTTATAGTAGTACTCGTCACATCTAGCCCGCAAGTCATTATCAAAATTGTGCGCACGTCTTTTGTGGGGGTTGGAGATAGAGGTCCATTCCTTCAATGGGCCGTCGACGCGGATTCCATCATTGTAGAGCTGGTCACCACCACCAATCATCGCATGAAAGGGTTTTTGCGTATGCACGCGCAGGACATCGTTCCACAGGTTTGGACCGATCCAGGCATCCATATCTGTGCCAACGGAGAAGCCATTGCAGGAATGAAACATGAGGCGCATGGATTGGTTTATAGATGGGACCACGAAATCCCAAGGCGATCTCATTCCCTGTCCCTCCGCATATTGAAAACCCGGAATGCTGTACTCCCAGCGCGCTTCATATGACTCGAGAGGTAGTGAGATTGAAAATCGCCAGAATGCTTTCGAGGGATCTTCGAAAAGGCGAAGGCCGTCGATCGTAATGTTTTGGTTATTGTATAAGTCCCCGTTGACCGAGGCATTGCCCTCGACCGGGCCAGCCTGGCGCAAAACGAGCTGCGGCTGCTTTTGACCAGGTTTCGTCACAATCAAAACACTGCCACGCCAGATCGAGGCGGATGGAGTGACATCCATATTCTTGAAATTGATTAAGGGCCCGCAAATTACATCTATTTGCGCATTCGAATCGCGTAATTGGCCATTGAAGGCTGCACCGGGCAAAGTCAGCGACATGATCCGCTTTTGGAACCATCCGGATGTTAGTAGAGAGCTTACCCGGCTGAAGTTGTTCGGCCATTGCAGAACGATTGCTCAGGGCTGCGAACTGCTCGTGACAGATACGGTACTGGAAAAGGAAACACGAGAAAAGAAAAGATTACTAGATGTGTTCTCGCGGGCAGAGTAATCAATTGGACTGAAACCGCCAGGGGAGGGTATCAAAACAAAGACCGAGAAACAAGCCACAAGGAGACAAAACGCTAAGACGTGATCACCACGTTATTAAATTCCGGGTGATTCAGAAGAGATCACAATAATCTGGTTCACCGTACACAAGCGAGTGGGAAAGGGGATAAGATCGTCTGATTATGGGTCGGTTAAGAACAGGGGGATGGAGTAATGGAGAAGGCAGCAACAACTTGGCGCAATTAGCAAGACAGAGGACTGAAAAGCGCACATACACACTACTCACTCACATTCACAAACACACAGAGAGAGACAGAAGGGGGAAAGGATGTATATATATATATAAAGAACGAAATGAGGGGGAGAAAAAGAAGAGAGATCCAGCTAAAGGAGCGAGGTGGAAATCAGAGGGACCGCAAATGTATGCCGCCCAGCAATTCCGCAGTAGGGCTGAAGGGCTGAGCGGAAAAAGGAAAAAAAAAATAAGAAAGTGAAAGGAGGGAGCTCAGGGAGAAGGAAGGCTGCGGAAGAGCGAAAATTGGACGAGAAATAAGCTGTCGAGCAGTGCTTGGCACCGAAACTGCAGTGTACTAAACTACCCAGAAGATAAATAGTTCCTTGGCAGTGATGGATACAGTAGAGCGAGAGCGAGAGATTGGCTTCATGATTGAAATGATGATGAGGAACACGCCGGATGCTGTGGCTGTGCCCCTGTGGGTCAGTGACTCCACCAGTCCAATGCACTAGTATTACTAGTATTGATCGGTACCAGGTACCGTACGTGGAATCTCCGAGGCTGCATGATTATCAGATGATAATGATGTATGAGAAAATGACCTGTTCCCTCCCAACATAACATATCGAATACCTTACAAAGAAATTGCAATCACAAACATGAGATAAATAACATGTGCTCATAGTCTCAGAGTACGACAAATTCTCCTTTTCTTTTCTTTTCTTTTCCTCTTCTTTTTTCTCTTTTCCCACCTATTTAAGAGAAAGCCTGCACAAGATGGAGAAACACCTGAAGCTATCGACTTGCAAGGTATCAAAAAAAAAAAAAAAAAAAAAAAAAAAAAAAAAAAAAAAAAAAAAAAAAAAAAAAAAAAAAAAAAAAAAAAAAAAAAAACAATCAGTAAACTCCAAACTCCAGGTTCGGGGAAGCAATGAACACACACTCAAAAAAGAAGAAGAAGAAGAAGAGAACGGGCCGAACAAGCATAACAAGGCTAACGCAACCAACATGGCCCCTCAAAGCTGAAAATCCAAAGATTTTTAGATTCAACCAGCAATATGCCCGTGAGGTCATTGCAGAGCATGACTTAGTCGAGTAACAGGCTGGAATGAAGACGACAATGGGTCATCCGCGCTTTTTGCTCCAATATCGAGTGTACTTCTATTTTCCAATTGTCGCTCTCTTGACCCAACTCTGGAGTAACCGAGCCATTTACGGCCTTTGTTGGAGCCCCATTCCAAGTGCACTCAGCAGCCCTCCAAAATGAGCACGATTTTCAAGGCAATCCAATTCGGGTCGGGTCTCGATTAGGCCAAGAATCTGCTTCAGGAGGAGAGAAAGTGGGGTTTTGTGGTACTCGGTCTCTTCGAGCCCATTGTACGCTTCATCCTCAAATTTAACGGCTTCGGGAGACATTGAACTCCAGCGGTAGAAAGGAATCGACTCATACTTAGATAGGGGTGGAGTTCTGGGAGTTCTAGCGGGGCACGACGCAGTTAGACTCCCTTTGGACCTGGCTACCATCCCTCCCAGAACCTCCTCTGGAGATTCGGGGGGTGCGTCAACCTCCGGAATGGTGAAGAGACTTTCAAGTCGTTGCTCCGTCTCTGCCTTTCTCTGGACCCGGTCCTGGTGACGGAGCATGTTGCAAGTATCCAAGCCTGGTGCACACCAAGACTGGGTCTTCAAGCTGCCATCTTCTACGGACTTGCTAAAGGTGAAAAGGTCGCTAGTGAACTTGCCAATAGATGAGTTCCGCTGGTAAGTTGCCTTCGTATAGTCGCCCTGTGAAACAAACCATGCCCTATACGAGGCCCGTGCCAGGATAATACGGCATTCTTCCATGTAGCGGGTGAGCCTCTCTTTGAATCTTTCCATGATATTTCCGTCCTGCTCGAAGATAACCTCCGCGAAGTCCAGTACCCACTGGCAGAAGAGAACAGTAATGACGAGCTCCATCCCCGGATCATCACACGATCCCATGGCTATGCAATAAGGGCTTGAGCTAAGAATTCCCATGCCAACATGCACATCCTCAGAAAGCCCAGACTCTAGAAGAATGATGAGATCCGGTATGGTGATACTGTACATGGTGAACCCAAGGTCCCACACACACCAAAGATCATCGGTCTTGTTGGGCATCCACTCAAAATGGCGGGCGAATAAGGCTTGGTTGTTATAGTCAAATCCCAGGACATAGTGTCTGCCATTGAAGGAAGGCCCCAAATCGGCAATGGGAAGGTTCCAAAATAGGAACTGAGGTTCTTCACCAACAGTACATGGCTCAAAAGCACGTTCTTCCAATAGCTCACTGTAATACACAGGGCGACAATCAATACCGTCATATACGAACATCCCATTGCGTCGCGCATGTGTGTCTTTCCCCCTTTCAACGGAGCAGAGGTACAAGTGGTAATCCACAACCTCCCAAGGATGGCTCACGCTGTACGTAGGAGGCTCGTTTCCCGGCTCTCTGATCTCCAAGTCGGCAGAGTCATCTGAGTGTACTGAGTCAGTCTCGGATATGTCGCTGGAGTATCCCTCTAGAATCTCTATCCTTTGAGCAGGATGCAGTGTGCCTTCGTCGAAGAAGGGCTGACCAACAACCGAGGGCGATGCTGCGTCATTCTCATTGCCACCATCTGCATACTTTATTGCCCCCCAACTTCTCTTGAGCCTGAATACGGGGGGGACAGGCGTCTCGCTTGCTGTAGTGAAGTAAATCTTGTAAGGCATTCTTCCGCAGCCCAAACTTGGGTTCGAATGCTAAAGTTCCTCTGGTAAATAGAACAGAGACTTCAGCATCAAGGGAAGAGAGACAAACTCTTCACACACTTTGTGCAATACAGAAATAAATGACCAATAAATGACTTCAAACAAACATTCCAAACAGTTAGAAGGTGAAGATCAAACAAGCAAAAATGGATGGTGAAGGGAATATGATATGGAGATGAAGGGGCTGCTAATTGAGAGCGATATGTTGAGGATGAACGCTAGGGGATAGTTTTAAAAAAAAATATGGAGTGCAGGAGTGAAAGAAAAGTACTTGGGTGAACACTACCAAAATCTTTTATTAGTATCTTTAGATTACTCCAGTAATCAATGGCCCTCACAAGCTGCTGGACATAACCAGAGATTGAGTCATTTTGATTGATGGACTACGATATTTCTATATAACCCAGTCCTGTGAACCACTATTGGCAGTCAAGTTCTACATGTTCCACCCACTTGTATAGCTATCTATTGCCGAGAGATAAGAGGTGACGCTATTGTAAACAATAAGATGTAAACGCATGGAGTGACTGATCAGATGTAGAGCCTCATGGCTTTATTCACTCACAGGAAGATAACACAAGCTAGCAAACGTCAATAGAGCTGTAGCCTATACGTTGCCTGTCTGGGAGGTTTTCTTTTATTTTCATTGTCTAATACAAGACTTCTCTTTAGCATTTAAGCTTCTCATGAATGAATGCCTACTGCAGTTGCTGAGAGGCGGGCTCTCTTTTTGTCCACTCTCAGCCCTTCTAGAAACCCATATGTCTGAAATAATGGTTGCAGATTCTGGACTAAATACCGTGCATGTCCTGGTCCGTAGAACTGCTATCTTTCTTGCCTTTCTAAAGTTGGACATTCCTTCCTTCTTCCTATTCCTATGGTTGAGATATGCAAGAACAAGATCGCAATGAGGGAAGAAGAAGAGCGAAGAAAAAAAAAAAGAAAAAGAAAAAAGACCTGGGTAATATACAATATGCATAAGCAAAGGATTAATGGGAGTGTATTGCAGCGAAAGTCACAGCTGAGCAGGCACGTCGTAGTTATACAGCTCTAACCTTCCCATCAACATCAACCCCGAAAGGTGCGCTCAAACCATGTCCTATTCTTTCGTCGTTCGTTTTCCTTTTGCATCTTGTATGCAGCTGACCATAGTGCTCCCGCCAGGAATCCTCCAAGGTGAGCCCAGTAATCAATCAATGCTCGGCGGGTAAACATGTTGACAAATTCTAAGGCGACAAGGCCAGTTAGGACCATCCATCCTTTGGCTGAAGCAACTTCCTGCCATTCAGGTGGAAGGAAGAAAAACGTGAATTCCTCACTGTCCATATAAGATAGCCGTTAGCATGGGTTATGCAAGCTGTATCGCAAGAAGCCATTCAATACGTACTCGGCATGAAGCATGCACCAAGCAGCAACCAGAGCCGAGATAGCTCCGCTAGCTCCAAGAGCAGTAAGACCCAAATTCCCTTTCAGGATATTGGCGGTTAAAGATGTGAAGGACCCAAAAACGCCAGAAGCCAAATACAGAGCTAAAAAGTCCCCACGGCCAATCTCATCATGAACTAAAAAAAATGAAATCGGTTAATGTCACGGTCACCAGACGGAATATCCAAGCACTCACGTCTTGTCCCAACAAACCATAAGACCACCATGTTCAATGCTAGATGATTTACCGTTTGATGGCTAAAGACGTTCCCGATCAAGCTGAGTGGACGAGGATACGCAGCGACAGTTATGAAATAACGATTAAGAAGCCTCCAGGCCGGGGGGCAAAGCTTCCATAGAAGAAAAACACCGACATTCGTTCCTATTATAGCCATAACCGTAGCCGCTGCTGGGGGAACATCGGGCCACAACCGATCAGCCTTGGCGGGAGCTTGGTAATTGTTGGAAAAAACGTAGCAAAGGCCAAAAGTTACGAGGGTGATGCTAAGGACCCGGAGGATACGACCGCCCTATCGGCGGAAAGGTTAGTCCAGACAAGCATGTACAGGACGTGCATCGGTAAACATACATTTGTCAACTTAGACACATCCAAGTCCCAGTCAGTGGCTCGTAGATGGTGTTTCTGTATCCATGCGAGAAGTGGGCGTTGATTGGGATCCGCACGTTCCCGCACTACATGAGTCGTTAACACCTTTATCCCGAGAATCCTCAACGCCGAAGTCTCACCTTCCAAAGACGCTGTATCTTCGAACCTCTGGAGTGCCGTATTCTTCTGCCTCATATGCTCTAGCTTTTCACGCTCCTTTTGTTCACCGTCGAGCCATTCTTGGCGTTTCTTTTCTTGTTCGGCCAAGAGCCGTGCTTCATTTCGCTTCCTGGTTTCTTTCAGAACGCTTTTGCCATACGGGTCGTTCGAATCGCCCAGTTCAGCACCATAGGAGCCACTTTGGGGTTTGTAGAGACCCAGCTCTTCTGCGCGTCGGACGAGTTTTTCCTCCTCTTGCAGCTCTTCTCGTTCGATTCGTGCGAGAATGGCAGCATCCTCATCGAGCGGGTAATTCTTGCGTAGCCATTGCAATGCCGCATCGAGACTAGAAGGACGGACGGAGCGAGTTATATCGGAAGGAAGGTCAAGATCAAGGGTGCCATCAAGACGCCTACCCTGGAGAATAGCGAGAGTCCTGTTTCCCAACTGAGGGGTTATCCTCGCACGGCTCCCAAAAACCGCATTAATTTCAGCCGTTGAAAAGGGCTGCGGCCGGAGCTGGACACCATATTCAACTTTAGGGGCCGGCTTGGTGCGCAAGCATCTCGAGCTTGTGAACAACCGGACTGAGCTTGGGAGCTGTTCCGACGTCGTACGGGAGCAAGACAGGTAGGGAGTCGTAGACGGAAAAAGGTTCAAAGGACCAAGGCGCCGCCCGAATATGCTACCATGATGCCATGGAGAAGACACATAAGAAGTGGAGCGCAGCGACGCTGGATTAGATGGAAGCAAGCTCAAGGAACGGGGCCCCGAGCATGGGATCCGCCATGCTATACAGAACACATTGCTCATATCCTGCGACTGGCAGTCAAATCCTGCCTGAAATGAGCTTTGTCAGCCTCTAAGTGGAGTGCTCAAAAAGTTATCAGTGAGAGTACAATGTCGACAAGGACTTCGTCAGAGGTTCGATGGTGAAAGCCCACCGACTTCTCCGAGGCGCCCGAGAATTGTTCCGGTAATACACGTACATATACAGTGGACTGTGCCTGGGTAGATAGTATCAACGACAGTATGTGAAAAATACTAGATGAAGATACAATATTAACAGCCCAGGTATGCCCCTGGTCTTGCTTGGCAAATATTGGTTCTGTATAGTATTATTATAATATATGCCTGCACTGCAGTATAGCTGTACGATATTGTTCTGAACGAAATTGGTGATCTATATGGAGCACTCTGTATGTAAATCTTGAATCACTCCAACCCTTTGAATGGGACTACACCAAACCATCTGACTACTCTAATCATATAAGTATTAAAAGACCTGTGGACTTATAACCTTGACCAATCCGTACCTCTCTTCCTTAGGGACCAAGACATCGATCCCTCTTGTGTACAGAGTACAGACAATCAGTGCATATGGTATTATATAGCACTGTCACGTGAAGATAAAAAAAAAACAATGACAAATAGTTGCCAGTTTCCGGAGTAGTGTTCAACATAAACACACAGGAATTCAACAGGAGAAGGAAAGCCAGTAGAGACAACCCAAATAATGTCTGCAGAATCCCTTCCAATTACTCTCGCTGCATTTGAGGAAGCTATCAAAGAGCTTCCGCTTTCTTCCGTGTATGCCAAAGCCTCCGAACTCTCCAACTCCATCGCACATCTGCGGCGCTCAAATCAAGAACTAAGGGCATTCGTGAATGAGTCATGCGACACCGAGACTGAGAAAAGGGAACTAGAAAAGTATATCACTGAAAATGATGAAGTGATCAGATCGATGCAGGAAAGGAATTTGCTACTAAGGTCGGAAATAGAGGGCCGGGGTCAGCAATGGATCGAGATCGAGGACACCGCGCCAGATACGAAAGCAGATGAGAACCAACAGCCATCTGCATCTGAACCCACTACAAATGGGGCAGCCGTAGAACGGCCAAATGGTGCGCAGCAGGAGCTATCCACCACGAGGTCTGTTCCTGATACCCAGAATGGCCACGAGCAGGATGGCGTCTTTCTTTGAAGCTACCCGCGCAAGCCAAGATAGACTTGCATCCGTTGCCTAATGAGCAATCTTATCCACGCAATATGTACGAGAGCCTTTTGCATTGACAGATAAATATTTCTATATGTAGGTTCAGACAAAACTGAACCCAAGTATATTTTGCAGACCCAAACTCTATGGTCACTAGAATTCAAGGCTCTCACGATCCGCCATTGTACCAGGTCAACCGAGCAGTCCTGGGTCCCCTTAGATGACTAGTACAGATACTTGCACTGCCGTCAATTAAAGCACTTGATGTGTCCACGTTGCTCAAGTTGGATATCCCAGGTCGAATAGATGTAGTGAGCAGATCTTCTATCCTACAATTATCACCACATGCTCACTTGGCTCTATCGAAGACAGTCATTTGCACATCACACTAGCTCTAGGAAAAGTCAAGATTATCCAGGCCCCACCAACAAAACTTATCATAGAGTTCTATGCACTTATTGTCGAGGCCAGGAACAGCAGTGTTGGTGATTAAAACCTAACAGGACAGATTGCTTTGATGGGTAAATGCAAAAGTAACTTGAAAGAGATATTCACATCATATGCTTAATGCGCAGACTTTCAACTCGAGCCGTGTCATCCACTGTCACGCTTGAACAGTCTAAGAACCGGAGGAAGGCGAACCAATAAATCGAAAAGAGAAAGAAAGACTGGAAGGAGATGCAAAGCTTGACCGTAAGACCAACAAATTTCCAACGCCAGGTTAGAAGACGGTCAATTGCCAGTAAATGAAGGAATACAACGACTTCTAGCTCAGCTAGAATTTGGTTGGCCCCAATGACCACCTGAAAGCGCCTCGGTGGGGATTCTCTGCTGTTTGATGAAGAGATCGATCAGTGGCTGCATAGGCTCCATCTCTTTGTCAGAAACAAGCTTGTAATATTTGGCGACTGTAACAAAATGTACGAAACACATGTTAAGGATGTCGTGCTTATTAATGTGCCAGAAAGGGTGCAACCAATGTGCATGGTACAGATGGGCGTAGCAACGGAACATCTGCTTCATGATTCCTTGACAGTCTTTGTAAAATGTCTGGGGGAAGCCGCTGGACTTGCCAATCCACTCCTCGCCAGGCGTGTTTGCGCCAGGACTGGAGGGGCTGGTGCCTGAAATCTCATGGAGCGCGAAGGTATCTGGCAGGCCGTTGACTTTGTCGGTGGGGAACATAACGGGGTCGTGGATCTTGCTGATAATCCATTTTTCGACACGGTTGATGAACTTAGGGGCCGAGATTTTGGCAGCGCGGCCATCTACGAGCCAGGTGTACGTTAGGCTAGAAGTTAAGATTGTCAGTCATGAACCAATTCACTGGTTATACAGTAATGACCATCTTTCGACTTACCGTCCAGCAGACATAGTCGGGCAGGTGGTCTCGTTACAGATGGGAACACCAGTAACTCCGTTGACCTCCTGGATAACCTGGAGCATACCATGAAGCAAGCGATATTGTTCGACGACTACATATGGCACGCGATCAACATACAGAGCATCAGGAGGGGGTTTAACGGTTGCCCTTACTCTGATGCGCCAGCCATTCCCCAAGCTCCACATTCTTAGGGCAGGCACATAATGTCAAGAAATTGCCCTTGACATTTAATGGGGCATACTTTTCCTGGAAAAAGTATTTGGGTGCGTCGGGGTCATATGCTGCGGGGCCGTCCAGGGGCATGTTTGGAGCGGTAGACGGTGAGTTGGGTACTTGACCCGCCTGGGAACCCTGAGGAGCTGGCGACTGAGCTGGGCTTCCATTGTTCATCTTAGGGACGTTATTATTGTTGTTATTCTTGTTATTACCACCCCGGCCAAACCCTTGGCGGCTGGAAAGAAAATCGTGTCACAGATCAGTATCAACAGTCCGATAGAGGAGACGTGGGGAAGAGAGAGGCAGAGAAAATCAACGGAGATCACTCCGTAGGGAAGTTAATGTGAGAAAGAAAAACAACAAGGTACAAGTAGAACAGTTGGCATAGAGACGAGCTGACGGAGCTATTTGTTATACTTTAAGGGGCGCATGATGTGGAAGCCATAGGGACTTAAGGGGAAGGCAGACAATGTGAGGGGACGGTACATAGGGGACAAGTGATATGGGTGAATGAAGCGGGTGACTTACACACTTTGAAAGAAGGTTGCCATGATCAAGTCTTCAAAGACTAGCTATGGTGGGGGGGTTTTTTTTTTTTTAACCGATAAGGAATAAAACAATAGCAACAACAGGAGAGAGTACAGAGTAGAGAATAGAACGAGTCTATTGATATTATTCTGTGATCTCCTCTATCGGTCTGGCCCCATGGAGCTGCCGCCGATGCTAAACTATATTGGGAGCGGAACGGATTATCCTTCGTTTCACTATGGCGGTGCGAGTATCAATCAAACATTACCTTAACAGAAGCTCCGCGGACATCACAATTGATGTTCTTGGTATCTCCGCGAGAGGGGGTTTTTTGAAAGAACCACAAAGCTATCCACTATACCTGACATATAGTTGAGAATATATTCCGCCAATTGAACTGTAAAGACTCACCTCCGAGCTGAGTTGCGACATTACCATATCTTTTTCTTTCGTCTGTGCCTGACAGTTGCACCCTATATCTGATACAACTTCCAGCCCCTGCAACTTCGAACATGTCTTCATCCGATGAGGACATTGTCCGTCGCCCTGGTCGTGGCTCAGGTGCTGGTCAACCTGCCAGCCCGTCCGGCAGCGAACATAGTAACCCTGCCACTGCACGCAATGGCAGCCCGGTCGGAGCTGACCCTGATATCCTTAACGACGATGACGACGCCGATCTTTTTGGCTCTGACGGATCAGAAGGTGGCTTTGGAAACGATAATGAGTACCGCCCACTTTTTTTTTTTTTATCTTTATGTACGATAGATATGTTAACCCGTTGCTAGTCAACCACAACGTAACCTTGACGATGAAGAGCTAGATTCCGGCGATGATGAGGATCGCTATGATCGAGCAGTGGACCGTATGGACTATGAAGATGGTGGAGAGGGACAGTACCAGGAAACGGTCAACATCATGGACTTAAGCTTGGGTCGGGCGCCCGAACCAGTAACCTCCAATGGCGAGGTTCGTCACACACCACAAATTTATAAACAGGTCATCCACGTGGCTCACTGAAACCATTCTAGATTTACACCATGCCAATCCCTAACTTCTTGTCGATCGAGACCGAAGAGTTTAACCCGGAGACATATGTTGCGCCTCCGTATAGTACTGCAGCTACATCTCTATGTTGGCGCCATGATCCTAACAATGGCGCCCTCATTCAGTCTAACGCACGCATCATTCGCTGGGAAGATGGCTCCATGACACTACAGCTAGCTTCTGCACCTAAGGAGCAATACAGGATAACAACCAAGCCGCTTGCGCCTCTCAACAAATCTGGTGACTATGAGACGAAATTAGATTCGCACGTGTACCTAGGCGCAGCCGCGGAGACGTCTTCCGTGTTCAGACTGACCTCTCACTTGACCCATGGGCTTACAGTCCACCCTACGACTGTCGAAACAGATGATGCTGTACAGCGTCTCCAAGAATCGTTGGCCGCGGCTGTTCGCGGCACGAAGAAGACAGTAGATGGGTCCGCACCTGTAATTGAAGTGAAGGAGGATCCTGAACTCGCCAAGCGGCAGGCAGAACTTGCAGAGCGCGAGAAATTGAAGGCCGCCCGCCGGCGCCAGCAGCTCGCAGATCGGGAGCTTGATCGCGGCCGCCGCGTTGGTGTTCACCGCACCGGAGGTGCTGGTCTCACCATAGGCGGATTGGAGGACGATGACGGGTTACTTACCACACGACCCCGCGCAAAGAAATCTCGTACATCTAATCGGCGGGGGGAAATATATACCGATGACGAGGAAGATTACGATCGGCGGGGTCGAACTAGGGAAGATGAATATGACGAAGATGACGGCTTCCTTGTGGGCAGCGATGAAGAGCCAGAAGAGGTCGAGGATGATGAGGAAGAGGACATTCTTGAAGATGATAACATGGATGCTGAAGGCGAGAACGAAGATGAACTACCAGCCACGAGACCAAGGGAGACAAGAGGCCGTGGAACAGAAGCTGGGTCGGGCGCTGCAGGAACCCCTCCTACTAGAAAAAAGAATCGTTACATTGTGGACGATGATGAGGAGGAGTAGAGGTCACTGACTACAAGTTTCGTTTAATGATAAGTCTTGCTACCTTCTATGAATCAGTCCTTGACGACATCTGTATCTATATGAGAGTGTTTGGAGTAAACCATAGCGAGTGAAAGATCACTTACAACTAGCCCTAACGTTAATACACTAGGCTAAACCAGAAATGTCCTCAGTTGTACTTTTAGCACTTGTCAATTGTGTTGATAGCTTGCGAACTACTTGCCTAATATTAATGGCCTCAACTATTTACTACTAGTTAATACAGGGATGCTTCCATGTACAAGGCGTATATCTACGCATGGAATGTATCAGGGTTAATGACAAAAAAGAGGGATGGAGACACCAGCTACGCATAGTTCGTGTGAGATCGTACTCTTCCTGAAACGCCTGTCAAACCAGCAACTAATCGAGTATCCACAAGCAACCCAAACGCCAAATCAATCGTCACGTGTATCATCGTCAAATAGGGTTTGTTGCTGTCGCGACAAATCTTCCAACATATATGTTCAAGAAACCACACCATCTGGGTATTCGTGCGGCTCAAACTCGAATCTGGAAATAACATCTCTGGCACTCTTAGCCACTCGAAAGCAGAGCCAACCCTGTTCGTCGCGTGGGTCAGGACCAATTACAGTTGGTGTCTTGGATCCGACGTCAGAAGCATCGGGACGAGCCTCTGGGTGCCGCTCAAGATGCCACCGTCGTTGGCGTGCTTCCATCTCTTGGACCAAGGAGAGCAAACTTGGTGAATCCGAGCACGCCACGGAGCCAGCTGGATCACCGGGTCCACCTATAACACCACTCCGAACTATCTGCCGAAGCCAGTCTTTCCAAGCCGCTGCAGGGTCAGCTGAGCTCTTGTTTAAAGCAGCCACATAGGCCGGCGGTGCCGCTTGTTTCCCGAGTTCTTCGGCATTAGTTTTTGACACTCGCAGCCAGGCATCGGCAACGATATTCAGGAGGGTCCCAGTGAACATAACATTCTGTATAGCTGTTGCGAATTTTGTTGGACATGTTTGACAACGGATGACTGCTCGCGCAGTTTTCGCAGCAATGAAGAGTGAGCATAATGTATGTTGAGATATCGGGAATGGGGCAAGAGAGGACAGATGGCTAAGGCATAGATACAAGTATGATAAACATGTACACTGAGTTTCAGAGCATTCCGAGTCCGAAGGAGTTGCGGGAGGTGAATGTATATGCGATAGACCCGGCGGCATCGCAAACGGATTAGGCGTTGCTGCAGATACACTGGAGAAGTCTGGCCAAGGCCCAGTTGTTTCAGGAACTGGTTCTGTGAATTTTTCGTGATTCAGTTCCCATGAATGGTTATGGTTATCGTCTGTCGATAAAAGGTGACGAGAGGCTTGCGGGATGCTAAACGGGGCACTGTAGACAGGAGCGCAGATACGGAATGCGTCTGATGCGGACGTAGCTTCCGAGAAATGACTTGAAGATTCGAACGTGGAATTGTTCAGATCAGACCATATTTCGTCGCCTGAACAACCAAAGAGAGGCAGTTGGTCGCTATCTTCTCTTGCACGTTTTTTGGGAGGTCGCCCCATTTGTTTCTGCACGGAGTAATGACAGACAAGGGACTGCTTTAGACAGCGGCTACAACCCGTTGCTTCACCGGAGCATTTCAGCTTCCGTTTCCCTGTTTCGTAAAATGAATATCAGTATACTCTAGATCGTGTATAACTCTTATTTTGCGATGGAGACCTACTGCACTCGTCACAAGCCGCATGTCTTTTGAGTGATGGAACCGGAAGGCCTGTAAAGTCAGGCTTGCCCGAATCACTAATCGTGGCAGCATGGCACTGGCCCCAGTCACCCTGCATCCTAAAAGTGGGATGATGGTTAAATGTTGATAGTAAATAGTAATAAAACAGGTACCCCTCCCCCAGCAAGGCTGGTACTGCTTCTAAGCCTCCCCGCCTTGTATCAATCTAAGTTGACGATAAGAGCGGCCTTGAAGGCGGTATGTCACATGGGCGGTCAGACCACATGGGGAAAAAAAAAAAGAACAAGAAAAAAAATCTCGGGTAGAGAAAGAGAGGGAGAGCAAAGAAAGAAACAGAAGCTTCCAGCCAATTTGTTGGACTAAAGCGGACGCAGGCATTCACCATGATGGATGCCTCTAAGTCTTCAAAAAAACGAAAGGCGGTTACTCGGGATGTTGAGGAGGAGGCTGGTGTGTTTTCTGGGGATGAATTGCAGGCTGGCGTCCTAGACGGCGCACTTTCAGATAATGCAAACGACCTATCCAGCGATGAGGATGTCAGCGATTCGGAAATCGAATTGGTGGATGATTTTAGCGATGAAGAAGATGGCGATGAAGAGGAAGAGCTCGATAGTGATGAAATTCCTTCGGATGTGGAAGAGTCCCCTAAGAAGACGTCTGGCACTGCAACCGCTCGTGATGAAAGCTCTAGCGATGAAGAACAGTTGAACTACCGGATTGAAAAGGATGCCAATGGAAATGACCGTTACGTCTACGATGAGATAAACCCGGACGACAACTCTGATTACTCTGATGTCGACGAGAATACGAACACCATCGGCAACATTCCCTTGTCTTTTTACGACCAGTACCCCCATATCGGCTACGATATTAATGGAAAGAAAATCATGCGCCCTGCCACAGGGGAAGCTCTTGATGCGCTGCTCGACAGCATCGAAATTCCTAAGGGCTGGACTGGTCTTACCGATCCCTCAACCGGCAAACCCTTGGAATTGAGCCAGGATGAGCTGGAGTTGTTGCGTAAGGTTCAGATGAACGAAATCCCTGAGGAGGGATATAATCCCTATGAGCCCACAGTGGAATGGTTCAGTAGCAAACAAGAGATTATGCCCTTGAGTGCTGCCCCCGAGCCGAAGCGTCGGTTTGTGCCATCGAAACATGAAGCCAAGCGGGTTATGAAGATCGTCAAAGCAATCAGAGAAGGCCGCATTCTACCTTATAAGCCCCCGACGGAGGAGGAGGATAAGGAACAGGACATAATCAACTATGACTTGTGGGCCGACGAAACGGAGCGACCAGACCATCCCATGCATATCCCTGCTCCTAAACTTCCACCACCTGGTTATGAGGAAAGTTACCATCCGCCCCCTGAATATTTGCCCGATAAAAAGGAGCGAAAGGCTTGGGAGGAGGCTGACCCTGAAGACCGTGAGCGGGAGTATCTTCCCAATGACTTTGGCTCACTTCGGAAGGTTCCTGGGTACGAAAGTTTTGTCAAAGAGAAGTTTGAGCGCTGTTTGGACCTCTACTTAGCACCCAGAGTTCGGAGAAGCAAGTTGAATATCGATCCTGAAAGCCTTCTTCCAAAGCTCCCTAGTCCTGAGGAGTTGAAGCCATTCCCGACTGCCTGTGCTACGGTGTTTAGAGGACACAAGGGTCGTGTTCGCACCCTGGCCGTTGATCCATCTGGACTCTGGCTTGCTACTGGTGGTGATGATGGAACTGCGCGGGTGTGGGAGTTACTTACTGGTCGCCAGTTGTGGAGTGTGAAGTTAAGTGAAGAGGATCCAGTGAATGTGGTCCGTTGGAGGCCTGGGAGGGACGCTGTTATTCTTGCGGCTGCAGCAGGCGACGATATCTTCCTTACAGTGCCCCCTATCGCGGATCCGGAAATTGAGAAGGCCAGTTTGGAGATCATTGACGCAGGCTGGGGATACGCAGCGTCGAAGCCTCCCCCAAGTGCTGCAGAGGAGAACAAGAAGAACATTCCTCCACAGTGGATTCGCCCATCATCATCGCTCACAGAATCCGGGGTGTGCGCTGTCATTCCCCTCCGGTATGTGGTTAAATCTCTCTCATGGCATCGTCGCGGTGATTACTTTGTTACTGTGTGCCCCGGCTCCTCGACCCCAGCTTCTGTGGCCATATCTATCCACACACTTTCCAAACATTTGACTCAGTTCCCCTTCCGCCGACGTATCAAAGGTGGTGGGCCACCTCAAACCGCTCATTTCCATCCCTCGAAACCTATCCTTTTCGTTGCGAATCAACGAACAATTCGTGCCTATGATTTATCCCGCCAGCTCCTTGTCAAGATCATCCAACCCGGAGCTCGCTGGATCTCTTCTTTCGACATTCACCCGACGTCTTCCACTGCCTCCGGAGGGGATAACCTCATCGTTGGATCGTACGATCGCCGTCTACTGTGGCATGATCTTGAGCTTTCTCAGCGTCCGTACAAGACGTTGCGGTACCACCGCAAGGCTATCCGCTCTGTCCGGTTTCACCCAAGCGGACGCTATCCTCTGTTCGCCGACGCAAGTGATGATGGCTCCCTCCAGATTTTCCACGGCAGCGTTACGGGTGATATGCTCAGTAATGCCAGTATTGTACCTCTCAAAGTCCTTAAGGGCCACAAAATTACCGGAGAATTGGGTGTCTTGGATGTCGACTGGCACCCACGGGAAGCTTGGTGTGTCAGTGCAGGTGCGGATGGAACTTGTCGGTTGTGGATGTGATTACACGCCATCGTATATATTTGTCAGTCCGCACTACTACCATTTGGCCCAGCCATTTCTACATGAGGCGTCCGTTGTGTATATTATTAGTCTTAGATATCCATCGCAAAAGTTCTATCCACTTGATACATCCCTTGTATTTCTACCACAGACTCTACAACATCAGCCTTGTCGGTTACTTCGTACAATTTCCCCTCCCCTATCCTTGTCTTCTTCTCAGCTGAGAACAGTATATTACCGGACAAGCGGTGGGATTGTATGATATTATAGTAGCATTTAACCATACATCTATAGCTTTTCTTCCCCAACGACCCACAGCAATGTAACATGGATGGAAAAGAGAATGATCTAGTTAAAAGAATTATCTATATAACACCTCCGCTCCAATCTCTCCGCAGCTTCTCATATTTTTTAAGGTCTGTAACACTAGGCCGGATGAATGCTTTCGCAGCCACAAAATCTTCATGCTTTATTGTGTCCCTCCGCTTGATGGCAGCGTATCCAGCACGGCGGAGCAAGCTTCCCAGGTCAGCACCGCTGAACCCTTCACAATCTTCGGCCAACCTTCTGAGGTCGTCGTTGAAGTCGACAGGAATGTTGCGGACCAGTGTCCGTAAAATCTCAGCCCGCTCCAAGGGGCTAGGCAGGTTCACGAAGAGAAGTGTCTCCAGTCGACCTGGACGAAGCATAGCGGGATCGATAATATCCGGCCGATTCGTGGCTGCTATTATGTAGATTCCTTGGCGATTACTGCCCAGGCCATCAAGCTCAGTGAGTAGCGTATTGACTACACGTGCAGAGGCTTCAGAAACAGTGTCGTCTCGTCGTGGCACTAGGGCGTCAAGCTCATCAAAGAATATAACACAAGGGACGGACGAGCGAGCGCGAACAAATACTTGCCGTACCGCACGTTCGGATTCACCGACGTATTTATTAAGTAACTCAGGGCCCTTAACACTGATAAAGTTGGCATGAGACTCGTTGGCCACAGCCTTAGCGAGCAATGTTTTACCGCACCCAGGCGGACCCCAGAGGAGAACGCCAGTGGGGGCTGTAATGCCAACACTCGCGTAAAGGCTGGGATTTTTGATAGGCTCGACAATTGCAGTAGTAAGTTCTTCACGGACACCCCCGAGAGCGCCGACATCTTCCCAAGTTGTGTCTGGGATGGTGGCAAATCCCTCTCGTTTAGAGGAGGGTTGAATCTTAGGAAGCGCAATTAGGAAGTCTGCATTTGAAACGAGAACCACTTGCACTTCCTCTCCGATTGGCGTTTCTTTGGCATGCGTGATTAACCGCCGCAGCTCCTTGACCTTGGGACTGAGATCATCTGCCTCTTCGATATCCATTTCCTCTCCACTGTTTGCTTTTAGTATCTCCAAGTATCGTTTTATGGCAGCAGAGCCAGCAGTGGAAACTAAATCATTAAGATCGGCTCCCACGAAGCCAGCCGTTCTATTGGCCAAGTATTTGAAATCTATGTCGTCTGCCAGACGCATCTTGCGCGTTAGTGCTCGTAGGATCTGCTCTCTGACAGGTTCCGAGGGTACAGTCATGTTGATTTCCTTGTCGAACCTCCCTCCTCTACGCAAGGCGGCGTCCAGGCTGTCCGGTCGATTCGTAGCGGCAAGAACAATCACGGGCTTTCCATCGGTTTTCTCCAGCGCCAGGTCGTCCATGCATGTTAGAAGCTGGGCAACAATCCTCTTTTCCATTTCCCTCTGCGCACTTTCTCTCTTTGGAGTGATAGCGTCTATCTCATCGATGAAAATAAGGCAAGGTGCTATCCTCTTGGCTTCCTCAAAATATTCTCGTAGCGCCTTTTCAGACTCTCCTGACATACCCGAGACAATTGAGGGTGCTGATATTGAAATGAATGGCACGCCCAACTCCGCCGCGAACGCGTTCGCAATCATAGTTTTTCCGCATCCTGGTGGACCATGTAGCAGCACACCTCGGGGAGGCTGTACATTCGATGACATATAAACCTGTGGACGGGTCATGGGTAGGATGACAAGATCTCCAAGCTCTTGGACCACGTCGTCCAAGCCACCCAAATCTGAAAGGCTGACATGTGTAGGCGGAGATCGATCAATCGCGCTCTCGGCCTTGCGGCGCTTGGAAGAATGGGACTCGCCCCCATGTTGTCGTCTCTTGCTTGACTTAGGCGCAGGGGTTGCAGCTTCTGCGCCATTGGTCTCAGGCGCCTTAGAGGGTGCTGAAGATGTGTTGTTCCACATGCCCACGATGCTCTTATTCAGGCTATTGGATGCCTACAACAGTTAGTCGCTCACTGACGTTGCGTGAGGCTAAGAAAGGAAAAATGAGGTCCTTACCGGAGCAGGGGACTGTTGTTGTTCTTCCAGGCCTTCAAAATCTCCGGTTACAGAGTCATCTTCATCTTCCCCAAGTAAATCTGTTTTTATTACCTCCACAACCCGCTCGATACTGTCTTCTAGGATTCTCTTCGGTTTTCGGTTCAAACTAGAATTTGACCTTTTGATGGAGTCGTAAATGGTCGGAACCGAAAGTCGAATTTTATCAGTCTCGGATTGGTCCTCGATAAATTTGTGCACGACCTGGTAGACCTATAGACGAGAGGCAATTGGCGATAAGAAACAAACATTAGAGGCTGGAAGTAGGATGTGGTCCTTACCTCACGATCTAGACCCTGCCGTAAAGTCGGTCTACCTCCGCGACGCATGATATGCAACACCAATCCCAGTGAGCACTTGGCTCTGCAAAAAATGTCCTGAGAAACGGAGATGGCTACGCCAGAACTGACCGATAACAATATACCGAGGGGACTTTTTTTCCTCCGACAGTCTTAGGGTTCGGGGAATAGATTTGCCGGCGGACCGTAATATATGTACTAACTTAGTATGGACAGTGCATCACCTATAGCACGGTATGTACCACGTATTGTACGGTACATACCGAATCAATTATCGTACTTAACGGTCGAACCAACGTCATTTCCATATCGCACTAGGCCAACAGGCGGACCGGACTTCATCAGTACAATATGTGTTGATAATGGGCAACACGAATAGCTCCCATAAGGTATCCGCACAGGATAAGTGAGTCCCATTCTGGCCCTCTTTTATTTCCATGTCCATCTGTTGCTCGCTGCTATAACCATCCGTGAAACATGGCCCTTGTGACTTGACCCTTCCCTTCGAACTACTAACTAACATTCAAGTATTGTGTACTTAGAGCCATTCTTGATTTGAAAATCCAGCGGGACAAGCTCCGTCAGTATGGGAAGCGTATAACGGTCCTCACCGATCGCGAAACTGAGATCGCAAAGGAATGCCTTGCCCGGGATGATCGCAATCGCGCCCTCCTCGCTTTGCGCCGCAAGAAATATCAAGAGTCGCTTCTGATCAAGTCCGAAAAGGAGCTCGATCAATTAGAACAGTTGATTAATCAAGTTGAATTCTCGCTCGTCCAGAAAGATGTCCTCTTTGGGTTACAGCAGGGTACGCAGGTACTACAGGCTATCAACAAAGAGATGGGGGGTATCGAAGGAGTTGAAAAACTAATGGGTGAGACGGAAGAAGCACGGGCGTACCAAGAGGTAAGGACTTCTAGGCCAGCTAATATGTGGAATGTTTGCATGCTGACGTGACGGCGGTGGAACAGGAGATCAGTCAAATGCTCTCGGGGAACCTATCGAACCAGGATGAGGATGAAGTTGAGGATGAGTTGGCTGCGTTACAGCGGGAAACGCAGAGACTGCAGAACCTACCACATGCGCCAAAGTCGAAACTCCCCGAAAGGCCAAACGAGGAAGAAAGCCAGGAAATCCAATACCAAGAAGGCGGCAAAGCCAAGGCGCAATCCGCAATCCCAGCCTAAATTATATGCCATTGTCCCCACACTTCGCTACAGATTGGAGTCATATGTGAAATACCAAAAGCGATTCTGGCGCGGATGGAACTGCCGGATTTATGCCATTCAGTACATCCCTAGTTATCTGCTCTTCCAATAATAGAATTTAAATTGATTTGGGATAGCATTGTCAGCCCAACCCTGATACCGAAAACTCTATTGCGCCGCTTCCTTCACTGCAATCTTGGATTAGTCGGCCATCATCTATGACACATACTCCCTGGCTTGAGGCGGTGGCTCTCTAGAAGCATACAATGTGCATACAATGTGCATACGTGACTCACTGGCCGGGCATGATCCTACCTCCCACGCCAGTGACGCCTTGAATTGCGACGTGGTCACTGGGATTGGCTGCTGCTTCATAGAGAAAGCTGACAGGCTCCCTATTCAAGGCCATAAATTGACCCTTGAACCCAACATAACCAACCTTAGTCACATCCTCATTCCCATCGCTCCAGTTGTCCTCAAAGAACAATGTAATGGAGGTAGTAGCATTCCAGTGAGCGCGGTTCAATGGCAAATCGAAGACATCGGCTCCGGGAACTGGCTGCGGGATCTCCACTGACTGTGTTGGCTTCAGCTCTGAAGCAGTCGCAAAATCTAGATCGTCACGGTTCTTGAACAATTTCAGAGTCTTCGGGGCGGCCGGTGTCGGAGCCGTGTAAATGATTAAAGAATGAACCTTTACTTGGCCAGTGAAGCTGCGTAAAAGGTCAGAGCTTGGAACTATCAGAAGAGAAGGGTAAAGGAATTAAAAAGACGGCAAAGGCAGATAGGAATCATCAGAAGTGAACTTCGGGTGGTAGTTAGGTTGAAAGTATCTTGAGACCGGTCAGAGGAAGGAGGGGTCCAACTTGTAATAGGTGGGGTAAACCAGAGGAGCAAAAAAGAAAAGAAAGAAAAAAATATTTCAAGCTGAGAAGATCACACCACTTACGGGATATACATAAGCAGTTGCTCGTCTGCATCACTTTCAAGCTCCGGTTGGTCATTTAGTCTTTCGGCCCATGTTTTCTGGACAATCGCGGCGCCGGCGTTGGGGGTTGCTTCTATAACTTCGGTTTAGCATTTGTATAGAATAATATAATACCATGTCCGTAACCATGTCGCTCTTACCATTTAGCGTAACGATCGAATCAAACTGGATTTGGGAATAGAGGAGGGATTGGAGAGCTGGGGTGATATCATTTGAATGATCATGTCCATCTTCTCCATGACAATGACTGCCATGATCGTGGTGGTGATCCCCGGGCATACTGGGTTTGAGTATGGTATTGTTGAAAGCCGGTTTTTCTGGCGTAGACCAGAAGATAAATATCACCTGTACTTAGAGTCATGCACTGCACATCGAAAGGTGATTGTGGGGGGTTTTTTCTTACAGAGCTGTGGTGAGAGATAAATTATGTTAATCTTTTAGTTTGTGTGCTAACTTTCCGATTGAATGGATTAGATCCAATGTCACTGTTTTCAAAATTGTTAACCTCGTAAAACCTTTTGAAAAGTACTAAAAGAAACAGATCAAATTCAAGATATATTTTCTGATAAATTCACATTTTTTTTTTTGCTTCTGCTTCTTCTGCTTCTTCTTCTTCTTCTTCCGACCTTCCTACTTTCTTTTCAAACTAAGCATACCTAGTCCATTTCATCTCTTCCTGGGAATGGAGACTGTTACTGTCGTGGCTCAGCACAGCGCACCCTCTCCCCATTTCTCTCTTTCCTCGTCTTCCTTCACATACACCTTGCTTTCTTCTTAAGCGTGGGTTTCAAGCGTAGCCGTAGTAGTCATCTAGAATACACACATCACCTAAACCTCTATGGTCGCCCTGAAACTGGATGGTACCCGGTAGGTTAAGTGCAGTAATCATAGGGTATTTTTGCCCCCAACGAGCCGTACTAAGGAGTTATTAGTTGACTTTGTAATAATTAGGGGCGTACTCCAGAAGCCAGCCCCTTTCGATCTTCGTGATATCCCGAATAAATGTCTTTTCACCTGTTTGCAATATCTCGTGGAAGATGACCCAGTCCGCTTTTCGATTCTAAACTCGGGTTAGTAGGGAAATCGAAAGGTCACAACGATTTCTAAAGAATAGAAACACATACGAACATCAACGAACTGGGGTGAGCATGTAGAGTAAGGCCACCAGTAGCAGACTTGAACGTTCCGTTTGGTTGCATCTTTGCGGCATGTGCAAAATAACCAGCCGTGAGGCACCTCTGGATATTCTCAGGGTATCTACTAGTACTGGAATCTGCCTTAGGGTGGAATGAAGGACCCTCATCTATCCGGATGCCGAAACGTTCGAGGTATCTCTTAAGCTGAGCCCTGATGCTCATTGCCCGTTGCAAGGATCGGTAATTCAAAAGATTGTCTCGGCACCACTTGGGATCTTTCTTCCCTATCGTGATAAAAGCCTGATATACATTCAAATTCGTCAGATGGTCACCCTCTTCAACAGCGAATCTTCTGCGACTGCTCTCTGCCGCCCTTTTATCACCCTCGTGCTGGACCCACACTGATCCCCGTAAGTTGACCATTGCTGCAATTGAAAGTATCTCACTTAGGCAGTTAAACGATTGTGCAGAAAGCAGAGCTTTCGCCATCATAGGGTCCACAGCTACTTCTGCCATCCGCATACCCAGTGGCTTGGTGAGCTTGGCATAATCATCAACGACCCCAAGAGAGTAAAGGAGTTCGAATGCACGTATAACAAGTTCTGCAGGCGGAGGCGTCAAGAAGTCAAAGCGAGCTATGTTATCTATTCCCAACGCCTTAAGCTGCATGATCACAGGGGCAAGATTTGACCGCTGGATTTCTGGGACTGTGGCTTCCAGAAGTTGTTCATAAGCCTGCTGGGTGTAGAGACGGAAGCATTTTCCGGGTTTAGTTCTTCCGGCTCGACCTGCACGTTGAACTGCCGCAGCCTTCGATATTGGGACTGCTGTTAACGTTTCAATGCCAGTACTAGGATCAAAGGCCCTTAACTTTGCGAAACCGCAGTCGACGACATATGCAATGCTGTCAATAGTAACAGAAGCCTCCGCGATGTTCGTTGAAACAATGACTTTGCGTGTATTTTCTGGCGCTGGTTCGAAAACGTACATTTGTTGATCCGTTGGGAGACCGGAATACAGAGGTAGAGCGACTAGTGCCTGTGCTCTAGGATGCAGCGTTGCGACACGTTCTGATATCAACTGTACTGCCGAATCGATTTCTTCACGGCCCGTTAAGAATACCAGAATATCGCCTTCCACTTCTTGTAGATGTATGTCAAAAACGGTTTTTACAGCCCGTTCGACATAGTCTTCTGCGGGTGACTCGAGGAAAAGTATGTCCACAGGGTACATTCGGCCCTCTAGACTGATAATCTTTCCAACATCTCCCCCCTTTCCAACCGAGTCCATCCCGTTCTGGAACTGATCTCCGGCGAAGAAGTGCAAAATATCTTCTGCCTGCAGAGTGGCACTGCTGATGATAATCCTTAGTTCAGGACGCCGCTTCAAAATTTTCTTAAGGATCCCCAAGAGTATGTCAGTGCTTAGAGACCTCTCATGTGCTTCATCCACCATGATTACTGAATAGCGTGACAGTAGTGGGTCTACAAGGGCCTCTCTAAGTAGCATTCCATCTGTTAGGAACTTTATCCTTGTTGATGCAGAGGTCAAGTCCTCAAAGCGAATAGAATAGCCCACCTCCTCGCCAACCCTGCAACGCATTTCCTCAGCCACTCGAGCTGCGACAGTCGTGACTGCAACACGGCGCGGCTACAACAGTTTAGCTTTTATCCCAAATGGACGAGTATTAATGAACTGAGACAGAACGGGAGATACCTGAGTTACTGCTATAGACTTTCCATCTGCACACCATCCTGCTTGGTCTAGATACTGGGGTAGCTGGGTCGTCTTCCCACTTCCAGTTTGCCCAACAACAATTGTAACGGGATATGTGTCAACAAGGTACAGTAAATTTTGCCTATGTCTGGCGATAGGCAGTAGAGCAGCGGGTTTGTACAGTGATGGAATGAAGGCAGATGTGAGGTCTAGCTCCGAAGCCATTCTTAATGGGTGAAGCACTAAAGTTCAGTGACACAGTTGCAATCCGAAGTGTTATCAACCAAACAATATTCTAGTGCCGCCTGACGCAGGTGGCTGAGACATACTGGGTATAAAATCTGCCTATAATACTAACGATTTAGGATAACAAGGTGGACTAGTACATATATGTTCCAAAGTGAAAAACAAAACTGCAACAGGATTAGATAAGCGATGGGTATCCATCACGTGGCCCAACGTCACTGCGCATCGGGAGCTAACCAGGAGCTTCCAATACTCCAGGCTCCAGGCTCCGTCCTCCAGGCTACTACTGTACTATCACCCTTTGCTTTCTACTTGTCAGACTCAACAGCACACTTCCTCTCGTGCTTATCGACGATATCTCAACTACTTTCGATTAAATTTTAATTTAATATTTCAGATTCGGTCAGTTTTGTCATGGCTGACGAAGACAAAACTGTTCGTTTCCGTATCTGTCACCCGTGCATACAAAACACTGACTATTTGATACTAGAATACCAACAAGATTACCCCGGGCCCATATAGTCCGAAGCCAGAGTCTCCTACGACGGCACGCCCGCTGGATTTTGATGATGAACCTCAAGAATCTGGCATCACCTCGGTGTCTGCGGCCGTAGCTCAGCAGAATGCGACAGAAGCTGCCCCGCAAAAACCGCCGCGTCCATTGAGCCCGCAACAACAGTCCGAAACAACCCTCAAAGAAGCGTTCCCTACTATTGAAGTGTCAGTAATCAAGGCAGTCTTGGTAGCCAGCAACTGGGACGTTGAACGCGCTTTCCACGCTCTCCTTGGTTTGTGGATCTTTACCGCTAAAGGTGTCATCGTTGATTATTAATCTGTGTAGGTATGACTGACCCCAGCGCTGCCGAGCAAGATGTTCCTCCTCCAAAGCCACCTCGCCCCTCCGCAACACAAAGGCAGCTGGAAGCAGATGAATTATATGCTCGCCAGCTTGCGGAGCATTACAATCGCCGTGCACCTCAATCCCGCTTGGAGGGTGGTCATCCATATGATCGGACGAGAAGGGACAGTGAGCTGTCGGAGGACAGAGAATATAGTTTTTTTGAAGGTATCGTTATTGATGGCTTAGGAATATCTTCATGGTTTACTAATGGTCGTAGATGATCTTCCGGTGATCCGTGACAACATCCGCAAAGGATTTCTAGAGACCCAAACGAAAGTTAACTCGTGGGTTCAAAACCTAAAGAAAAGACTTGATGGCGAAGATCAGGATGGGGCTCCGTCCAGTCAGGGCTATCGCAATGAGAGTGATGGCCAGACAAGGAGAAGCGGAGAGCTGGGCCGTCGTAGCGGGGATCGCGAACGCTATGACGCAGACCCCCGGGTTCTAAGTGACGATTTTTCAGCCCTCGAAATGAGAGATACAGAAGGTTTGTCTCGTTAAAGGCTTCCTTGATTCACTATGGCAGCTGTACTGACTTCTGGGATAGCTCCTCCACCAAGGCCACCAAGGCCGCTTGCCAATCCTAGCCTCTACAAGACCTCGTCGTCTTCACCAGACAGACGTAAAGTGTCTTTCCAAGAGGGTCCGCCCACTGAAATCGGGGGCAATCTTTACGATGCATCCGAATCGTCTAGATTTTCTCCTGCGGGTGGCAAACCAAGCAAATGGCAACCATTGTCTACTGTTGAGCCTTCTCCTGTTGGAGATCATGATCCATTTAGCCTAGGCGATAGCGAGGATGAAAAAGATACCAAGCCTAAGGATCAGACTCCCGCCGATGGGGGTGACCGTATCAAGACAGCCACAGCCGAGGCGATTTCTGGCGAGCTGCCTTCCGCATCAAAAGCAGATAAGAAGGCAGATGGTGGAAAGTCTTAACGCCGTGTCAGCAGTATGCTTTTTTTTTTATCTCCTCTTCATTTCATACGCGGTCATGTTATGCCTTTCCGTACTTCTTCAGAATTGACGCCTAGAGTTTACAATGATACCAGAGATTGCAGCACAATACCAAAGCTGATTTAACATACATAAATGTGTCAATACAATGAAGCAAAACACCACAATGTAACGAGTTCTTTGTTGTAACTATACTTCCAATGTCTGGAAAGAGGGTATCACTGAATTAAAGCCGCGTAAGGGAATTAGAGAAGAGAAGAAGACGCAAGGTCAGAACTGCATCTATTCACCAAGGTCATTCTCATTCGTGGTGAGCCGTGGAGCGGCTGTGGCTTCTTTTCTCAAGTCCTTTATGATCGTCTGAGCATTTAAAGGGGAATGTTAGCACTCTAGCGCCTAAAGGAGAGAAGATGTATTGGAAGCCCGAAACTCACAGCAAGGGCGTCCGGGTTGACGCCGTTCTCGATGAGTGAGACGCAAAGGGAAAGATCAGTTCTGTCTAAAGCCGTGTTCTACATATCCAGTGGATCAGATAGTCAGGACGGAGGTGAAAAATATAGCAATACGAAAGACAACGCCATGGGAAAGAATGGATCTCTCACATACAAGAAGTGTAGAGATCTCGTGAAGAATGTCAATAACTTCGCGTGCCGCCTGACGCTTGTCGTCGGGTTGAGAAGGCATTTTTAGAATTCGATGTGCCCAAAAAGAGTAGGAGGGAACAAAGAAGAAAAAAATTAAGCACTAAAACTAGAATAAAATACTGGGGTTTGAAGTATTGGCAGCAATGTCAGATATGCGCTAGAGATGGTGAACTACTTTGGAGAGGTCCAGTTCGAAATACCCGGCCAATGGATAGATGCAATCCAGTCACGAAGGTCAGCTGATTGGTCACGGCCACCACCGGCAAAAGGTCCATGGTGGAACTCCGGGCCAAGGAACTTTAGTTCTTTATGTATAGATTTTAGAGTACTCCGTGCGCAATAAGTGGACTACTACTAACTATGGTACTTCTGTCCAGCGGTGGGGAGAGTTGTCACGCGTACGATTGGTTCCTGGCGATCGGAGGATTTCCCTGCATGGATGGACGGATCTACTATTCCGTACAGATATTCGCTTTCGCGATGAACAAATCGCTGCCTGCCAAAATACCCTATCTTGATGCCCTATCGGGCTATCGAGACGCGCCACGCCTCTCCAGCTTATCTCTAACAATCTAGAATGTAGGTCCCGGAGGGATCTTCAGGAATGTGGAATAGGGAATTGAACATATCAGACATCCATTCCTTGGAAAGGAGCCACGCATTCGAGGTTCTCACTCAGATTACACGCATCGAGAAGAAGCCGCTCCCCACCAATGAGGCTTTGGGATCCAGTGAAAAACTCTGGGAGAAGAAGCCGAATACGAGAGTCTTGTATGCGACAAGTGTGGAACTGGATGCATGCTTCCCTTTAGTCGCTTGTCTATGTTCAACATGAAGGACAAGCACTGTCACACGAACTCTTGTATAGGAAGTCATTATCGACAAGGCGTCGAGATGAAATTACTGGGTTATATTCGACAATATCTGCAATAGGAGGCTGCTAGAATATCCAGTTATGCGTGGACAAGGCTAGAACCCCATCCCGATGCCTGTGTCTCTAGCTTGGATTCGAAGAACGTGAGTAAATCGCCAATTGCTACGCGCCAGGGCGCTCAGATCAGAGAGATACTCGACCTCAGTCGTGGCGCTTGACGTGTAGACCTATCATTCTCCGATACATCTACCTCTGTTAGCCCCCTTCGAGGAATGGTACTCTCAAGGGCACCTTTTTTTCTCTCCTCCCTTAGTTTTTAACTTTAGGAAGGGACAAACACGTATGATTGCTGACATTCTTCGCCTACCAACCCCTCAAGTACTCGAAGGAGTCAAGCCCTACCGGAAGTTCTGCTCGGGGTACCTCCTTGGCTCCCACAAGCCATGCCCCTTGCATGACTGTGCATTTCGCGAAGTGTGCTTTATCGCGCGCCAGTTACTGCTGTTATTACTCTTCGCCGATTGTTCGCCATAATTTAGTGACGTCAAAGATATCTAGGTATGGCTCGGATGAAGGGGCCTCACGAATCGCGCTTCTCCTGTGCTTTGACTAACCCTTAGGCGCGATCACCGGGGAGAATGGGAGTCCCTATTCCAAGGATAGACAGACATATTCTCCCATGTCCATTTCAGGTTCTTCTTACAACTTATTTTCTACTCTTCAACTAATTTTCGCGCCACCCAAATGGTCGCCAGAATATCTCCTGGGTGGACAACAGAATATTTGCCTGTTCTATCGATCAAGTATCGTTTAGAACAGTTCTGTCTATCTCGAAGACATGGCGCTTATCTGGTTGATTATCCTTGGTTTTACGTGGATTGTTGATGCAAAGTTGGTTTCAAACTACCCAATCAATTCACAGCTGCCACCTGTGGCACGGGTCGCACAACGATATCAGTTTGTTTTTTCCCAGGGCACATTCGGTGGGAGCGACTCGGAAACAACATATTCCCTCTCAAACGCCCCATCATGGCTTCGGGTGGATAGCAAAAGTCGCACTTTATTCGGCACACCTGGGGGGAAAGATGAGGGGACAGTGAAATTTGATCTTGTAGCATCGGATGAATCAGAGTCAGCAAGTATGGAAGTCACTCTCATCGTGACAGAAGATGATGGACCAAAACCTGGAAAGCCATTGCTTCCTCAGCTCGAAGCGATTGCCGCGACATCCGCTCCATCAACAATCCTGATTCATTCTGGGGACGCCTTTGACATATCTTTCGATTATGACACCTTTACCAACACTCGCCCTTCCACCGTGTACTATGGGACATCTCCAGACAATACCCCGCTACCTTCCTGGGTGGGATTTGACCAGTCAAATCTTCGATTTTCAGGTGTTGCACCTAATACTGGGCCTCAAACTTTCGCTTTTAGCCTTGTCGCCTCAGATGTGGCTGGTTTCAGCGCAGCCGCCATGAATTTTGATATGACTGTCAGCCCGCATATTCTCTCATTCAACCAAAGTGTGCAGACTTTCTTCGTTAGCAGAGGAGAGCAGTTTACCAGCCCTCGGTTCAAGGAGGCGTTGAGATTAGATGGGCGAGAACCGGCAAATGCTGATTTGACTGATATCCAAACAGACTCTCCTTCTTGGATAGAGTTTGACAACACTACTCTCTCATTCACAGGGACTCCACCGGTTGATGTGGCGGATGAAAATATCACTATTTCCGTCACAGACAGGTATCAAGATATAGCAAGGCTTATCGTTAGTCTGCAATACTCCCAATTCTTTCACGATATAGCTGAATGCGATGCGGTCATCGGAAGCTACTTCTATTTTGTTTTTGACAATACAGTCCTGACCAATGATTCCGTTCAACTTGAAGTCGACCTGGGAACTCAGCTCCCATGGCTGCAGTACAATTCCGATAACAAAACTCTTTACGGCCTTGTTCCAGCTGATTTCAGCCCGAACAAATATACAGTCAAGCTTTCCGCTCATGAGGGGACCGCAGAAGATACCAAGAAATTTGCAATTAATATCTTGGACAAAGCAAATTCTCCTGGTCAAGGGGCAGACAAGCCCGGAGGCTCCGAGGGAATCCATGGAAAGAAAGCCGGAATAATTGCTATTTCGGTCGTAATTCCTTTTGCCTTTTTAATGAGTCTTTTGCTTCTTTTTTGTTGCTGGCGCCGCAAGCGCAGGACACATGAAGAAGAACAGCTGTCGAAGGAGAAAGCACCAGACTCAAATGGCTCAGAGCTACCATGTTGTCAGCCCTCTGAAGAAACCACCCAATACAATCTCTCTAAACTGACCAGAGATTCCCCGGAACTAGCCTCGAACCCACCAAAACTGGAACTAGGGCCTTTGTGGGACACAAGTCCCTTGGACGGCGGTGAACAGGGACGACCTATCGAAGGCAGGACAGACACACTTTCCGCTTCGACCATTGATTGGGATATCGCACCATTAAAAGTATCTGAACCGGAAAAGGAGAAACAGGTCGACGATATTGCCATTCCACCTAAGCGGCTGTCGTTCCAGAACAGTCCGCCTATGCGCAGGCGAACTACCACTAATTCACGAAAGCGAGAACCTCTCAAACCAATCCAACCAAGGAGATCGTTGAAGCGAAACTCGGTGCACTCATCCAAATCAAAAAGGTACTCCAAACGTTCTAGTGGGATATCATCTGTTTCATCAGGACTTCCCGTAAGGCTTAGCGGTGCAGGGCACGGTGCCGGTGGCTTCGGACCTCCTGGACATGGAGTAGTCAGAGTGTCATGGCAAAATACGCATGCATCTTTCCAAAGCGACGAAAGCGGCGTTGGGAATCTAGCACCTTTGTTTCCTCGGCCCCCACCTCGCGCAAGAGGTAGTGTAGAGCTTTCAAAGCGGATGAGCTTACGAACTGTTGAGCCTGACACATTGACAATTTCGGAGGCTGATTCTTTGGAGGCCTTCGTTCACAGTAGGGCGAAGAACCGAAACTCGTCCAACCCCATGTTCTCCGGTCAGTTTGGCCGCAGAACATCTTCAGGTCTTCGTGCGCTGGAGAGAGCTCGAAGCACAGCTAGCCGCACTGATACTTTGTATAGCTCCAGTTGCTATGATGACTACAGACGATCCATACATGAACGTCCGTGGTCTACGGCAATGTCTGCCTCTATCTATACGGATGACAACCGACAGTCTACGTATTTAGAATCTCTGTCCGAAGAATCCCTGAATGTACGGCCATTGGCTTCAATGGCCAGAGGACTGAGCCAATCAAGCCTGGCCCAGAACTACTCGGAGGCAATAGGACCGCTTCCTCGGTTGCTCAGCGAAATAAGCCTTGCCAGTGCGCGGCACGCTGAGTCGCATGAAGTGCACGACGACTTAGGGGGCCCGCAACATATCGGTGAACGTCAAATCCATGAAGCAGGGTGGCAGGCCTAACGCGACTTCACTCCTGCAAAGCGAAGGTGCTGGCGCTAGTCCGCAGACACTGCGTACGAGTCCGTCAACCTCGTCCATCAAATTTGACGGTAAGGTTTAACGGGCAAGTCTGATTCGGCAAGCGGCTCGGGAAACAGGAGGGAAGCGAGGCCTGCAGAGGGAGCTAACTGAAAGCGGGAGGAATTACAGATGAAGTCTTTTATGTGAGCAGTACCCTTGTGCTGTATATAGTTGTCGTTTTGCGCGCTGTGTTGTTGGCCCATTGCATTCTCCATCATGATATCCTTGTTATTCATGTACAAGTACCTTTTATGTTTCATATATCGCTGATATTCATACCCAGGGGGCCAGATAAAAGCAGTTATAGTATCGTAGTAGTAACATGTTAGTAGATAATCTATGTACCTCAATTGTGTCATCATCTAAATATGTCGTGATCACGTGTCGTGCCCTTATCATGTCTTCAACGCAGGCTAGCGGCGTCGATCGGGGCCGCTGCTCCCCATTCCGTTCAGCGGACGCCGAACTGAAAGCTACGCAGAATTGTCCACTTTGATTTCTGCTGTATCCCCTTGTCACTATTCAATGCTCCGTAGAAAGGATTCTACATGAATCGTTGAATGCTTCTGACTCGGGGGTGCTTTATGGGATACCTACTCCGACCACTTTTACTCTGGTCTTTTCCCACCTCTTTTCAATTGCACTGCGACTGTCTATATTTGAGTTACTCTACTTTCCCTTTGATTCGGTCATAGTCATGGCGGCGCAGGCGGCTCTCATCGCCGATACAATCGTTGGTATGAAAAGGGCTTTACGCAAAGAAAATGACTGTAAGTCTTACTGCTTCCCTTTACTTCTCGTTTTCCAGCCATACCTCTCTAACTCAGGCTTTTGATTGTAGTCTCAGGCCCGGATGATCCTATCGCTCAGCCGACAAACCGAGGCAACAAGCTACGGACAAACGCTAAACATGTGCGGGAGGGTGCGCTGGGGTATATCCAGCCGGAAGACCTTTATAAGCAGGTAGGCACCGCTCCGCGGCCATTGAAGGTCCCTCCAGGGTGTCCTCACTTCTTCGTTCTAGGCCGGAATAAGACCTCAGCGGCTGATATTCATTATGTCTTGCACAGAAAATTGATCATGCTGGGTACACTCGCTATATTCTACAGCCCAACCCGGTGCGCTACGACTCTGAGGGGGATGAGCTAGACGAGGATGATGAAGACTCTGAGGCAGATGCCGCTGCGGCGGAAGAGAATCCATTTTCTGAGATCGTATTAGAGAGTTAGTATCTCGTTTCCCCATTACAGATGATTCATAACCTTCCCGAACGACTGATGCGAATGTGCTTACTAGATTTCCTGTGCCCATTAAAACATCCATCGGAATTACCTACCCACCCTTCCTTGTCCCATGCCTATACATCAAATGCTCTCTCGAACATGACCAAGGCCATTGAGGCTAAACTACGCCAGGAAAGGGCGCTTTTATGGCGTGCGCGGAACCTCCACAGACTGTTCCTTGGCGATAGCTCTTGGATGCCATGTGGAACAGTTGAAACTCCCGAAGACAGATGGATCTTTGAGCCTCGGCTTGTCACCCCGGGCCACAAATCTCCAGTCGGCCAAAATGAACAGACCGGAGTTCCCAGTCCGACGAGAGTAGAAATGACAGGTCGTAGCCATGGGTCACATAATTTTGTTCCAATTGTCAGGACATCAAATGAGGCCCAGACAGCGGAAAGTAAGGACACCCAAAGTTCCCATACTGCAGAACAAAACATTGAAATGGCTGGTGTTCACAATCATGAGATGGAGGGTGGTGGCCCTACGAATAACCATGAGCAGACAAGAGAGCTCAAGTCCGAAGAGGTTGAGACTCCCGTTGGAAACCTTCCCCAGCATCTAGACATTGTTGAAGGGACCACCAGTGAAGCAGTGAACTCACACTTGGAACGCAGTCAAATATCTGACGGCGATGGGCTCCATGGAAACAGAAAAGGAATTGCGAATGATCGAACTGACTCAGGAAACGAGAACATCGATACGGCCTATGAGGGTCCCGGAAATGTCCATGGTGATGAAACGGACAAAGATGAAGAGATGCAAGACGGGTTTTCCCCCGAGCCACCTCGACGGATGACGACTCGAGCTCAGGCTAATGCAGCAAATCCACAAGAGGATGAATCAGATCACTTCCTATCATCTCCTTCCTCTGACACCCTCAGCTCACTTCCTATACCACACCCTCTCTTTCTCGTGCCTGACTCTATCCGTTCAGATCCCAATCTTGGTCTGTCGTCCATGGAAGCCGAAGATACACGACGACTCCTGTGGTCATATGTGCAGAAACAGGAGGAGACTGTTAGGGGATTCGAGCACATGTTGGAATGCCTGCTTCGAGCTTGTCGTATGAAAGATGATGTGCTCGAGTGGTGCAAAGCGGAAGGCCATGTGGGCGAAATGAGTGACGGAGAAGACTGGTATGACCGGGAAAGATGGGGACTGGCGGAAGGCGAAGACCTCAAGAAGGGCGCGGACGAGGATGAGATTGAGATGGTCGAGGAAAGCCGCGCTTCAAACAAAAGAGGCAGAGGCCGGCGAGCATAGATACGATGGCTCACTTCTACAACTCACAATTATCGATGCTGGTTACATAGATCGATGGCTCGGGGCTTGTTGGGTTTTTAGCATTTTCTGATCCTGGCACGAGGCATCTTCGGCAGCCGTCAGCAGCTACTGCCATGGCTTCTGTATGACTCAGAGATCTCTATGAGATACGAAGCATTATCTTTATATTTACCGGATACTCATCCTAGGGAGTTTGGGGCGTCACAAATGATATCCATGATTTATGCTGTAAAGGAAGGTGTAAAAGCAGGCAGAAATATATTGTCTCTTGATTTCTTTTTGTTCTATGACTACTCTCCATATTCGCCCTCGTATCGTTTGGAACGTGTCTTTCACACATTTTTGTTATATCTTCTCAGGCTTCCTTCCATTGTTGAATCCCACTCTAGCATCTCGATCACGTAGTTCCTAGCCCCCCGCGGGGCTGTGTCTATCTATTCCCTCCCGACTGACATGGATTGATGGTTGTTGAAAGTCCAAAGACTCAATCCTGTAAGTGTTGGCCTCGCCTTTGGTCGCAGCTTGTACTGGCCGCGGTACCATAGCACTTTTACTGGCTCTTGCCGCCTTGCTTGGCCTTTGCACGTTCGCGCTCGCGCTTGGCATAGATCTCAGCAGTGAAAGGACTACAGAATCGTGGGTCAGTGGGCACGGCATGGATGCTTCGAAGAGATATAGGGGCATGTTGCGTAAGGGCAGGAATCCAAGGAAAAGTATAGCAGACTTACTCCTCCCACTGAAGAGCAAACCAGTACAGAATGAACACCTCGGCGGTCAGGAGGATTCCGGCAACTTTGCCCTTGTAAAGTGCGACACCCAGGAAATTCAGAGTGCTTCCCCAATACATAGGGGAGCCAGTGACATTGAAAGGGAAGCCGGTGACGGGAGCATCCATGAGAATACCAAAATAATCTCCGAGGTAGGTTCCGGTGACGCCTAGGGCATACATGCTGGAAAGAACGAGAACGGATCCCACAGCGAACAAGACGCCGCCGAGAATTGGTTGGTGCACAGGGGCATAATAGGGCTGGTCTTCCAGGGCCAACTGATACACATGGTCGCGCACGATTCCCAGGGTAAAGATAGCGATTGCGAGGAAGTAACAACCGTAATATGGATTACCGAATATACGAGTCAGGTAGTGTTTCCGATACTCTACAAAAGATGGCGAAAGATTTAGAACATGAGCCTTCTATACTGAAGAATGAATTGGGCTCGTAAATTGAGGTTTAGTAGTGAAAGGGCGGGAGGAAGCCTTGACCAACCGGCACGGGCAACAATGCTGATGAAGGAAAGCCGTGGTCAGCCAACAGTCTCTAGGAGTAATTCAGAGAGCCGAGGAATTCATCAAGAGAACAAACAGCGAGAAACACCTACTTCCAAAAGATTGGGTTGAAAGCGATGGAGAGTGCAGCCCCTATGAGATCAGCCAGCCGAGTTGAGAATCACATGCGTGCGTACAGAGGAGAGTTAAGACGTACACTTGAAGGACGATTGAGATACGTCGATGAAATTTGAAAGAGTAGTCATTGTGTGGAAAGGTCCAGGCCCAGGGTAAGGATGAGATACAGAAAACTGAAAGGTAGAAGTGGAGGACGAAGAGAGATTTTGGGTGAGGTGTTGTTGTTGTTGGTTGGGGAAAGTGGAGAGAGATAAATACTACTAGGACAAAAAAAAAAAAAAAAAAGAAAAAGACGACAGCTAAAGCGGCATGACGTCTTTGCTCTTCTCCGCAAATACGAGATTGGTAGAGACTGAAAGCGGTGCGTATTGGGATTGGTACAGCAATACTACTTGTACTAGGTACACGTATTAGTAAGTGTACTCTGTACTAGTACTAGTAGCGGGGACTACATACGATAGGCGGTACGTACTGTCATTTCACCCCGGGACCTCGGGATCAACCCAATCGAAACCTGCTCACCGCCCGGCGACCACCATTATCGCCGATCATCCAGTATTAATCCACACTGTATCAAGCTTCCCCCTCTAGCAACCTTTTATAAGCCCGGACTTTAACAGCTACCTGCCTTTTGAAATCGTCATGAGACAATTCTCATTCGTCGTACGAGTGCTCCGGGGAAAATGGCCCTGAAGTGTCGTGATATCGTCATACTGGGCACTGGTGCTTTCATTGCTTGGGGGCTGGCTGTACGCTGCCTACCATTTTTGCGGTACCTTGGGTATGCCGTTGGACTAGGCGTTCTGCTTTCTTCAGTCGCCTTCTTGGGTCTTGTACTCTTCACAACCCGGAACTCTAACGATGCAGACAACTCCCGGCCCCAGTGTCTGCCTATCGCGTTTCTCACTCCCCCCAACTGGCAAAGTGAAACGCAAGGTCTAAAGAAGCGCTCCATCTACAACTCCGCCTCCCTCTACCCGCAATCCTTTATGGTGTCTGAAGGTATTGACGAGCTTCTGGCGCTGGTAACCCGGGATTTCATAACGTCATGGTACCGAGGTATCAGTCCGAACCCAACGTTTGTGAGTGAGGTAGACCAAGTGATTCGGGCTGCCATTGGAAACCTACGCGATCGGTTACTTGCGGAAGATCTGATATCACTCATCGTCTCCCGTATATTTCCTATTCTGGCCACACACCTTAAAGAATTCGACGTTGCCGAACGATCGGTGCGGGGACGGAATTTGACTCGAAATGTCACCGAATCCGATGAGCTCGACATTGCAATTGCAAGCAAGTACCGCGATGGCCATCTACATCCCGCTGCACAGCTGTCTCTCTCAGATCAAAAGCTAGTAGAGCAGGAATACCTTAGGAAAGTTACAGTTGGACTACTGCCTCGATTGTTTCCTGAAACCGTTTTAAGCAGTCGTATCGTTTCCGTTTTGGTGAGGGAGCTACTTTCATGCGCCGTGCTTTTCCCTATATTGTCCCTTCTGTCAGATCCTGACACCTGGAATCAGTTGGTGGAAGCTTATGGACGGACAGCTCTTCAGGATCGCAAAACGGTGCGCAAGCTTCGAGCGGCATTAGATGAGCATGCATCGCCGGTGCCCAAGTCAAAACATGGGAATCCATTTCCGCGGCTCTCGCCAACTGATTCAGAAAGGGCTTTTGAGCGTTTTGTTCGGGCCATCCGGCGTTGTAACAATCTTTCCGATGCTAGACGGTTCCGAGCTCTTGTTGCAAGCCAGCTGAAGCGGGAAAGTATGGTAGAAGGGCAAGATCCCGTCTACCTTCGGCGATTAGAGACAGGGAAGAGAGTTCTTGACCAGAAGGTGACGAAACTTTCAGCTCCAGCTAGTAGTCGTGCATCGCACGCCATCGCAGCTACGACGCACTTCCGCAGCCAAAAATCTCCACCAGCTCAAGAGGCGTCCTTGGTGGATGTAATGCATGATGCATCAGGTCTCTCTTACTTTATGGAGTTCATGGACCGTCAACAACTCATGTTTCTCGTGCAATTCTGGATTGTCGTTGATGGCTTACGCAACCCACTCGAAGATGACTTTGGTGATGAGACCTCCCCAAGTTCCACGACATGGACGGAAACAGATAAAAGTGACATGGCTTTAATCAGTGAAACGTATCTGTCGAAACCTCAACTCAAAGTAACGGCCGAGTCGCGTCGAGCTGTGAAAACCTTCTTGAGCGCCGGGAGGCGAGCTACTCCGGAGCAGTATCGCCAAGCTCGGACAGTAATATTGACTACTCAATCTGCAGTGCTGGAGGAACTACAGAATGTCTATTACCCCAAATTCCGACAATCCGACTTATTCTATAAATATCTCGCCTCGGATGAAACATCTCATTTTGAACCTCATACGGCAACTGTAGCACATGAAGATGTCGCCCCTACCACGGAGATATCCGAGAGACGGCCACTTCCTCCATTGATGGGCCGTACAGCATCTCATCCTGGGTTCAAATCGAAAGACCTGCGCAGGGCCGCCGTTTCCTCTAGTGATGTACGGACTGTGGGGAAACTATTTGACGATGACGATTCTCCAAGACGTTCCTTGGATTCCGAGCGGTCTGCCCCGTTATTCGATGACGATTACGATACAGATCCTCTTGCGATGTCAACGCAGAGCCTTGGTCGCGACTCACAGAACGGTGAGAACGAAGCGAGTCAGAATCAGGTAATTGAAACTATGGAGGCTGCATTGAACGATATCATTACGAACGAGCCAAAAAGTAATAGATTAGAAGAGCTCAGAAACAATGATGCCTCGTCTTCTAGGCTATCCAGCAATGATCGATATCCACAATCACCTCCTAGCTCTCTGGAATTCACACGAGTAGACGACAAGACTAAGCCCAACATCTCGTCTCTAGGGTTGGTGGATGAATCTTCGCGACTGGGTGTTTTTGCTGACGATCTCTTTCCCGACCATCATAAATTCATTGAGGACGAATATGAGGAACCCGCTGAAATAGAGGACAAAGATCCAGCCGACGAGGTCCATGAAGCCGCTCCTGGAGATCTTGGCTTGACGGAAGCGATCGAGGCACTAACGGTTGAGATTGAAAAACTTGGATCCCAGGAATCAGTAGTTGATGCCTTGACGCGGAAAGCTGAGCTCACAAACAATACTGCAGAACTCAGAATTCTACGAAAGTCAAAAGCTAGCATCCAACGGGAAATCCGCCGCAAGGACATGCAGCGACAACAGTACATGATCCAAGAAAGTGACAACAGCTTATATGGTCGTTCAACTGTTCGAATTACATCTATTGTTGTGGGGAAAGAAGAGGACGGTCGAGAATTTGCAATGTGTATGTTGATTTCACCTCCTTCCTTTTCCTGATGGTGTTGCTTGACTAACGATTGTTCTAGACGTGGTTGAAGTGCAAAGGAATGCCGGAGAACAAATGCCAGCGGCATCCTGGGTTGTTGCCCGCAGATACAGTGAGTTCCATGAACTTCACCATAAACTCCGCATGAGGTATCCATCGGTGCGGCACTTGGAATTCCCACGGCGACGGATGGTCATGAAGCTTCAACGGGAGTTTTTGCAAAAGCGGCGCCTAGCGCTAGAGGCGTATTTGCAGAAATTGCTTCTCCTTCCAGAGGTTTGCCGAAGCCGTGACCTACGAGCCTTTCTCTCCCAGCGAGCCATCATCCCACGCGACGAGACCCCTCGTGATGGAGAGACTAAGGACTTAGTGACCCGAATCTACAATTCGGTTGCTGATGGTATGGATGATTTCCTGGGCAACTTTGGTGTACTCGATCAGCTCTCGACAGCAGGGCAGAATCTCATCTCTGCAGCAACTAGCCAGCAAGCCAACACTGTAACTGACACAGGGCTAGCGACCGAGGACGTCGTGACTACAGCCGAAGCTGAGGCAGAGCTGAACGCATTTGAGGATCGAGAACTGGAACCATTTATCAAACCGATTTGCGATCTGTTCCTAGAGGCCTTCGAGTTGAACAAAGGCAACAACTGGCTCCGGGGCCGTGCAGTTGTCGTCGTTCTCCATCAATTACTCGGAGGAACCATCGAACGGAAGGTCCGCGAAGGTGCCCGATCCCTAGTACAGGACGAATCATTGCTTCGATACATTGGCGTAGTCAAGGAATCCCTGTGGCCAGGCGGCGTCCTACGTGAAAATAGAATTCGAACGACATCAGAGCGATTGAAAAGTCGCACCGAAGCTAGCCTGGTCTTAGCCACCTTAATCCCGGATATGGCGGGCAATGTAGTCGGACGGACCAATGCTCAGGGGGCCGCGCGGAGAATCTTTGCGACTCTGAACAACCGGCGCCTCAACACTCACTTGATGTACACTATTTTGGATGAGATTGTATTGGTGTTGTTCGGTGGTGGTGAAACGGGACGGATGCGATAACGCATGTCTGCCTCATCCATGAACGGCTTGAGCTTTGGTCATCGTAGTTTCTTCTTCTTTGACCTTTGGTACACCTTTGCGGGCGAGGCATTACTCTTACGGTCTTTGAGGATCAAAGTCTTTGCCTGGCAATGTACCTTGATAGTGTTCCATAATGATAATAGTAATAATAATAATTATTCTAATAATAAATAACGACAACAATAATAAAAACCATAAAGACTCGTATATTCGCAATGATTGTTGCGTCACAGTGCTTCTCGTCCATATCATTGCTAGACCAGGGAGCTCCCCGGTTTTCAGTTCATCATCTTGAATATAGAATGCACAACATACGGCCGAATAGCTATTGTGCAGAATTAACCATCGGGCATAGTCTCTAGGTTATGCTAGCCTTGGATTTTATAAGGAACACCGTTCCTCATGTGTCAGTATTGCCAAGAGTGAGAGAGACTCCTTCTACTGAGGGTAAAGACAGCAGGGGCTTGCACGTAACCTCCATGCCAATAAGTAGACTAGTCGGGATAGGGGAAGACTGAAAATAGAAGTGCAGTAGGATTGAGATTGTAGAATCAAATCAAGCTATGTAGGGAAATCGCCCTCTAGTCCAGGCTTCTACATCCCGAAACAAGCTGTAGGGAAGTGCTCAGAAGCAAAATGAGAGTAAAGATTAAGTCTGGAAAGTACGTCCTGGGCAGAAAAGGAGAGCAACCATTGGCACTTAGCACACCAATAAACATGCCCGTTCTATGCCTCTTCCTTCTTCTTCTTGGACTTCTTACTTGAGGTCTGTGGAGCCGGGCCTTCCTTTTTCTGGTGGACGATTAGGCGTGTCCAGCACTCTTCCTTGTCCCACTCGAAACCAGCAAGGTAGGGTTTATCCAGCTCATCATTAGCCTGCGTAGGAACAGACGTTTGTCAGTTTCACTCTTGTGACCTACAAAGTATATTCGGGATTGTCTCATCGCAGCCGCAAGGAGATTTATGGCAGGGATATTCGACATACCTTCTTCTTGAACTGCTTGTAGATAGCGTCCAGCGCGTCCTTGATTGTGACTCCCTTGAGATTACGAGCAGTCACCTCCAATCCCAACGGGAAATGCAGATCAATCTTCTTCACCGGGGGGGTTACGAGATGGAGTTTGAGGATATCCTTGTCCTCGATTGTAGACGGCGAGGTGTTGAGCTTCCTAGGGAAGATAGAGTTAGTGCAGGACTTAGGGTACTCGAAACTAGTTCTTACCACCCGGTCTTTTGTGTTTCGATGGGGAGAGTCAACTCAATCTTTTTTTCCTCTAGAAGAAGACATCCGGTTAGCGTAGTCCTTGGATAGGTGGCAAGTGCCCTGAGTTCCAGAAGGGGAAAGTTTACCCAAGTCCTTGATATTCCAGATCCCGTCCGACTGAGATGATTGGCGCCTGTGAGTCTTCTTTGACGCCTTGTCGGCTTCTTTCTCCTCCTTGGGAGTTATTGACAAGCCAGCAATGGCAGAATCGACTTTTGTGAGTTCGGCTGACATAGTTGGGGTAGGGGCGAATGTGGGGGAAGGATCAAGAGGAATATCGATGCTGACCAGCGTTAGCGTTGGACGTCATGATAGTGTTACTATTAACAACAGGGTGTATGAAGCTTTGGTATTGGTGCTATAAAGCGAAGAATAGAGAGCATGGAGAACTTACCAATCAGTGGTAGGAATCGCAGAGTAGGTATGGTTAAGATCCGGATAGGATGAGAAGAGGATGAGAGAAGGGATGAGGAAGAAGAGAGTAGAAGAAGAAGAAGTAGAAGAAGAGGAAGAGGAAGAAGAGGGAGAGAGGAGAAGGGGGGAGGGGGCATGAGGGAATGTCAGAAGGAGGGAGGGCAGGTGACCTGACTGGCCCATCCAAAGTACATGCTCAACGGGTACTATCCATTCATTGTACGATACTATACCAGACGACTAGGGTTCCTCCCATGATACCTACATTAGTACGTCGTACGAGGCGGGGTCATGGAACCCTAACTCTTCATTTGCAATTCGAGATTGGACCTCATTGAAGTCGTACCTATTAGCATCCTAGGTACTATCATGGATTTAAGATGGCTTGCCCTTATCCTTTACAGAAAAGAAATAGTAGGTATCTACATGGGGACATACATACACACCTTGTAGTAATACCTACGCATTATAGATTCTGTATCGAGTAATGCTGATTACGATAAGTATTGCAACTTGAGGGAATTAGTATGTTATTATAGCCTTCTTGTCGTAGTCAATCAGTCAGCGACCTAATCGCAATAAGATACTAGAAGGTGGGGTGAGGAAGAGCATTGGGGGTTGGGACATTGCATTCCATTGACTATTTCAGTATTCACCACTTCTAGCAAACAGATAATTGAAGGCTTGCGAGTTATACTGAAATTCAGCATTGGAATGTATCCGGGAGAACCGGATCACACGACAAGAGAGCTGACATCGAGAGCTCCGGAAGTGGTCCACTAAGGCTGCACCCCGCATTCCCGCGCGCTCCACTTGCCCCATCACCTTATACGGAGGAAAGTGATCTTGATTGTTGTTGTTGTTGTTGATGTTGATATTTTCCCCCAAGAAAGCCCCAGGAAGCTAGATCATAATGATGATATGCTCATTCTCTCTCTACTAGTCTTCTCGAGTAGTCATTGACGACATCCATTCCGGGAAGCTTCGTGGTAACTGGTCGAGATGAAAGTAAACCGGTGGTACCAGAATCTCAGGCAACCTTATTTGGAAAACTAGTCTCCGATCCCGTCCAAAATTGGAGGCCGTTATCCATTGATGGAATGCGTAACAAACAGACCCTCACGTGACACCCCATGGTGGAGCCATGTCTGTTACATACTACGTAGTCTCTGTCTCTCAAGAGTCCCTCTGATGCTTATCACATAAGAGATAATAAAATGTAGGTAGTAAATAGGAGTGGCCAGTTGGGATGTATGTATATTCCTCTAAGAGAGGAAGGAATATATTCGAGATGTTTAAATAAAAATTCTATCTATTTCTTTGAAGAAGTGCACTTGAGATCACATTATCAGAACTGGTTTCTTTTCCGATGATCTCTTTATAACAATAACATCATCATCGAAAAAAATGAAAAATGAGACAGTGTGGCCAGATTGGGTGGGGTGATATATCCCATAGAAAGTGGTGATGTTACAATGATCATATGGTTAGAGAGCGGGGTCATACTCCCACTAGACTAGGGTTCTTTAGTAGATCTGCAACGACTTAGTTAGCACTTAACCCCTTCTTGTAAAGGCCTGTGCTCCCTTTTGTCTAGACACGGAAAGGACTTCAGTACCTTCTGTTGATCATGTGCACTAATTAATATTTGGGTGGCAAGCAAACAATTCATGTTCTAGATTGTTACTTGAAGCTTCGGCAATGTTGGAGCTCGCTGTCGAGTACGTACAGCCTTTTTTTCAAACACATACACAGTATAAATTATTGTATTTTAGAGATCTAATTACCTCTCTCTCTATCGCACAATCTACACCAGAATGCATCAGTTAAACACTGGGGTACCGATAACATCTTCGGAGTATGGAGCTGAATTTCAACTACAAATTGCTTGGATGTACAAAGCTCTCCGAAAAGAGACATTAGTAGTAGAGTTACTTACTCGTAAATGACTGTCTAGAAATGTAAGTGTCGAGAGATCCACGACGACCGTCTGGCTTAAAGGGCTTTAATTGTTCGGTCCAGTTGAAATAAGGATGTCGAAGGATTGCTGCCCGTGGGATCCTTCTATACAGCATCACGGCAAAATTTCAATACGGACAATGGTATTGAAACTTCAATGAATAGCTAATTGCAAAAGTTTCGAGCATCTATGGCCATATGAACATGCTCGTACGTAGGTGATACTATACTACAAGTCTATAACGACAACGGGTCACGGGTAAGGTACCCCGAAGCAGTTCCGCAAGGGGCAAGGTGCTTCGGGAGCTGACTAAATGGAAGAGTTTGTCATGTTTGAAGGGCGGTGTACAGGGGTGAAGATACTGCCGTATCCTCATTAAGGCATTAATGTGTCGCGGCTGCAGAACGCGCGACTTGCCAAATTTATACTGAGCTCTTTCTCTTCTGCCCTATTACATTGCCAATTCGCTAGCCAACGTTAGTATTTATACAGAAAGATCCTACGGCTCGTGGCTGACTAGTTTTCTGCAGCTCGATATAGGCCTAGTATTAATTTTCCGATCCGTTCTCACCAAAATCCTGTGAAAAGCAAAAGTTCTCATTCGAATGTCGCTCTTCGGTTCTGTCGGCACTACGTCGACAACAGCGGGCCAAACAAACACCACCGGCGATATATCTAAAGATGTCGCCCTCAATTCGCCTCCTGAAGATAGCATTTCTGATCTTCAGTTTTCTCCCGCCGGTGAACATCTTGCAGTAGCTTCATGGGACAAGAAAGTCCGCATTTATGAGATCAATGATCAGGGACAGAGCGAAGGAAAAGCTCTCTTTGAGCATGAAGCTCCAGTCTTAAGCTGCTGCTGGGCACCGGTAAGCCTAGCAAAGTCTCCTGCTGCTTCATTTCTCTAGCTAACTGACCTTTCTCGCTCTCCAGGATGGAACGAAAGTAGTAGGCGCTGGTGCCGATAAGGCCGCACGCATGCTCGATCTCGCTGCCAATGCTACCACCCCCGTCCAAGTCGCAGCCCATGATGCTCCGATCAAATGCTGCCAGATGATTCCGAACCCTGCTGGAGGCACACCCCTTTTAGTGACCGGCTCGTGGGACAAGACAGTCAAATACTGGGATCTACGGCAATCGACCCCGATCGCCACGGTAGAATGTCAGGATCGTGTCTACACCATGGATGTCAAGAACAAGCTGCTAGTGGTTGGGACTGCGGACCGATACATCAATATCATCAATCTCGACAACCCCACCAAATTCTACAAGACTATGCAATCCCCTCTCAAGTGGCAGACGCGAGTAGTCAGCTGCTTTACAGATGCCACAGGTTTTGCTGTTGGCAGCATTGAGGGCCGCTGTGCTATTCAGTACGTGGAAGACAAGGACTCTAGCTCGAACTTCAGCTTCAAGTGTCATCGAGAGACACCCCCAAACCAACGCGACATCAATAACATTTATTCCGTCAATGCTATCTCTTTCCACCCGGTTCATGGCACGTTCAGCACCGCCGGCAGCGATGGAACCTTCCATTTCTGGGACAAAGACGCCAAACATCGCCTAAAGGGATATCCCTCCGTAGGGGGGACCATCTCCAGTACAGCATTCAACCGCAATGGTAATATATTTGCTTACTCTGTGAGCTACGATTGGAGCAAAGGCTACTCGGCCAACACCCAACAACTTCCCAATAAAGTAATGCTTCATCCGGTTGCTCAGGAAGAAGTGAAGCCCAGACCCGGTACCAGGAAGAGGTAATCTCATCTTATCTGAGGTATGATGTTGGCGCAGTTGGGGGTTTGGTGTAGTCGGTGTCAGCCTTGGGTTGGTATCTTTCGAACTTTTGAGTCCCTTGTCCAGTGATATGAATGGTCAGCGGTCGACAGCTCCCTTCCTGCGTTACTTTCCTGAGGGTTTGGCTGTTTTATCTTTTTATGTTATTATCCCCGATTTATGTACCTTTTTTTTCACTTTTTCCTGTGGGAATGCATATGAGCGAATTAATCTATGATATCTTTGCATGTTTGCAATTTCTCGTGGATGAAAATGCACTCCAGTTCCATGAACAGGGAAACAGTAGACCAATGTGGGATTCTAGTTTCTTTGGGAAAGTTGAAACGTAGAGGGTGCTACCTGTAGAGCATCGATAACTCCCCGGGTCAAAAGAAGGAAAGCAAGGAAATGAAAAGTCATGGAACTTGTATCGGTACTTTTAATATTAGTGGCCTACCTTACCTGTCAATCTGGCAAGCCCTGGAAGTTGTTCCCGCTTCTTGAGGTTGTTTGTTTCTTATGCTCCATTAGGAAGGATAATGAATGGTCACCATAAGTGAATGGAGGTCAAAAAGTGGGGTGGATTATTTTTTTTTTTTTTATTATCAGAGGGCAGGGAGAGAGAGGTTTCTCTGTACCGCGTGGGAATTGTGGCACGGGAAAGCAAAAGATTTAAAAAGAGTAAGATAAGGAAAAAGAGAGAAGATCACAAAACACTTCACTTCCACAATTCTTAAGTCCTCAACTCCTCGACTGCCGGTCGGTTCCGAAATCCGTCCCTTCTGACTCTTCCTTTCCCCTTTGTTGTTCTTCCCTTCTTTGATATCGTTACAACCCCGACCCCCCTCACTTTCGGAAGGTTATTGATATGGAGAACAACTTACTTGAGGGTCTCCTCGACCTGGAGGAAGTATTTTACAGGGAAGGCTATGATTTGGGAGCTGCCGATGGCGCGCAGGCTGGCTACACCGAAGGCAGTGTATTTGCTGTCGAGAAGGGCTTTGAAAAATTCCTCGAAATAGGAAGGCTCTACGGTAAAGCCCTGGTTTGGTCACAAAGACAAGCCGAGCGAGACCCATCCAACACTAGAGATCCTTCCCAGATGTCTCAGCTACCTAGTGCGAAGGATGAAGATTTTTTGGAGCCATCTGTTTGCAGAGAGATGTCGAGCGTTCCCCCCAGCTCTAGGCTAGCGAAGAATGTCGACACACTTCTTGAATTAGTTGACCCGGCGTCTTTGCCCATGCAAAACATAGAGGAAGCCGTTATTGACGTGGATGAGCGCCTGAAGGGCGCGCTAATCAAGGCCAAACTTATCCAGCGCGCACTGGGCGAACGAGACGATGCTGGGGATATACACCCTGACGCAAAAGACTTTCCCCAACAGAAAAGTTCTGGGGATGGAACTGGCAGCATTGAAGACATCAGCTCCCTGAAGCTCCGTCCATGAAGGAAGTTGTTTCTAAAATCATCCTCCTCATTCTCCCTACCAAGGCCACTCATACCCAGCCACCGGTACCCTTCGGAGTATCTCCGATAGAGAAGCCAACAATGATGACATATCCTACTCCCAAGATACGGATTAAATCATCTCCCTTTCTTTTTATCACGGGGACGGGTAATAAGAGTGAATTGAATTGTTGAACTTGGAGGTCGATCATTGCTCCACAAATCTATGGTCACCCCCACGCACCGATTTCTCGATGGCAATCCAATGCCACTTGCCGGTCTCGCGTCATGTCTGTCGGATACGGTCCTGTTGGTGTGACCCCTCGGTTGTTCCTCCCTTTCCTTGCACTGATTTTCCCGGGGGCTGGAGTCCTTAAATAAAAATGTGTGTTTACATGCGTGTGTGTGTGAATTTGTCCCATGATTCCTTCGGAAGAAGAGTATATGTAGAACAATAGACATCACGGTCGGCAGTCTCTTGAACCAACTCCTCCTTTTGTTCTTAACACCCCACCTTTCTTCCTATATATCCGATTCTTAGTCCTCGTGCATCTCTCCGGCCATGGCGTGGTTGCAGTTCCTGAGTCTTGTATTATCTGGGCTCACTCACGCCCAGACTGGAGTGACGTCCCCCATTGCAGAGGCATGCGGTCCTTCAGTAGTATGCATCAATCGTTATGCAAATGTGTTGTCGTAAGTCTATTGCAAGGTTTCATCGAGCAGGGCTGGTTCTCAAGGTTGATCAGATATCATTTCTTTCGAAACGTCTCTACTATGGATGACGTATCTACGTTTGGCGATACCACAGTTGCCAATGGGACTTTGCTGAAGGGTGCCAGCTCGGCCAATTTTCTGGTGTATGATAAAGAAAGGGGTTTAGAGATCCTGGGTGCCGAACCAAGTTATAAGTTCATGTTTGCCGTCTCTGAAGCTGTCCACGAGGCTCCTGTGTACGTCGCATCGCAGAATAAACTCTACCTGTCTCAGCTAGCCCCCCCTCCTGGCTACCTCCCCCAGCTCGTCGTGGATCTGAATGAAGACCCACCAACGTTGTCCGAGTATCTCTCCGATCCTCCTGTCTATGCGCCTAACGGAGGTACATTCCATGATGGCAAAATCATCTGGGGAGCATCGGGTGGTAACCGATCAATCGGAGGCAGTGAACAGCGCATCTCTTTGAGGACACTGGACCCGGAGACCAATAAGTCGGTCACCCTGCTAAACAACTACTTCGGGTTTTATTTCAATACTATCGACGACCTGGCGGTGCATCCAAAGACAGGGGACATTTGGTTCACAGATCCACGTTAGCCACCCTCTGTGCTTATTTTGATATGAACCTGTCAGCTGACCCTTTGAACAGAGTATTCGTGGTTCAATGCCCTCACTGACACTCCGCCCCAGCTTCCAAGTGCTAGTTACAGGTACAATGCCTCGTCGGGCGCCGTTTTCGTGGTTGATGACTCTATTGGCCAGCCAAATGGTATTGCTTTTAGCCCGGAAGGCTCAGTCGTCTATATCACCGACACTGCCGCCGTGAGCGCGCCTGTCGATCCCCAATATGGCCATCCTGGCAGTCTATTCAATGCCACCCAGCGCAGGTAAGGAATATGGTTGGTCATGCCAAAAGATCAAGACACTAACGGAGACATTCCCGGTCAATGTAGGACCGTTTATGCCTTTGACGTAAGCGAAGATGGTACCAGCGCTTATAATAAGCGACCTATCTATATGGCCTCTGGATTCGTCCCGGACGGCTTGAAGGTGGCAGCTAACGGATACATTGTGGCAGGCGTCGGACGAGGTGTTGATGTACTTGACCCCTCTGGTCAACTTCTTTTAACTATCCAGACAAACTATACCGTTCAGAATTTTGCCTGGACTGGCCCCGAACTCAAGACACTCTGGCTTATGGGTAATGGGGGGATCAGTAAAGTTGAGTGGCAACTTGGAGGACAGGAGCTAAGGTGAATCTGTTGAAGACCGGGAAATGTGAGACGCCAAAGATTAGCAGTGTATGCTGGTGTGTTGGGTAAGACCGCCTAACCAAAAAAGAAAACAATACTGGCTCTTGGTCGAGAAGGGACATGCTGACGTTATGATAGTTGACGGTCGTTTGCTGGTTTCTACACATACACACACGTGAAATATATATATTCGAATTATCTAGTCGGTATTATATAATTCCTTAAATCCAAGCGGTAGACTTTTAGATATTTCCCGGCATGGGGCCTGTCAACTGTATCGTAGTAGAGTGATGGATCGAAGGGTGCATACTACCGTTAGCGCCCCGAGGGTGAAAAATAAAAGGAAAACTATTGTTCCAAGCCACGGACGGCCATGGCAAATGCGCCTTCCCTGGTCTTATGGCCACCGATGAAACCGCTGGCATGGACAAAAACTGCACCCTCAGGGATCTTGGGCTTGCCGGTTTTCTCGGCTTCTGCGGCCATAACACCGTCGAGATCTGCATCGCGAACACCACGCCAGGTCTCTGGCAGAGGCTTCCTGGACACAAAGCTAGTTTCATTCACTGACACGCACTGCACACGCCATTTAGACCCTTCAGTAGCACTCTCGGGGTAGAGAACGTAATACACCTCTTCTTCGGAATTGGTCTTATCAGACTCCGACGCTTCCTTTTCGAAGTTATACAAATGCTCTTTCCATGGCACGCCGCCCTGAGGGAGAACAATAATACGGCCGGAAGGATGAACGTCGCGGCGGGAACTGTAGGAATTTCCTACAGTAGTACGTGCAGGTAACCACGACGTACTGGCGTGGTGCAGTTTGCGAGTGAAAACGTTTCCAATGAAGGTACTTGCTCGGCCAAAGAGACTGTCCTCATCCTGAGGCTCTCCGGGCGGGCAGGTCGGATCCGGGTTATTCATGTCGCCCACCACCGATGTGATGGTGATGGCACCATCCTTGAAGCGCTTCTCGAGATTAGCAGCAGATATTTCAGCGGGATCGTAGGCTGAGATGCCATTGTCGTTGGCATCAATGGCTTCGATAAAATCTGTGTACAGTTTTTCGTACAGCAAGTTCACATCGTGATGATCCACAGGCAATGACGTGTGTTCAGCAATGATCGCTCGCCCGAAATGCATGTATACTAAGCCCGCTGAGGATAATTTGGTATTGTGGTTGGGGAAGGTCGTGGAAAAGCTACGCTGATGGTGATCATAGCGGTTGTTGGCGGGGTCATATTCCCCACCCACGTCGACGACAGTATGGCAGGTTGCTAGCTGCGCCGGATCTCTGGTACGGATGAGGGGAGAGGCAGAATAGGTGGGGAGCTGTCGGAGTAGATAGACTGCGAGGGCCTCGTCGGCATGAAAGTGGCCGCTGAGAGATGTATATCAGTAATGAGGGACCTGTCATTGGAGTAAGGTTCAAGCAGCAGTTAAGTGAGTACCTATGAGTCCCAATCAAAGGAGAAGAGGTCTTGATTTTCTTTGCGATAGTCTCGTCGGCCATTTTGAATAACTGTCGGAATCGCAGCATCCAAAAATTTCGCGTAAGTGCACAGAGTAGAAAGCTTGGAGAAGCTGATACCCCAAATACAGAGGTATGGATGGTATGTACCTATTCGCGACTAGACCATCTACGGAACACTCTCTGATACGAATATGGTTATTTAGGGCTTCCATCAGAGGGCTTTCTAAAAGCATGTGAGAGACAGCGCCAAAGAGACGCTATCCCCAAACTAGTAATGGAATTCTGTGGCTGGGCCCAGGCTAGACCCGACTACCTAGCTAAACAAACGATTCACGACCTTACTGTACTTCTTGCGATCCAACACTGGCGATATGTACTATATGTTTTATTAACGACGAGAGGCGATGTGTGGTCATGACAGATAAGTTGTGCCACAACAGGATGAAGAACAGTAACGTAACGACCTGAGGATGTACCCTTGCCCTGGCAAGTTTGGCTTGATCAGGTTTGAGGGGGGATATATCTTGTACTGAAAAGAGGAGAAGAAAGGGGACAAAATATTACAGCACCTCTTCTAATTGTACGGAGTAAATAAAGTCTCGACCGTTGGTATATTCACCATCTTAAGAAAAGGTACGATGTACTCTATCCATACAGTAGAAACATTGTAACCAGCTCGGATTTACATTCATTCTTTTCTGTCCTTCTCTCTTTTTTGTTTATACCTCAGTACACATGTGTTGCTAAGCACTAGCGCGGCGATTGAATGTTAATTATCCACAAAAAAAAAAAAAAAAAAAAAAAAAAATAGAAAAATAAAAAAAAAAAAAAAAAAAAAAAAAAAAAAAAAACCTCAGAGAAAAAAAAAAAAAAAAAAAAACCGGCTTTATCTGGGTTGTACCTTTTTTCATTACAACTGCCACGTGAAAATCATCACATCACATTCTGTCCCGCCTGGAAAGAAAGAAAGCGAGATAAGATCAGAGTGTCCACCAAAGTAAAAGGGGAACCTTAAGGCTTACACACGGTACAGATCGTTAAAAAAATACCTGAAAGCTATAGAGAAAATAAAAAGAGGAACATCGCTCTTGTTCTCTTTAAGATTGATCCATGTGTATTTATCTAAGAGGCCTTGTCTTTCCTGTCTATTTTTTCTTATTCTGACTTTAGTTTTATTTTTAGTTATTTATTATTTATTTTCTTTTCCTTTTGTTTTCCTGTGGTTTTTGGGCTGCGTCGTTCTGCAACGTTTGCATCATTCTTGGGAGAGTTTCTCCGCTCAAACCTCCATCGCGTCAGTTTGCACCATTATCATCCGACTCTCTGCGGCATCTTTTGTTATCCCTCCCCCCTACCTCCTCTGTATAACTTTACCCTTGTGTCTGATCCCCACCGTCCGATGTGGCTCTTCCGGGTTCTCTCGTCCGCTTTTTTCTTGTTCGTGACTGTCTCTTCCATCCCCCTGGCCTTCGATGTAGGCGGAAAGACATGCGGTCTGGCCTTTTCTTTATCTCTAGCCATCTTCTATTTCCTATTTTCCCTTCTGAGACTCACCACCCCCGAACGCTCATGGCTACGTGCCTCTTTGATCACTGTTATTCGATCAACTCAATGGATCATAATTCCGGTCTTGCTGATTTGGTCGCTGAACCGCTTTTCGATCGATACAGATAACACAACTGGATGGGCGGAACGGACTTTTACCGGGAAACGAGCGCAGGACACGTCCGTTCAAGAATGGCTCCTTGGACCTGGTGGATTGGTGGAGTCGGTAACTATAGGAAACTGGGATAAACTGTTGCGATGGTCGACGCCAGTCTTCCAGCTGGTGGAAGGGTTTTGCAGTTTGTTGGTGATACAGGCTGCAGGGCAGATCACTCGATGGCTTGTTAACCGAGGTGGTCGCAGTGATAGCTGGATGGTACGTATCCGTCATGGTTTCTACTCTTGCGTCTTAATCGTTTTACCTCGTTCGTTGTTGTATGAGACCATAACTAAAGATCTGGCAGATCGGCCTTCTGGTGTTCTCCGGGTCCGCAATCTCGAGCGCAGTATACTTTCTCTGGCGCGTTTTGCAGTTCCCTGAGATCTCTAATGTAGATGCTGCCTTGATTGGGGTATCTATCACATGTGCGGTGATCTTGTGCGCGTGGGGGATCGGTAGTGGCCGTGGGAATCCAGTGGAGAGCTCTCTTCTGTTCGCATATATCGTGCTGTGTATCTATCAGATATTCACAGATTACCAACCTTCCTACCCTGTTGAACAGGCTCCCTCTCCCGCGCAAGCTGGGGACTTTCCCCCACTACCGCCGATCTTCATGGCCTCCTACACCACTCTGCTGCACGCCCTGTCTCTTTTGCCCTCCATTATCCATGCAGCTTTCAATGTGATCTCTGCGGTCTTTGGGGCCGTCACCCCCTCCGTCCTAATCTCACTCGCATACCGTATCTGTGTGCTGTATGCATCCACTCGGATCATCCCTGCTGTCCGTGAATCAGGTGCACGGGCTCTCTCGCAGGAAGCCTCTTTGGATGATTCTGATGCCGCTGGCCAGTTCCTGGGTCTCCTCAGCTACTTTTCTCCATCAATCCTGATTGCGGTTTATACCAGTCTCTTAATGCAACACTTCGCCTCTACTTCTCAGGCGATGGGCGGTAATGGAGAGTGGTGGAGCAGCCAAAGGGGCGGCGGCGGCAATCTTTGGCGATGGGTCAACTTAGCCTGCACCATGGCTTTGTACGCTGTGGAGCTATGGCTTGGCGAAAACGATGATTTGGATTCGGGATTAGCTAGCCATTGGAAGACCGACTGAGAACCATGATGGACCACTTGGTGGCACTATGCCCATTTCATACGCGAGACAGTGCAACCTGGCTTCGACGCGTCGGTGCAGGGGACTTATCCCGTCAATTACACTTTCTGATATCAAGCTAATATCGAGAGTTTCTTTTGGGCTCCGACTGTCAGCTTGGATGCCTATTGAAGGAAATGGCAGGGCCATTGTGTGGCGTAAATCTTGGATATTTCAAGACACTAATCAGAGACGGACCAGCACTCTTCCGTTCGCGCCCGGACGACACGCCATTGCCGCAGCTGAAACTCTTGCTTCATCAAGGGCGCCTGAATGCACGGCTCATCACTCTCGCGTCGAGCCCTGTTGGAATGCCTGACGATGATGCCTGAGAGTTCGGACGGTCGTGATGCCCTGCAGGTGTCAATAATGCCTTTCATAAATCAAGTGTAAGACAAGAATGTGTATATTCCCGCGGAGCCATAGTCTGCAAGCATATATGCTTCGATAAGTCTGGAACAATTTACACTAGAAGATGACCGTCACGACGGAATCGAATCTGCCTTGTCTTTTCCATGCACGTTGTCTCCCTGAACCAGTGACCCTCCTCTTTTCTTTTCTTGGTATTAGCTATACTTCTACTTCTTGACCTATCTCACGTCCACATCATTGGCTATCTTCCCTTTGCCCCTTCCTCTTGCGCCCACCTTTGTTACTACTAGTAACGGTAGGAACTGCATCACTATGCAATTGGTCCTCTACTCATGTACAATGCTGTTGTATGTATGGAAGTTAAAATTGATTTCGGTCTTAAGGTGAAACTGGCGGTGGCTTTCCCATCTTCCTTTCCATAGCCCCACCCCCACGAGACTCTTGTATCGGCCATATCCCCATCTCACCTTTCGACATGTGGCGTGTCATAGATTGATTGACTACGCGCCGTCTCGCGAAATTGCTTAGTCCATGTCCATGGGTCCTATACATGATTCCTCGATTATGAATAAACTATTCGTCATTTTGCCACCACCGGATCAAGAACGAGACACAGTTATCGGGATTATGCCCACATCTACTCGGCTGACCTGTCCGGTTGATACAATGTTATGGGCTGTATATATTGGGAGGTATCATATCATTCTTGTTGAGAAAGGCCTGACCAACGAACCACAAATGGCCGAACATGCATCAAATATGAAAAGAGGGGGTGGATACAGGGTACTGAGAGTATGAGCAGTCACAATAAGAGAAACATTTTCAGAGGCACGAGGCGTGATGTCAACAGTGACATGTTCAGATATAGATCAACTTGATAATCGGAAGAGGGAGAACAAGTAGCCTTGAGCACAAAGAGCGTGCACAAAATAGGTAACCTGAGATATAAACAGAGAATGAGAACAGCACTAGTCAAAGCCAGGATATAACTGATGCACAGCAGACGAAGTTAGCCTAGCTAGTGGGAGCCAGCCCAAGAAAATGCATTGCTGCAAGTCTCAAACAGGACTAGAAAGACACTAGTAGAAATAACTGTTTTAGTTAAGAAATTTGTCACCAGATGCACTGGATTTTTGTAGTTGGCTTCCAACTCTCTTTCCTTCAAACCTTGCACAGCAGTGAAGCACAAGCTACTTGAAACAACCTTTCTCGCGCACTAACCCTCACCTCCACTCTCAAAGAAAGATAAGGAAAAGTAGGCAGAGACATCAAGGAAGAGAAAAAGAAAAAAAAAAAGGCTTAGTGGGGAAGACAAGGGTAAGGTAGCTTCGTGACGAAATCATGGAACACAAAACCATAGCGCCAGGCTCTTTTTTATGTGACCATCACCGGGCAGGGCAACAAAAACCGAAAACAAACATGGACGATGATGATGATGCAACAAACAGCAAAGGAGGGGGAGTATCAGAAGAGAATATGAGCCAAAGGCCGATTATCGCCGGATTGGAACGCCACTGCGAGCAGGGGGCGGACTCACGCTGGGTTCCTTTGCATCTTTAAGTGCAGCGGTATTACCCTCGGATTCATCAGCGCTAGTTCCGCGTTGTAGATAGCTCCCTTCTTTCACCGGGCTGCGGCTTTGAAAACCAATGGACACCGGGTGCCCACTGATGCTGCCATGTATCTGCTGTCCTTGAGAGTTGATACTGCCACCATTGCTGGTAGCTGCTGGGTTATTCGTCCCAGGAGAGGTAGCCGTCAAATGAGGGATATTTTCGGGGACAGGGTGCTGAGAACCAATATTGGTGACACCCACATCAGAGGCCTTGCCGGCCTTGCTCAGGGCGTAATCACCTGAATCGAAGTACTTCCGCTCCTTTACCATGAAAATCCGTCAGCCGAGTGAGCAAATTCGAAGGGACGTCAAACCCACATACCTTTAATTTATTCTGCAAGAGATCCTTCTTGGTGGGCATCTTTCCGTAGAGACGCAATAGGCGTTGCTCATCGGGGGATAGGGACTAGGTTCATAATGACAGTCAGTTTTGGGTGCAAATGATGGAGGGGCGGCAAATGGACGGCTCACGGCAGTATCGACTTTGTTCTGCTGGTGGGGATTCATATTGATAGAGGGGAGATGGAGGAAAAGTTCTACGAAAGTTTATTTTCACCCAAGGGGTAAACTGGCAAGAATAGACCTGTGCCGGTCTATGAAGATAATGTGTAGCAGGTGAAGTAGTAAGTGACTGAGAGCTAGAAGGCGGGGAGGAGGTTGGATGTAAGGTGAAGAACGGGTGTCGTCAGAGAACCCCACCACCGAGCTACGGGAGTAAGTAACCCGTTTTTGTGGATGAGTTCCCAGTGGAATATAAATGATCAAAGTTCAGTGTGTATTGTAGACACAACCGGAAGGAGACAGATGGCACAGCAGACAGTAAAGCAAAGGGCCTGAAGAATAGATCGTGTATACTGAAGGTAAGTACTAAGTAGTAGGATGGGGGGGAAATTCCGTCTAGTGGGCTGCTGTATGGTATGGAATGGTATGGTAATTTATCCAGTATTGTCCGTTTCCAAATTTGGCCGCGTTTCCACTCTGGGCATAATTGAGTACTCTGAACCTTGAGAAAGAAGGCTTGACACTTGTGTCGAGGATAAGGCATCTAGTACTTGATTTAGGTCCAGTCCTATATTCATTTCCCGTAGACCAAGTCTTCAAGTGAGTTTCCATAAAACTTTTGGGGCAGTTGGTGTGTTGGTAAAGTCATTGCAAAGAACATAGATAACCATCTACCATGACCTTCCATGCTATATTAAACTTTCATGTCGGAGGTACACACAGTACGGAGTATATTCCATATATATTCTCGGGCCCATGAGTTATTGCAATTATTAGAGTACTTATTATCATTGAATGTGAAGAATTTATCGAAAAACACATTTTTTTGGTCTTTTCCTTTTTTTTTATCTCCCCTCCTCTCTTCTCTCTCTTTCAAATCTACAGAGTGCTCCGTATTTGTGTATTATTTACTTATCCTAATTTCTCTCGGTTGCTCCAAAAACGGCCACTTCGTCATTGATCCCGAATTCACATCGGCCTACCATCTCGGCATCATATTACCTCAAATTGCTCTGTGTTAGACTTTCTCATTTGGAGATAGCTGCCTCTCAAATTATAGTACAATGACAGACCAGAACTCCTCCACAAACCCAGTCACCATCGTGGTTGAGCATTTGGACCCTGAATTGGGGGCTTGGTCGGCCTTGGAATATGGCTGCATCGCTCGCGAATCGCATGCGGCTGGCAGCCGATTTCTCCTTAGTTCAGTGCCCACCTCCCTGCAGATGCCAGAAGAGTTGGCCGCGACAGAAGGGTTAAAAGTCGAGCACCGCAGCATTGAAGAGATTTTTGCGGATCGAAAGTCTAAGGTTTGTCTGTTAGACCCCGCGGCTCAGGCTGAACTGAGCCCCGCCGATGGAGAAATTTTTGAAGTGTTCCTTTTCGGGGGCATCCTTGGTGCGAATTCCCGGTTTTCCATTGGGGGTTCCAACCCTGGCTGACTTCTAGGGGACCTTCACGTCTATAGGCGATCATCCTCCGCGAGGCAAGTATTTCATCGGAATTGGTGGAAGAGAGACGTATACCGCGCATGCTACTAACCGAGACTTACAGATCGCACGTCCGAATTGAGAAAGAAGGGTTATGCTGGAAGACGACTCGGTCCCAAACAGATGACCACTGATACAGCCGTGCGCGTCACCCGCATGGTTGTGCATGAGAAAGGTTCAATCACTGACTCGAGATCCCACTTACCCATGACTAGTGGGAAAGCTAACGATTCAACAGTACCCCTAGAGAAGATCCAGTATATCGACCACCCGGAGATTCTAATCAGTGAGCATGAACGAACTGAAATGCCCTTCCGCTACGTGAAAGGTGATGATGGACAACCTATCATGCCTCAGGTGTGTGCCTTGTAATTTCACTCCTTGAATTGACCACTACTGACAGATGCGCAGGGGATGGTTGATCTTATCAAAAAGGACGCCGACCAGGGCATTGATGATCTTTTCTGATCTGGGTTGGAGAGTCCTCTACAAGGTGTATAAGGAGGGGAAGAGTAAGGGAGGGACAAGAGGTTGAGCAAGTGCCCTTATTAATCTTCATCGCCTTGAACTGCTATATATCTCTAACCAGACTGAAAAAAAAGAAAAAAGAAAAAGAAAAAGAAAAATAAGAAACAGTCCAATAGATATGCTATTTAACCAAGTCGGTCCTATCTGTAGTATATATACAAGGAGTGTTTCCGTACATCGAGGGGCGAAGGACCACGTCTTACATTGTCATGAATAAAGACTATTGATGGTCTGTACAAGAAACCTCGACTCATCATGCCAGACGTTCATCGTTGCCCTATAGATCCCCTAAACAGGCAATGAGAGGGTCCGGTACGGTATTGAAAATTAACAAGGGAAAAACAGATACTCGCTCGATCAGCAGGGCACCTGGGCAGATCTTGGCGGCTCGAGTCGAAAGCGGTCTGGAATTATTACAGTCAGTAGTACGATAATTGCCGCCGAAACGACTCCATCCAAGGCCACGCCATCGTCTCCGTTTATTCTTGACACTATTATTATTCTTGATTCGATAGACGGGCCTGTGGCTGTGTGGCAGCAAAGAATCATCGTTTCCTCTTCTCCTACATTCTCTCCGATCCGTTAGTCCTTCGCTAATTCATCCTGCTGCCACGGCTACTTACCACCCATATACCTCAATCTTTGGGAGCAGCAGAAGGACCATCCATGCGGACTTAGGCGCTGCTCTAGTCCTCGTAGGACCTGGAATTCTGAACACTACTTTTACCCCCCTGCCCCCCCTGCTTTCGTGGTTCTTCTACTCCCTCCATCCGCCCTCTTTAATCCTTGAGGCATGTTTTCTGCAATCTCGCGTGGGTTCCCCGGAATCAAAACGGGCGACACTACCTCCTTTTCCTTCAAGTCACTATGGCTGCTATCATTGCTCGCCTTGTGGGGCCCTCCATTGACCTCGGCCAAGTCAGCTGCGGATTACTATGTTCGCTCGTTGCCAGGTGCCCCCGATGGACCCTTGCTGAAGATGCATGCTGGGTGAGTTCGCCACTACTACCGGATCTCATCTATACATCGTTACCCCCCCCCCCCCCCCAATCAGGACTCCATTGCAGAGGTTTTGACCGCGGCTCTTTGAAACAGGCATATTGAAGTGGACCCACAGAACAATGGTAATCTCTTCTTTTGGCATTACCAAAATCGTCATATTGCCAACCGTCAGCGAACTGTAATCTGGCTTAACGGTGGCCCAGGATGTAGCTCAATGGATGGTGCATTGATGGAGGTTGGCCCATATCGACTGAAGGACAACAATACGTTGGAGTATAACGAAGGTTCTTGGGATGAGTTCGCCAACTTGCTTTTCGTGGATCAGCCGGTTGGAACCGGCTTCAGTTACGTTAATACCGACAGTTATCTTCATGAATTGGACGAGATGTCCGCGCACTTCATTATATTCTTGGACAAGTTTTTTGAGCTTTTTCCGGAATATGAAGGTGATGACGTATGAAATTCCTCGGATTGCCGTTTCACTGCCTAGCCATAAGATTCTGACTCTGGCAGATTTACCTTGCGGGCGAATCCTACGCCGGTCAGCATATACCATATATTGCGAAAGCTATTTTAGATCGGAACAAGAATGCGGCAAGCCCATGGAACCTTCGCGGCCTTTTAATCGGCAATGGTTGGATCTCTCCTGCGGATCAGTATCCCTCTTACTTGACTTTCGCATACGAAGAAGGCCTTATTGAAGAAGACAGTCGGACCGCGAAGAGCCTGGAAGTGTTACAGTCGGTCTGTCAATCGAAGCTGGAGACAGGTGGAAAAAATCAAGTACATATTGGTGACTGTGAAACAGTGTTGCAGGAGCTTCTGTCAAAGACTCTAGACTCTGACAACAAATGCTACAACATGTATGATATCCGCCTCCGCGATACGGCTCCGTCATGTGGCATGAACTGGCCCCAAGATCTAAAGGATGTGAAGCCGTATTTACGAAGGGCGGACGTTGTTAAAGCTCTGAATATAAATCCTGAAAAGAAGTCAGGGTGGGAAGAATGCTCAGGGGCTGTCAGCAGTTCTTTTCTTCCGAAAAAGTCAGTGCCAGCTGTTCAACTACTTCCCAGTCTACTCGAATCGGGGATTTCAGTTCTTCTCTTTAGCGGTGATAAAGACCTCATTTGCAACCACGTTGGAACCGAGCAGCTTATAAACAATATGAAATGGGGTGGTGGCGTCGGCTTCGAGACATCACCGGGCGTCTGGGCTCCCCGGCATGATTGGACTTTTGAGGGCGAACCAGCGGGCATCTATCAACACGCGAGGAATTTGACATATGTTCTTCTTTATAATTCTAGCCACATGGCGCCTTACGACCTCCCTCGTCAAACTCGAGACATGCTTGATCGCTTCATGAAGGTCGATATTGCAAGTATCGGTGGTAGCCCTGCAGACTCGCGCATTGATGGTGAAAAACTGCCTCAAACATCCGTGGGTGGTCATCCGAACAGCACCGCAGCCGAAGAGCAGGAGAAGGAGAGGATGAAACAGGCAGAATGGAAGGCCTATGCCAAGTCTGGAGAGGCAGTTCTCGTGGTTGTCATCATTGGCGTTTCTGTCTGGGGCTTCTTTATTTGGCGCAGCCGCCAACGACAACGCAGGTATCAAGGCCTGTACCACGAGGACGTAAGTGGGAGTTCCGTTCTAGAGCGCTTTCATAACAAACGCTCAGGAGCGGATGTAGAGGCGGGAGATTTTGACGAGTCAGAGCTTGATGATCTCCATTCGCCGGACATGGCGCGAGAACATTACGCAGTGGGGGAGGACAGCGACGAAGATGATGTGAACCGACAGCATCAGCGAACAACCATAAATCCAAGCTGAGGAGGTCATATACGATTTTTTTTTTTTTCCATTCTTCATGGTCAATCTTCATGCTATTCTCTTTTTCATTTTCATCTATGCTATTGCCCCCAGTGTACCATCTCTTGCCATGTCTGTTGACCATGTTAGCATTATCAGCTTCTCCGAACTAGTAAGATACATAGACATGAATGTGACTACATGAAAGCTGCAACGCAAACACAGCGGATGGGGCTTCGATCCTAATGTTCCGACTTAGTGAAGTCTCCCTTCTTGCTTTCTATAATGCCGATTTCGCAACCCTTTCTACCCGCTGGCTGTCCGACATAACTATTCAACCGGGACGTAACCACCTCACGCTGCAAAAATTCTCGCCCTGGATCTCTTTCACGCCCCGAAGAATTATCTCCGAAGCGTCCAGACCTTGATACTTCCATCGTCTGCGGTTGTAACAAGCACTTCCTCGTTTTCTGTTCGGTATCGGTCCGCGCGCGTCGCCCATGTAGCATGATTGATCTCGTAGATGCCATGGGCACCTTCCAATATCGCAATAGCTACCCATTCTGTATGAGGTTGAGGTGTAGGAGCAGGTGTATCTGTAGGAGTATTGGTGTCTAGCGTTTGTGCTGGTGTTGTCAAGAACAGCTCCTCGTAGACCACGATGCGTCCATCTGCACCGACAGAAGCTAATAGCCCAGTGCACTTGCTCCATGCAACCGCGTAGATGGAGAGCTCATGCATTTGTGGGAGAAGAGCGTCTTCTTCCCACGTTTCGTCGGTGCCTGTTGGCCGAATGATACTAGGGATACCCGTACTTCCAACCTGTGGTTCTGCCCGCTGTTCTTTAGGCTTTCGTTTCCAGATGCGGACTGTTCTGTCATCGGAGCATGAGGCGAGACGAGGGCCAGACATTGCACGCTGGTCCTTCCATTCAGTAGACTGGGACGTGCCCTGCTCACACCCCGCAGCAGTAGATGGCACGTTGTCAATACCCTCCCAGTCTAGATGCCAGACAGTTCCCGTATGACCCTTGATGCATGCCACCTGGCCCCAATCATCGATATCCTCACGCCACAACCGAATGGTGTCGTCGTAGCTGGCGCTGGCCAGACACTCCTCCACGGGATGCCAGGCGACACATTTTACGTCGCCTTCATGTTCCTGCATGACAGCTACGGTCTCGAAATTGTTGTCGCCGTCATCCAAGTCTTCCCAGATCCATATCGACTTATCTCGGGAGCATGTCGCCAACAACATCCCAGATGGCGACCACGACACTGACTTGACTTCGCTGTCATGTCCATCTAGGAGGACAGCGAACCGCCATTCTTCATCATCTTCATCATCCTGAGTATCACGCCCATTCCCATCGAGTGTCTCTGAACTCAAGCCCCGGGCATCTGTGCCAGCCTCTGCCCGACCATAACTGTCCCACCGTCGCCAGATCCCCACTGTTGCGTCAAAACTTCCCGTCGCCAGAACACTTTCGCCTTGTACATGTGGTTTCCAGGCACATGTGCGCACGCTGCGTTTGTGACCGCCTGAGATGGTCGAGAGAAGCCGAAAATTGGTTAGCGAGTATACACGGACAGTTTTATCGGAGCTACAGGTCGCAACAATGGGGAGAGAGGGATGGGGCGCGGTCAACCACGTGCGTTCGAGGGACGGAGGGGTCAAATCTGACAGCAGTGTAAGAGAGGCAGTTGGGTTTCCGGTCATTGTGAATGTATCTTCCTTTTCATCCAACCCTTTTTGATTGTCCCTAGTTTAGAAGGCTTGCTGGAATTGCAGACTGGGAGCGGACAGAATATCTGCTGTAGTGGGGGGGTGGGTGGGGTTGGGTTAGATACACTTCTGAATCTAAGATACCTACTGGCCATAGAAGCGACTTCCGAGCGTTGAGTAGCATTTTACTATTTAGGGGGAAAGGAAAAGATATTTAAGATTGTAAGATATCAGATTATTGTTATACTCATAAACGATTACTGTTATTGTAATGTGAGCAAGGGAAAAAAAAAAAAAAAAAAAAAAAAAAAAAAAA